AATGGCCCTCGAGTGTGCGGATCTCCGACCCGGTCTTGGCGTCCCAGAGCTTGATTTTCTTATCAGCTGAGCCTGACGCCACCGTCAGGCCGTCTGCTGAGAAGACCACGGATCTAACCAAGTCTAAATGGCCCTTGAGTGTGCGGATCTCTGACCTGGTCTTAGTATCCCAGAGCTTAATCGTCTTATCATATGAGCCTGATACTACTGTCAGGCCGTCTGCTGAGAAGGCCACGGATCCAACTGAGCCTGAATGGCCCTCAAGTGTGCGGATCTCCGACCCAGTCTTAGTGTCCCAGAGCTTAATCGTCTTATCATCTGAGCCTGACGCCACCGTCAGGCCGTCTGCTGAGAAGGCCACAGATCCAACCAAGCCTAAATGGCCCTTGAGTGTGCAGATTTCCGTCCTGGTCTTGGCGTCCCAGAGCTTGATCGTCTTATCATCTGAGCCTGACGCCACTGTCAGGCCGTCTGCTGAGAAGGCCATAGATACAATCAAGCCTGAATGGCCCTCGAGTGTGCGGATCTCCGACCCGGTCTTGGCGTCCCAGAGCTTGATCGTCTTATCATGTGAGCCTGATACCACTGTCAGGCTGTCTGCTGAGAAGGCCACAGATCCAACCCAGTCTGAATGGCCCTCGAGTGTACGGATCTCCGACCCGGTCTTGGTGTCCCAGAGCTTGATCGTCTTATCATGTGAGCCTGATGCTACTATTAGACCGTCTGCTGAGAAGGCCACGGATCCAACCCAGTCTAAATGGCCCTCGAGTGTGCGGATCTCTGACCCGGTCTTGGCATCCCAGAGCTTGATTATCTTATCAGCTGAGCCTGACACCACTGTTAGACTGTCTGCTGAGAAGACCACAGATTCAACTGAGCCTGAATGGCCCTCGAGTGTGTGGATCTCTAATCCAGTCTTAGCATCCCAGAGCTTGATCATCTTATCAGCTGAGCCTGACACCACCGTCAGGCCGTCTACTGAGAAGGCCACAGATCTAACCGAGTCTGAATGGCCCTCGAGTGTGCGGATCTCCGACCCGGTCTTAGCGTCCCAGAGCTTAATCATCTTATCATATGAGCCTGATACTACTGTCAGGCCGTCTGCTGAGAAGGCCACAGATCCAACCCAGTCTAAATGGCCCTCGAGTGTGCGGATCTCCGACCCGGTCTTGGCGTCCCAGAGCTTGATCGTCTTATCATGTGAGCCTGACGCCACCGTCAGGCCGTCTGCTGAGAAGGCCACGGATCCAACCGAGCCTGAATGGCCCTCGAGTGTCTGCAATTCGGCATTCCACGACTCTTCAACCTGTGGTAAAGTCTCTATCCATCTTCGGCTGGTCTTGAACATAGCTCGGATAGCACTATTCATAGGCGCGAATGTAAGTGCAGCGCAGTATAGTTGAAGTGGCGCAAGGTCAGCCATGTAACTATTTTTCAGAATAAATCGTTTTGCGTCGTGTAAGAATTCAGAGGAATTTTCGTCCAGGCTGGTCTAGATCATAGTTACTTAATGCCAGAAATTGATGAGGTATCAAGAGTGCGAGCCAAACGTACTTCGTATTTTAAATGTAGTGCATTTATTGCACTAACACCCTCAGAAGCCAGCCCGATCAAGCTCATCACCTCTAGCCAATGAAGAAAATGAACCTTCAGGAAGGAGAGTGCCTCCATTTGCTTTCCATCTTCTTTGCTTTGATGCAGATGATGCGCCCAGTAGCGGCAGGCGTACCGTAAATCGTCTGGTAAATGTTGTTTAATCACACTATCATGGATCTCAGCGCGTTCTATTCCGTAACTTGGTAGACTGCAGATGTTGTGCCTTAAACTGTGATTCATAATCCGAAGGCAGTGTGATGCTATATTACCATGAATCTCAGCCTCATTGATTCGAAACTCACACTCCGGACTCACTAGGAAATCTCGAAATGATAAATGTAGAGTCGTAACTGGAATAACATCATCCTCTGGTACACTGAGGACAGAGCGAAATGACTCCACTCGTCCTTTAACAGTGCTTTTGCTCTTACTAAGCAATGTCGTCAGTGACTCAACTGACAGCGGCCGAGCAAGAAGAACAATAACACCAATGATTTCGTGAAACTCTTGTTTTAGCTTGTCTGAATCCGCCTTATTTCGACCTTTCAAGAGCTGGTTTAGGATTGGCAGGTATGTTCTTTCCATCTCAGAAGCAGATCTTGTGGCTGGATCATCAAGGAATTCAACCAGTCGCTCTTCTGGTTGCCATTGTGGGTCTTCGAGGAAGCGGCAGACAGTGGCGGCAAAGATGAACAAAGGAATAGCAATTGTAACAAGTGTTTGTAGCCTATCCTTCCCAGGCCATCCTTTAGGAAGGGTGGGTTGTTTCTTTCTAAGCTCCGAAAATCTGTGCTCCAAAAAGAGTGAGATATCGCGAGTTATTATTGGTTTGGGGATTGTTTGTAGGATCAGATACTGGCGGTCGTTTTCCTTGAGGCTCTTGAACCCACGTAAAGCTGCATGTTCAGGGCGACATGTCAAAAAGAAACGGAGTGTTATCGAGTGGACCTCCATCACTTTCGGTAGAAGCCGCAAGATATTCTCGATATCACCTTCTGCCTCGCACTCGTCCAGTGCATCGATAACAATAACAAAGCACGGCTTCTCATGATTTGATTGTCCAAAAGTACGTAATGGTTGAAGCAAAAGTTGATCAAATTGCTGATCGATAGTTTTTGTTGAAATACTCCGCTCCTTATCAGCTGACTGTTGAATTCTGGCCGAAAGACCGGGGATAGTGGATGTTATTTGCCACGCAATCGTCGAAAATAGTCGTCTTGCGTTCCCTTGGTCACCAGCATTTCTTTTAAAGAAAAAGCTTGCTGCGAAGATACCCCGGTCACGAAATAACGCTGCCGTCGTCCGAGATATAGTAGATTTTCCAGTTCCAGCCATACCTTCGAGGCAGAATATGCATGGACCTGATAGAGAGCTCCCCCATTTTAAAATTTCCGCGAGCAGCTCAGTCCTGGTTCCTTGGAGACATTCACCTCCACCCTCTTTCTGATAGGCATCGAATAAGGCTTCCTCGACTGGGCGTAGTGTCTCTAGGAGCATACGTCGGTCTATATTTTGGACAAGAATCTGGGTATCCCTTATACAAGATGAGCTATGCAATGATCACATAGAATACATAGAATTTAGAGCCATCTATCGTACCTTTGTGAGTCTTGTATCTTATTTATCCCTTCAGCCAGTCCCTTCACACCATCCATCAGCTGTTTCATAGTTGTCGCCTCCTGCACTTCTTGGGCGTCGACCTTGCGCAAAAGAGCCTTGCAGTAAGCAGCTGCAACAGCCGCGGCATAATAGTGCCACTCATCATTCTTGTGGGTGTCGGCGTAATCACAAATTCCTCGCACTACCAGACAAGGAAGCTCGTCCATGATACCAGCTGCCTCCATTTCAAGGCAGAGCGCCTCTGGATAGTCTTGTTGTAGGCGTTTACGGTATTCAGAGCTCTTGATAACTCCATCTCCCGAAAGTATAAGACCGCGGTGAACGATGGGGTTGTCATCAGGACGTTGAGGGCGGTGGACGGCCATCTTTGCACTTGAATCGTTGCACTCACTGCAACTCGAGCCCTTCACAACGTGGAGAAAGTTCTCGTCGAACAAAATGTCCTCTGCAACAGGCCGCTTGAACATCGGGCGATTGGTAAGCTTCCTAAGAGCCCTTCTCAGCGAATGTTTTTCCATCATTTCGTCTTCTTGCAATTTTCCATCTGCACTTATCAAGATCCGCGGCGGCTTGTTTAGACAGCCCTTTTGGACGTCTTTTTCTTGTTCTCGCTTGACAAAGTCATACTGAACAACACCTGGTAACCCGTCCCTGGGGCTACTGACGACCAGATCACCGAGACGAACGTCGTGCTTCGGGCTGGGGAGGCCAGCACCGATCCCCACCATTAAAGCGAGGCGAACGTTTGGAAACTGTTGACTGACAGCTGCTGCACAATGGGCCGCATTGACAGTACCCATGTCAGGGGGTCGGGCAATGACAACGTTATGCTCGCCAATCAGCCCAAACGAGTAGACATATTTTGTTGGCCCCCCCCTTTCCAAGCGACATGAGTATTCTTTGTCTAGCATGTATCGGACTGCAACAGCTTCATATGCCAGAGCACAAAAAATTGCAATGGTTATGCTTTCCGCGGGAATTTTGGTATCATTTTCATGAGCGGAATCCTCCTCTTCGGCAATATCATGCCACGATGAAGGGCCTTGATTTGAACTTGGAATTTTATTGTTTCCCGGTTTTTTGATCTCTAGGGCGACAGGGCTAACGGGGGTAGAGCTCTTGTTTTCGGATGGGACATGATTGCCGGTAACATTCTCGTTCTCTCTTGCGGGTAGAGCCCGGGCACCAGAATATTGGAGGTATACTAAAGAAAGCACGAAGATAAGAAGAACAAGCAACGAGAACATCGTGAGATAATAGAAGGATCAGACTTTATAATTTGGGTGAGGAAGGTGCCTGTCTCCTTTCCAATATGGCCTCGAGTTACGACACGCTTGATAAGATATTTTTGCTGGACGGTAGAGAAAGTGTTGCTGGCAGTCCAGGCGGAGGGGATGTGAATGGCCAATATTTGCTTTTTCTTGTCACCCCGCTTCTCGACCCTTGATCCCTGTCTATCATTGATCTCACTCTCTTTAAACACCCCGGCAGGAGATAACCCATTCTCGTGCTCTTTTAGCTGGCAGCTCGTCGCACTATGGTCTGTGGACCTGAAGGGCCATCAGGAGCTTGAGATCCTGAATAGAAGAAACGATTAAGAGGCTTGCCGCCGTCATGCTGATGGTGACGTGGCACATGTGCCTCAGCTGCATTGGCGTGCCGCGCAACGCATGCCACTTAGCTCCAGGCACTTGGCCAGCGATCGGTCTGCCATCTGCTGGCCCTGGCCAACTGGGGAGAAAGAAGACGGTCGCAAGGGGAGCCGAAAATGGCTTTCTGCTCAGATATTTAAGGGACACTTGGAAGAGGACAAAAACTGCCCCTTCAGTCCGCGGCAGCATGGTGAGTGGGCGTCAAGAGGGACACTTGGAAGAGGACAAAAACTGCCCCTTCAGTCCGCGGCAGCATGGTGAGTGGGCGTCAAGAGGGACCAGGCACCAGAGCAGGACGACCAACTAGCGCAGGCCGTGGTAGTATTTGCCTTGGTCGTGCGAGTACTTCCACGTGATGCCAAGACCGCCGAGCGTCTAGAAGGACTCGCAAAACGGCGTCGACGGTAGCCGCTTTCGGCTGCTGGATAACTGTTTCATCGTTAAAAGGAGTTATATACTAATCTCTCTTATTAGACTAGAATATAAGCTAAGCTTATATACAGACATATTGTCACGGTGCAAACCCAGAGCACCTATCCGACCCGCTCGACCCAAACAACCTGTTTGACCTGTTTAACCCTCTTCACCCCTTGACTTACCCGTCCCCGAACACGTGACCTGCGATCCCGTTGTGGCTCCTCGAGCTGCGTCTTGTCTATGAACCTGAGGATAGCTTGACCCGGTAGCTAGACGAACAATCCAGAGAAGTGCTATTAGAAGATCTCCCAGTTAGGTGATCAAACCGACCAGCCAGTCCGCTCCTTGACAAAGATAGTATTCTAGGTTCATACTTTGTTATATTCTTATCATCCCTCTTTTTTTTTCTGGATATGTCCGCAATGTAGATTGAATAAAGAACTATTTTAGATTCTTTATTTACATGATAGTCAGTGTATCCATTACTTGATCGATTGGAAAGTGATGTTTATCCACAGCAATCCAGTTCGTTAGTGGGGAAGTTGATGTTGTAGATGAATGGATAGAGGATCGGTCACCAACATCAACCCAGAGGCTGCTGGGGGTTAAGTGGTATGAGAAGGAGGGCTGATAGAGAAGATGTCCTTTCACAGCAGAAAGGGGACGAATAGCAGCAACGCTAATCTTTTCTACGGAGTACAGTCCCTCAAATGTTCGAATGGATGATCTTGCTTCTGTTGTATCACGTGACCGAGGTCCCTTGAACTATTCCTGATCGAGACAGACAGTCGGCGGGGTCATCATAAACAATAACAACAACAGCTAACTTACCTAAAGTTATCAAACATTTCTTCAACAATCAACCCATCCCTGATCGGTGGGTCAATTAGCGTCCTCGTTGGCTTTCAGTCTGGCCTATCCCACATCTTGTATCATGGACGTGGGATTCCAAATTTCATCTTCTCGGTTACCGCCATGCCCACGTGGGAGAATGCTGGGTGGGAGTGGCAGCTCCCCGTCGACCATCTTAGCTAGAAGCCGACCCGTGTGAAGGTGGGAAAGTCGCTCCGTCAAAACAGCGCCTTTGAAGGGTGTTTTTACACATTGTTTGAGAGTGCTATAAAAGGCTATATGCACCCGGAATTACCGCGTGGTCATGTCTACTAGTATCTACGAGGGTCTCGTCGACATGATCTCTCTCTTGTTTAGCCTCTTTACTTCTGCGGTCGCGGCTCGCGACACTTTCTACCCACCACTCAACCACACCACCTTCATCACCAATACTTCGCTAGGAACCTACGGGGGGATCTACTCAGCCCCAGCGGACCAGGCCAGCTCGCCTTCTGCCGACGATGTCTACAACTATTGCTCCATGCCTCACCCCCGCCTCGAGACCTACAGCCTCCCCCTTCCCATCGTCAATGGCTCTACCTCCGGTCGCCTAGTCTATCTGGAATACCTGCAGCGTCACCAACGCAGAACCCCCTACAATATTCTTCCAGGCGGCGAGGTTGGTCACTCTGTCTTGTTTTGTACCGGTATCAAGGTCATTCCCTAACCTTGCGCAGAACCAAGCATATAACTGCAACAACCTACAGCCCTTCCTGTACGCTGCGCCGACCTCCCAAAACCCGTCTCCGCTACACGTTTACGCGCAGTCATACTCAGATCCGACCAACCCGTTCCTTGCGACTTACGTAAATGGGTCCTGCCAATATCCACAACTCACGGTCGGGGGCTTCTTGGATGGATATCAACACGGTCGCGATCTTCGAGCAGTATACCTATACAAACTACATCTCATTCCGTCGGATCCGGCCGAGGAGAGCGGCCGAAAGGTCTGGCTACGTAGTAGTAGCTCCGCCCTCACTCAAGAATCTGCGGGCGGTGTCTTGAGAGGACTTTGGCCAGAGTATCAGGGGTCATTGCCCCTGCATCAGCAGGCAGCCAGTGTCGACACTGTCGACCAGGGTTTTTCTTGTTCTGCACGGAGCGACCTTCTCTCGGCGATCGAATCGACTCCCGTGTGGAAAGAGCATTTGACGGTTACCGCGTCGCTCCGCAACCAGCTGGCCGACATGTTCGATGCCAACACGTCGAGCTGGATGTCCACCTTTGACCACTTTGCCGACAACTTCCAGGCCCGCCTGTGCAACGGCTACAGCTTGCCATGTAGCCTCAAAGACGAATCTCGGTGTGCGACTCAACAGCAGGCGGATGAGGTCTTTCGAGCCGGAGACTGGGAATGGAACTACTGGTGGAGACACAACGCCAATGCTACGCGCTACATCCAGCTTGTGGAGGGCTTGTTCATCGGCGAGGTTGTGCAGCACCTGGAAGCAGTGGCCAAGGGCACGTCGACATTGGTCTACAGCCACAGCTTTGTGCATGATGGAGATCTGGGACCGGTCCTCGGTGCGTTGGGGATCAAGGCGCTGCGTTGGCCGGGAATGGGATCGAACCTTGCCTTTGAGATATGGTACGTGCCACGGATATATGAAGCAACCCGATGTCTAACAGAGAACAGGGAAACGGCGGACTCTGAGCACTACGCCCGAGTTCTATACAGTGGGCGTGCCATCGAGACGATCCATGGAACTCTAGACTGGGTCCCATTGTCATCTTTGCTCGCCATCCTAAGACCCTTTGTGCCTGAAGATATTGTCTCTATGTGCAGCGCGGCCTGACCCTCTCATGATGTGTGAAGCTTAGTTCTTTTCAAGACCGATGTTCAGCTCTGACATGTATCATACCCTGACACCATCCGACTGGTTCATGATATTATCCCTCCCGAAGCATCAGCCGGGCGCAGATCTTCTGCAGCTGGGTCCACAGTTGCGACTGCAGAGATGCATAGAGACAATATCCGCGGTTTTCCTTGTCCTTGCTGGTCAGAATCCAGTCGGTGTGATTCACATAAATCAGTCCCAAGAGGTCTGTCATTGTGACGCTGTGAGTGTATTAAATTTTGGATTAAGGACGTTTCACATTGCATGGTAGGGACCTGCTCTATATACTCAGACACTGGACCTATCGCCGATGAGAGGATAATGTGGTTTAGTCTGTTTACTTTGTCTGGAGGGGTTCGATGGATGCTCGCCATTGTTGCCGGTGATGACGCCAAAGATGTCCCGTGGCGGCCCGATGTCGCAGCTCCAACCCGGGATATCAACCCCGCATCTACAACTACCTTGACTTCTTCATTTTCATTTCTTGCTACAATGACTGGTAACAACCCTTCATTTACCACAATTCCCATCCTTGACTACTCTCTCGCCACTTCTCCCACTACAAAACCACAATTCCTCGCCAGTCTCCGCCATGCGCTGGTCCATGTGGGCTTCTTCTACCTCATCAACGCTCCGGTCGCATCCGCCGTCCGCGACGAGTTGATCCACCAAACCACCGCCATCTTCGATCTCCCGCGCGAGAAAAAGCTAGCGATCGAGATGGTCAACAGTAAACACTTTCTGGGATACTCACGCCTCGGCGCTGAGACCACAGCCCGCCGGACCGATCATCGCGAACAATTCGATGTGCGAGCCTCTCCAGCATGTAAACAGCCGTATTTTGACTGATGGCGTGAGCTAGTTTGCGACCGAGCTTCCTCCCCCAGGACCAGATGATCCGCTCTATCGCAACATTCGGGGACCAAACCAGGTGAAGCTTTCTGTTGATTCAGACTCGACCTCGAGCTAATACTGAATAGTGGCCTGATGAATCCGCCATCCCGGGTTTCCGCACCGCCGTTGAGGCATATCTATCCGAAACCCAACCACTGGCAGAAGCCTTCCGGGGCCTGATTTGCGAGGCCCTTGACATGGCCCCCACCGCGTTGGATGGCTTCTTCGAGCATCCGATCCAGCAGAAACTCAAGCTGATCAAGTACCCTGCGCCCACCCGCGCGTCCGAGGCCCAGGGCGTTGGCGCGCACAAGGACTCGGAATTTCTGACTTTCCTACTGCAAGCCACGCCGCACACGGGGCTGGAAGTGCAGAATAAAGCCGGGGAGTGGATCCCCGCGCCGCCTCTTCCTGAGTCCCTGGTGGTGAACATTGGGCGCGCACTCGAGGCCATCACGGGGGGAGTGTGCACAGCCACAACGCACCGGGTCAGTCTGGCGGCGCAGAATTTCTTGGATGAGCACAACACAGATCTCGGGCCGCGCTTTTCTATTCCTGTCTTCCAGGGGATGAGTCTGGATTTATCGGCGGAGGAGATCTCGCTGGCGATCCCGGCGCATATCCGCGCGCTGGTGGGCGACGAGCAGGCGCGGTCGGACGCAGAGGCGACTTTCAACCGTATCTTCCGGGGGCGGGTTGGCGAGGGGACGTTTGTGCATCGCATCATGTCGCACCAGGATGTAGGCCGACGCTGGTATCCTGAGGTGTTGGAGTGGGCATTAGCGAAGTATGAAAAATAGTACCTAGTACACAGGACTAGTAGTGTTCAGTGTATGACTGGATGGATTGATTGGTCATCTGTCATCTCATCTTGTCATTCTCCCCGATCAGCTGGTGGCCCGTCACCACCAGGGGGCACCCGAAAACTCCTGAGATGAAACTAGGGTTCGTATTCAAGGTTAAGCGGCGCCTCTCGTATGGAATGCAGCCATTCACGGCCACGAGTTGTCCCGCAATCGCCAACCCTGCACTCCATACCCCGTGCCCCCAACCCCCCGGTGTGCGATGCATGATATGCTGGTTAAATATAGTATTTTTATATACTGAGATGGTCCCAGATTGCGCCCACGTCTTCCCCTTTCTTACTGTGTCTGTTTCAAAGCAAGCCATCACCCCTGGCCTGGCGTGGCCAACGATCCATCCCAGCCCGATGGCGTTATTCGCGCGCGCACAGAGCGGACAATGTCGCGCCCACCACGCCTTTACCACCAAGACCTCGCGCATCAGCATCGTCTGCTACTCAATCTACTTTGTCGTCTTCCTGGGACTCTTCTTCTTCACCGCGACTCGCTTTGCAGTCAGCGACAGTAAACGTCAATTCACGGTGCAATGGCTCCTCCTCGCCATTGCCGTCACGTTTATGCTCCTGTACACTCGACGGGGGTGGTGGGGTCGATGAATGGGGCGGACCGGACGGGGGGATCTGTTGGGCTTGCGGAGGAAGCGATCCGGGAGGTGCAGGCGAGGATGTATGTCGAGGACTTCTTCTATGCGGTTGCGGTGCTGAGTGCGGCGGTGGTGATCCGTCGCGGCGGTTGGGAGAGGGACGGACGAAGAAGAGGAGGTCGAGGATTGGGAGGGTGAGGAATATGTCGAGAGATGTGCGAGGAAAGGGGGATCCGTGAGATGATGCAGTCAGGAAGAGATTAGGTTTTAATTTTATGAACATATTTGCCCCTTCCCCTTCTCTGATGATGTACAGTATATATAACACGGCGGACGATTGCGGCCATCAGGCAAATGAGTTTTCACTTGGTGTTCTGCCGGCAGAATCAATTCATCTCCTAGCTAGGCTATTTAAGCGAGTATTTTGTACGTACTACATGAAGCTTTTAGACTTGCTTAGCTTCACCTTGCGGCTACTAGTCCTGAGCACCACGGAGAGGTGCAAGTCTTGCCCAGGGTGCTGTACACAGGTATCCCGTACAGCTGGGGTGCAAGAGATACTAGAAATCGTACGTACCTTAATCGATCTCAATGATTTCGTCTGGAATAGTAATCACGGGGATCTCCTCTATATCTTCCTCCTTTATAGGAGGGGGGCGGCGGGCAGGCACCAAAACCACCTCCTCCTCTTCCTCCTCAAACCCCAGCAGAATTGGATTCGTACGGGCTCCCGGAGCAGGCGACCCCCTCCCAATAATAGGAGTAGGGGGATTGGCTGGTCGTACGGCCCCCCATGCTGAGTCTCGGATGGAGCAACGAGATCCTGCATCCGGCCATTTGCAGTTGGCGCATGCTCCATCGAATGCCCCAGGTAAGTGGTGGCATTCTGGGAAGGGACCGGCTTGACTAGTACGGCAGCTAATACAAGCCTCAGGCGGACGACTTCCCAAAGACTGGATCAGCAGGGCATTAATATAGGACGGCCGATGCGAAGCGATCTGATAAGCTTGGATCCGGCCGTATCGGAACTCAACGTCACGCGCCTCGTACGAAGCAAGTACGGTCCTTCCCACATTGGTGTGGACGTACGGGGCAATCATCCCTAGATCACCACGAGGGATCACTGGGTTGCGGCCCTCCGGGAGCCCTTCGTACAATCGGTCCCAGTATCTCCGCAGATCTGGGGGCACGTACACCCCAGGAGGAGTGTAGTTGGGGGGCCGGCGGGCAGCACGGCGCGAGGCAGGACGGAGGGTGTTGTTGTTGTTATTGTTTCTGTTACTCGTACAAAGTCAGTTAGCACTATCTTCATCAATTTTCATCATCTTTTTTGTCAAAAAGAAACCAGAGATTGGGTAAATAAGCTTAGCTATAGCTTCTCTGCTTTCCAACACGTACGAAGACATTTTGGAGGGGGGAAGGGCGGTTGGTGATGGTGGTGGTGGTGGTGGTTGTAAGGAAGAAGAGAGGAAGAGAAGAAGAAAACAGGTCTGGAATAAGAAGCTCACCAGAAATCATAACACAAGAGAAATTCAATCGTACGAAAGAGTCAGTATCAGTTTTAAGAGTATATACACTTATAAATCAAACGGAATTCCATATTCTGCTGTCCCCTTCTTGTCCTTTGCCTTCAGCACGTATTTCTGCCTTGTACGATGAGGTGGTGAGGGTGAGGCAGAAAGTAAGCATTTCTGTACGTTGCTGATCTGGCGATGCTGAGGTTCCTGAGATTCTGCAGTCTTTGATTCTGCAGTTTCTGATCGTACAAATAGGCTCTTGGACGATTCCTTTTCAACCTTTGGAGATGTAGATGGTTCTGTTTTAACTCCAACCTCCTCTTCTTTAACAAGAGATGTATGCGTACGGCGCTCAATAATCAGAAGAATCTGATAGACTTGACTTGTTGATGTACGAAACCAGGCCTTTAGAAAATCACCTGCTTTCTGTGTAGTATCAACCTTTGGACTTAAGAAAACAGGCTCTGTTCTAAGTAGGCCTGTTGCTAGTCGAAACTCGTCATTCTCTTGTTGTACGTACTGTCGCTGGTGTAAAGTCAAATCAGTTGTAACTGTATGGTCTCGCTTCTGAATACTCCAGGAACTTAGTCGACTCTTGATCGTACGTTCTGCAACCTGAATATGATATTTTTCTCGAAGTGTAGAAGCGATACGTGTAGAAGAGTAGCTCTGTTGATAAAGATCAATAATCTCCGTCTTGTACGGCTCAAGATTGATAAATGGAGGCATCTCTTGTTGTAAAGAAAAGGTTGAAGAACTGTATATATAATAGTAGAAGAGAATAACTTCATATAATTATTTTAGAAGCAGTAAGATAAGCAGTAACAGGACTTGTGAAAATCGGTAGAAAACTCCATTTGCCCGATGGCCGCAATCGTCCGCCGTAATATATATGCTCCTCTTGTAGATAAGTAGTCAAGCGCGCAACCTCCAACTAATCCACCTCATCCACTCCTTCATTCCCATCCCCGGCTTCAGCCTGCGCCTCCTCTAACACGACCGTGAAGTTCACCACCAAATACTCCTCCCCGGTGGTCCTATTCTTCAACACATACCGTAACACATTATTCTTCTCACTCACATACTTACTAATGTTGAGTGTAATGCCGGGAATATGAATCGCGAACCCTAACTCCGCGTCAGCACATATTTCCCTCCCTGCCCCCTTTCCCCCCCCAGAAAAGACACTCCAACCACAACATACCATTAAAATCCAGGTAGGGATTCCCAAAATCCGCCTGATACACCCTCCCGGGCTCGAATTCAAACTCCGCTCGTTTCTCCTCCGCGCGGAAGAACTTCGTCCGGGCCGCCGCATCCTCCGGCATCCCGTATCGCCTGCGCACCTCCTCCCCCGACCCATCCGCCCCTTCCATCACCACCAAATCCGACCTTGCCTCGCTGGAGTGCGGGGTGGTGGTATCCCCCACGCGCAACTGATTCCACGAGGCCAGCGCCGGACTATACAGGTAGGGTTTCTCCGCGTGGGCGTCGCCCTCGAGCGAGGGGTCGAGCATGGTCTGGACGATCCGAAAGGCGGTCCCGAAGCCCGGGGGCAGGTAGTCGCGGATCGGGTGGTCGAAGTCGTTGCCGAAGAGGAGGTCGTTGCCGTTCACCGGGTGGGTGAAGGTGAGGGAGAAGGTGAGGCTGTATCTGTTGTCATTGGCGGTGAAGTAAGGGTTTGTCGCTGGGGAGGAGGCGGGGTAGCCTGGATGTGACGTTGGGGGTTAATATTCGGGGTGGATGGATGGATGAATCATCCGCGAGGGATGTTTGGATGGATGATACCGGTGTAGTCCTTGATGCGCACCCAGAGGTCGGCGGTGAGATGAGAGCTCTCGATGCGAAGGGGGTCGGGGCCGTTGACGGTGACTTGGTGGTGGGTTTGAGGGTCGTAGTGGGGGCCGGCGGTGATGCGGAGGCGGTGGTGGGGGGGTTTCTTGGTATTGCTGGTGAACATGATGGAACTGCTTTTGTAGTTAGACGTGGATGAGGAGGATATCTGTTCTACTGAATAGTTCTGATATCAAATTATAGGAAATTTGTGCATTGAAGCTTTCAAGGTATGACGTAGGGGGGGGTAATTATCCGCTTATCTTATCAGTTCCTTCACTAAGTTATTCTCAGATCAAGTCAAGTCAAATCACTTCATTTCATTTGACAAGACACGATCATGACAGGTTTATTGGTTATTCTCGTACTTGCTATAGTGCAAACAAGACCATACACATTGTCATAAATGGTCATAATCCAGCTGTTCAAGGGGGACCAGTTTGCATTGGAAGAAAAGGTCTGGCGGGATCAGGAAAAGTGGATGCGATGCGCCCAGGGGCTGATATCATACTTACGCCGTGTTGACACCAGCGCCCTATTTATTCTATTGAAAAATCCCCCCTCGAACCACCCCCATGATGCTGAATTCTTTTTCACATCACTGAATTACTGAACCAAAATATCATCATGCAGTCCGTACTACAGCCCATCATCGGTCCCAAGAAGGAGATCCACGACCTGTCCGGTCGCGTCGCTTTGATCACCGGCGGTGCCTTGGGAATAGGGTGAGTGTTGTCTCAGTCCATCAATTTTTTCTGGCGTCCCTGACCAGTCCAGATATGAGGTCGCTCGTGCCTTTGTCCTCAATGGCGCCCGAGTTATCCTGGTCAACCGCAAGGAGGAACAGGGCCAGTCCGCCATCGAGTCGATCAAGAAGGAAGCCGGCGCGAACGCGCAGGTCGAATGGATTCCCTGCGACATGGGCAACCTCAAGGAAGTCAGAGAGGTCTTTGAGGGAATCCGCCAGCGCGAAGAGCGGCTGGACCTGGTAAATGATCCCTGGGATTCAGTGCCCCGGTATACCGGACCATCTCGCTGACCAGCCCCCAGCTCATCCTCTCGGCCGGCATCAACGCCAACCAATACGGCGAAACGCACGACCAGATCGACCGCCACTTCCAAGTCAACTGGCTGGGCCAGTTCTACGTCGTCAACCAGCTCTATCCCCTCCTGCGCAAGACCTCCAAGCTGCCCAACACACCCGCCCCGCGCATCGTCTTCGAGTCCTCCGAGCAGCACCGTAATGCCCCGCCTGATGTGCACTTCGGCTCGCTGGAGGAGCTGAACAACCCCGAAGTCGGCAACACGCAGTTGTACGGCCGCACCAAGCTGGCCATTATTCTCGGTGTCAAGTACGGCCTGCTGGACCGGGTGATTAAGCCTAATAATGATAACATCTATGCGCTCTCTGTTCACCCTGGCGCTGTAAGTCTCCCTTTTCTCTTTCGCGTGTGGTTGTCGCAGAAAGGGAGTGGGTATACGGAGTACCTCGAATATCACACCCTGCTCCGGCCTCGTCTCCCCCCGCCCCCCGGCCCCCCTCCACCCCCTATACTCAGCCAGCAATAGATCCCCACCGCAATCATCCATCTCGTTTCAATATCCTGGTCACTCACATGCTCATCAAATCAAACAGGTCAACACAGCAATGCAAGGCCAGTGGAAGGACGCCTACCCAGGCATCGTCGGCAAGATCCTAACCACGGTGATGCTGGCCGTCGGCCGCAACGTCGAGCAGGGCTCGTACAGCGCGCTGTGGGCCGCGACCAGCCCCGAGATCGAGGAGAAGGGATGGAACGGCTACTACTTCAGTGACGTGGGGCAGCTGGGCAAGGAGAGCAGCCAGGCGTCGGATCCCGTGCTGGGCGCCGCCCTGTGGGATCTCAGCCACCGGCTGATCAAGGAGAAGGCGGGTGAGGATGCGGTGGTGGATTGGAATGCGAGTGCTTGAGCGGTTTGATGACTATTGGTGTATGATTTTGATGAATGTATAGCGCAAGCGCAAGTTACTGTCTCAAATGAAGTCGGAATTGTATTCTGCTCTTCGAGGTATTGTTCTTCATACTCCGTCCCTTGGACCTGTAATCTGGCCGCAGGATGGATGGTGGTTAAAACGAAATCTCCTTCTGGTGTGATATCCAGGCTGTAGATAAATCGTGGACAGCAGCTGCCAATGCGGTGCGGCCAGCCCTACCCCAGCTTTACTCCGCCACCACCAGGTACAGCTCGTTGTACGCGAGACTAGACAGTTCGCAACCATTAGTCCGACCACGTCATAGCGCGGGGGTTTCGACGATCACTAAACTCCTCTTCTCCTCATACGGTGACAGCACAACAGCTAACGGGACCAGAGGCGATATCGAACAGGAAGTCAACGGACGTTACTGGTGCAACCGCAAGGAACAGGTGCCAGCAACGAGAGTCAGTGGGATTATGGATACGGCACAACAGGACTACCATGAGCATGTCGCTGCAACTTCGATATGACCATTAATTCGCCTTGGGGAGGTGTGCTCTCAGCGATAGATATACAGTGCAAACCATCCCTACCTACTCATGTACCTCCTTGTCAACAGACCGCTGCCGCCTCCACCCAAACCCCCACCAATACACCATCCACAGACACGGACTGCCCACCACCCAAACCCCCGCCATGACCGTCGCCGTCCACCCCATCCCAATCCTCCCAATGAGGGGCGCCGCCACCGCGGTGGCCCCCGCGCCCAGCAGACAGCGGAAGAGATTATTCGCCGCCACCGCCGTGGCGGGACTCTGCCGATTCACATCCACCACGAGGGTACTCAGCGCCGTGAACGCCCCCGTCAGCAAATGACTGCCCACGAAAAGGATGATCAGAACCCCCGCCAGCGACACGCGGTACCGCATCAGCCAACCATACGCCACAAACACCCCCGCAGCCCCGTAGGTGAGCGGGATCGCGACGACCAGGCGCGCGCGCTCGATGTTGAAGTTCGAAATCTCCTGCTGCTGGTTGGGGAGGATGGGGAGGTTGTCGCGGTGGGCGGCGCGCCGGAAGCTGCGGTCGAGGAGAAAGCCGACGGTCCAGCGGGAGGTGAGACTTCCCATCCCCAGGGGCAGGTAGCAGAGGCCCACTTGGATGGCGTTGAAGTGATAGTAGGTGGTGAGCTCGCCGGAGAGGGTGGTCAGGACGGCGGCGATGCCGGCGTAGAGCAGGGCGCCGTAGATGAGAATGAGGGCGTTTTCTCGGTCGAGGGCGAGACGAGCGGCGCGGAGGGGGTTGAGAGGCCGTTTCGGGGGGATTGTTGGTGGGGAGGTGGGGTTCGTGGTGGTGGTAGTGGTGGTGATGGTGGGTGAGAGGATCGCAAGGGGAGGTTGGTTCCAGCGGGGAGCTGAGATAGAGCCATTGCCCACGACTGCGCGGCAGGTCTCGGGAAAGGCCAAAGCAATGATCACGAGGAAGACGGCGGAGACGATCACCATGAACCAGAAAATCCAGCGCCATCCCAGGAAGTGGTCAATGAGACCCCCAATCACCGGGCCCAGGGCAGGCCCGAGGGTCACCCCGAGAGAGGCATAGGCGATATATTTCCCTCGCTCTGCCCTGGTAGACACATCCGCCACCACGGCACTGCCTAGCGCTATGGTCGGGCTGCTGCCGCAGGCTTGCAGGCAGCGAAGCACCATGAGGGCTGCGTAGTTGGATTGTCGAGCCAGGCCGATGTTCGCTGCGAGGGAGATCACGAAACAGAATAGATATGCCGGCCGACGACCATGGGTGTCGGAGAATGATCCAATCACTGATGGGGCGAGGGCTTGAAAGATCTGTTTAGGGTTAGTATCACTCTCCTTGTGGGCATGGGATAGGATCGATAATCTACCAGGTAAATCATGACGGTGAGGTTAATGCGTGCGGTGGACACATGCATAGCATCGGCTAGGGAGGTGAGGGCTGGAAGGTAGATCGTGCTGGATAGAGGCGAGATGACGCCCGCGAACGAGGCTGTGAGCATCAGACAGATCTTTTTCCTCTCGGAGAGGATACTGTAGGGGGCTGGGGGGGAGGCATCTGTGGTCTGGTTCTTTTCCGGGTCCTGGTGGATGTCTTGGGTGGTGGACAATGGGGGTTTCTGTTGAGGCTTCTCCCCATTCAAGGCTGCCTCCATGATGTCGTGGTGATAGGCTCAGCCACGCATCTTCTCCTGGAGATGCAATCACTTCATCCATTTTATACTCCAAGTCGTTGTTTGGCACAGGCCGGTTTCGGGCCGTTTCCGGGACTGAGGTGGGTCAGTCCGCGCTTGTCTCCGAGCCGGTCCAGGCTTTGCATAGCAGTTGGTGCTTACAGCCATGATTTATAGCCGCTGGGGTCTCCCTCCTCAACGGTCCGGCAGCATTAGTTATCGATAGTATCCCCTGCAGCTCTACCATCATGACTTGCGAAGCCTGTCGCACCATCCCCCCCGTCATCACCCAGGGATATACTCCTAAAGGGACCTACGAAGACATCGCTGGCCTTAACACCTGTCAATTCCTCCTCCCCCCTAATCATTCGACCACTGGAACTGACCAGGAGCAGATGTGACGGGCCCGCAAGATGCCTCGGTGGGCCTGATCGATATCTACGACATTTTCGGCTTCTCCAGCCAAACCATTCAGGGGGCCGACCTTCTGGCCATCCGCCTGAACGCGGTGGTCATCATTCCGGATTTCTTCCAGGGTGATAAAGCCGACCCCTCCTGGCTGCCAGCCGACACGCCGGACAAACAGCAGGCGCTGACCAAGTTCGTCACCACTCGGGCGTCTTGCCCTGATGCAGTCAATGTGCTGTTGAACAATGGGATTCCAGCCTACCGCCGCCGGTTCTCCAGCGTGCAGGCGTGGGCTGTGACCGGGTTGTGCTGGGGAGGGAAGGTCAGTACTACGTCTTTTTTTTTTTTTTTTTGTGAATTGAATGAAGAACTTACCAACAGAGTCAGGTGGCCGTTCTGGCTTCGGGAGCCGATACTCCATTCATTGCATCGGGCCAAGTACATCCCGGGTATGTTTCTTTCCTTTTTTTTGGGTGGGGTATTGAAGCTAATGGCAGTAGACGCATGGCGGCAGAAGATGCTCAGCGGTTGACGATCCCCCACCTTGTGCTGGCGTCCAAAGATGAGCCGGCTGATGTGGTGGAGGCGTATGCGAAGACGATTGCGGAGAAGGGGCTGGGAGGGCATGTGGAGACGTATACGACGTCGATTCATGGGTGGATGGGGGCACGAGCTGACTTGGAGAGTGAGAACAGTTTGGCGGAGTACAAGCGAGGGTATAACCAACTGGCGGATTTCTTTGAGAAGTACTTCCAACAAGCCAGGTAGATATTGTCTGTGACATGTACTTAGATTTATCAAGCATGAAGAATTGCTGCACCTCAATTGAATGTGTTGTTGTGCAGGCTTGTGCATGCATAACCATTCAGGAGTCATTGCATAAACGGGCGGCTGACACATCAGTTTTGGGGCTAGCGTGTTTCACCTCTATTGGCCAAAGAACAGTCGCATCAGCTGACCTTCTCTTCGAATGGCTTGAACTTCAACTTTTGTCCCCCGGTCTATAACTCGATCCATTATGGCTTCTGGAACAGTTCACAACCAACATTCTCATCTCCGAATCTCCAGTCACATCTCACATCTATAGATAGCTCCGATCTCCCACCGCCATCCCGTCCGCCATCAGCCCCTAACCGAAGCAGCCCCCCCGTTGCCAAGCGAAGCGAAGCTTTGTGGTGGGCCCCCAACCGCCGTCGTTTCACTCGATCTCCAATTATCGCCCTGCAAGAGGGGAAAATGATGGAGAAGTGATGGCTGCCAATTGCCCCGTGGTTCCATTCATCGTGTCCAGTGTTTTCCCCCGGAGTTGAAGTTTTCTTCCCCTTTTCCTCATTTCATTCTTCATCTTTGGCATGGCCTTTGCGCCGCTGGCTCTATTTTCGTCTCTCCCCCGCCCCTAAAAAAGAATTATGCTGTAGAAGGGACACACCGCGGCCTCTCCGTCGTGAATCACTTTCTTCTTCACTTCAATTCCTGTCTTTCCCCTCATCGCCACGAACCGCCGGTGGGTCGATCGTGTTAAGTGACTGCACTGGTGTGTGTGTGTCTTCCCCAGCCGGGCAATTCTCCACAGTCCCTATTTTCGGGTGGTCTGTCACTTTTCTTTTCTTCTTTCCTTCTTTCTTTCTTTCTGTCTATTGCTCCTCAAGGGTATTATTTACTTTTGCATCATCATTGCTGCCTGGTCAGCTCCTGTCGCTACCTAAGACGCAGCATGTGAGTCTTTCCTTTCTCCCTGCAACCCCCACCACCCCAAATCTCCCCACTGACCGCTTCGTCCACGACCATGCAGGATCCGCGCCTAACCGAGTGTGTCTGATTATGCCTACATTTCCGCTTCCCCCTACCACACCTGACCCGCCTGTTCACCATGTCCAGCTCAACCGAGACCCTCGATCCCATCCGCTCCAAGGCCAGCTCCTCCGGCCCAGACTCCCACCCCGCTGACGACCACCTCGGCCATGACGACGCCGACGAACGGCCGTTGACCGGCCACGTAAATGACCCCAGCAGTGGAAATGGAGGCGGAGGCGGAGGCGGGGGAGGCTCGCACCAATGGGGGGTCTTATTCAAAGCGATCAAAGAGGGGACCTCGCAGCTCGCCGAGAAACTCGGCCGCAACCCGGACGGCGGCGATGGGCTGGACTCGGCGTGGCACCCGGAGGATTTTGGATACCAGGAGGACATCGAGATGCGGGAGATGCTGGCCCCGGGGGAAGGAGGCGGGGAGGATTCGTATGCCAGCCAGTTGCAGTCTTTGCTGGGGGCAGATGCGAGTTTGTTGGTGAGTAAGCTGGGGCTGGGGAGCGGACAGGGGATGCATCATCGCACGGCGGAGGAGGCGGCGGCGGAGAAGGAGGCGGATATGGTCGGGGGGGTGTTATGGCATCTGCTGGGCCATCAGATGGGCCATGATCCTGAGCAGCCCCAGCCCATTTCAGGGGCGACGACCCCGGCGGCGCAGGATGAGGAGGACGCCCTGGGACCCCTGCCGAGCGAGGTGGTGCGCAAACGGCGGAAGAAGAAGTGGTACGACGAGGCGGATCGGGATCCGCGGAGTGCGAAGGAGCGCAAGAAGGCGCGCGAGGCGCGGCTGGCGGAGAAGATCGGCTCGTTGCTCACGCGCCAGCGGTATCTGATGCAGCTGTGTCGCGTGATGATGAAGTGCGGCGCCCCGACCCATCGGCTGGAGGAGTACATGCAGATGTCGGCCTTTGCGCTGCGCGTCCACGGCCAGTTCCTGTACATCCCGGGGTGTATGATCATCTCCTTCGATGACCCGCTGACGCGCACCGCGGAGGTGAAGCTGGTGCGCATCATCCAGGGGTGTAATCTCGGCCGGCTGGGCGAGGTGCACAACTGCTACAAGAATGTCCTGCACGGGAAGCTGTCGGCGGCGGAGGCGCTGCCGGTGCTGGACGACATCCTGACGCGGCAGAGCAAGTGGCGCACCCCGTGGATGATGGTCCTGGTGGCCGGCTTCATCAGCGTGGCGGTCGGTCCCTGGGCGTTTGGCGCGCGGCCCATCGACATGCCCATCATCTTCGTGCTGGGCTTGCTGATGGGGTTCATGCAGTACATCCTGGCCCCGCGGTCAGCGCTGTACTCGAACGTGATGGAGGTGACGGTGGCGATGCTGATCTCCTTCCTGGCGCGCGCCTTTGGCAGCATCCGCCACAACGGCGAGTATCTGTTCTGCTTCCCCGCCATGACGCAGTCGGCCATCGCGCTGATCCTGCCGGGGTACTCGGTGCTGTGCAGCAGTCTGGAGCTGCAGTCGCATCAGATTACGGCTGGGTCGATTCGACTGGTGTACACGATCATCTACTCGCTGTTCCTGGGGTACGGGGTGACGGTGGGGCTGACGATTTATGGGTTGATGGACGACCACGCAACGGAGCAGACCTCGTGCACGGCGTCGAGCCAGCTGATCTACGGGAATACGTATGTGCAGCACTTTGTCTTCCAGATTATTTACGTGGCGTTCGCAGGGATTGTCAGCCAGGCCCGTCTGCGCCAGCTGCCCTTCATGTGCGTGCTGGGGTTGTCGGGGTACGTGGCCAACTACTTCGCCACAACGTACCTGAGCAGCCAGATGGCCAGCATCATCGGCTCCTTCACCATCGGGCTGCTGGCGAATCTGTACAGTCGGGTGTGGCACGGCCACGCGGCAGCGGTGATTGTGCCGGGCATGTGGACGCTGGTGTCGTCCGGGTTGGCGAGCAGTGGATCGATCGTGGCGGGGCTGCAGTACGCCAGGGCCGTGAAGGAGGGGACGACCAATACCTCGTCGAACCAGATGGTCGAGTCGTTGCTGAGTCTGGGGGTGAGCATGGTGCAGACCGCGCTGGGGATCACGGTGGGGCTGTTCCTGTCGGCCTTGGTGGTGTACCCCGGGGGGAAGCGCCAGGGGGGGTTGTTCAATTTGTAGCATTGGCGTTTTGCATCTCTCTCATCCTGCCCGGTTTGCATGGATATTCTAGCATTGCGGTCTATCGTTGTGGTTTGCGGTTTGCATCTAACTTGCATGGCGCCTTCTGTTCCTATCTTGCATCTGTGCATCTCTCCAGCATTTTGATTTGAAAGCCAACGCCTGGATGGATTTATCACCAGCCACATGTCCCCATCGAATCTTCTTGTGCAGGCCTTACTCCACCAACGGATTCTCCTCTCTCTCCCTCTTGCGATCCCCCAGCGTCGTCCCAATCTGCCTGACCACCAACCAGGCCGGCAGCAGCGAAAGAGCCCAGAGGCCAAAGTTGAGATACGTGCCGCCCACCGAGGCCATCACCCCGACACTGCTCAGCCCATACTACTCTGGTTAGCACAGCCCACTGTAAACAAGCCCAATACTCACCGACACCGCCTGCACCGCCGACTCCGTCCCGCGCAGCAGAGCCGACAACCGGACGACCTCCTCTGTGTTTCTCGCCAAATGGCCCACAATAAAGTACCTGCTCGCATGCCATTAGCACCAACCCCCATCACCTTTCTCGACCTCTCCCACACCTAGAGGACCAACACTCACAGAAACATATAGTTCACCTGAAACATGGCCACCCAGAACAAATACAACACCCACCCCCTCGCAAACCCCGGGTCGGTCCAATCCAGGGCCGCCTGGTCCCTCTGCTTGTAGATGGTGGTGATCACCGTCGCCCAAACCCACACCCCCCCTTGCAGCGTCATGATCACGGCAAACACCCCCCTCGCTTTGCCCCGCAGACTCCCCCGCGCCCCATCGAGGATCCAGCCCAGCGCGTTCCCTGCAATCAGCGCCAGACAGCCCGAGAGAAAACTCGCCAGCGCTCTGGCCCGGACACTGAACCACAAGTCCAGGTAGGTGAACATGACCGCCTCCGTGTAGATTGCCTGGGCGATGAGCGGGAGGATCAACACCACATTCCTGGTCCCCAGGAGCTGCAGGGTGCGTTTCAGCTCATATCCCACCCCGTGCTCCGAAATCGCGAGATGGACTGGCTTCCCATCCCTCCGCTGCACTTTCTCCGGCGGGGTGAGCAGCAATCCTGCGATCGGCCCGCACGCCTGCAAGGCCACGAACACCAGAAAGACCGCATAGCTCACACTCCCCGCGCTCGCGCGATCCACATTCAACCCCAAGTTGATCGCCCCGCCGAGGATCTGCCCGCCCACGCGGAAGGACAGCCACAGACCGAGAAAGAACCCCTGCCGGCGGGGCTCCGGGTAGGCCAGGGCGATGCTGCTCTCGGCCAGCCAGAAGATGCCCGCGCTGAGGCCGCAGAGCGCCGCCCCGAGCAACAGCAACCAGCTGCTGTGGAAGCGGTTGTTCGTGTACAAGCCGGCCGCGTAGGGGGCGTAGCCGATCGTGCCGAGTATGAGGGTGTATTTGATGCCGATCAGCCGCACGATGGCGCTGCCGAAGAGGCAGGAGAGGACCATGAGGCAGAAGGTGAGGGCGTTGGCGGCGTCGACCAGGTAGGGCGATTCGCTGCCGCCGCCGCCCAGGGAGTTCATGGCGGTCCAGAGGCCCGGGGCGAGGAAATTGCATAACCCTAGAATGAGGGCGTTGTAGGTGGTGGAGCGGTACCATTTCGGTTGGTTGGAACTTGGTTGGTTGGGGGGGGTGGTAGGGGGTTGCTCCGTCGAGGAGGAGGTGGTGATGGTTTTTTCGGACATGGTAGAGGTTGCATCAAGGTTCGGTTGGGAAGGTTACTTGTTAAGTCTATTGTAGGCAGCTGGTCCTTTATATACAACTCTACATACAAAAACCCTTGCAGATGCAGAGACCACTTCTAGATTGTCTCGGTCGAGAAACGCGGGACAGATGTTGCAGGATGGGGGGGGAATTACGTGCTCGCACGGCATTTTAGCTGCAGATGAAGAAGAACTCAAGCTTCATGACATTGTTCATTTATATTCCGTCGCTAATCCGCCACGCGATAAACAATTCATAAGGAGCCAATTGGCTGTTGTATTGCAATTTGATGTACCCAACCCAACCAGGCACTCCTGATACAGTAACTTAACCCTAATCCGCTATCGTCGCAACCCGTCCCCCTCACCACCACCACCACCACCATCACCACCATCATGGATTACTCCCGATCCTCCGGGGTAAACACCAAGACCCGCACCTCAATACTCTCCCTGGGCTCCTCGTGCTCCGTCCCGGGAATCTCAAAGGCGCTGTGCGGCACACGCCGGGCCCGCCCATCCGTCTTGCTATCGTAGCACTTGATGAGGGTGACCCAGTCGGGGGTCTGCGCGTGCCGGTAGTACCACTTCGTAGCCAGATTGGCGCGCACGCTGTAGGTCTCCCCCTCGCGGTGGGGGTAGATGAGCTTGATGGGGATCAGGTCGGCGTCGGCGACGGTGTGGGCGGCGGCGAGGGCCAACGGGTCGCGACGGACGGGCTTCAGGGGCCGCCACACGTTGATGATCTGGTAGCGGCCCTGCAGGAGGACGTCGGCCTCGTCGGGGAGGTGGAAGCGGACCCGCTCGAGGGCGGCGGGGAAGGACTGATCGATGTGGACTTGGAAGACGGGGGAGCGGAGGGCGCTGCTGCTGCTGCTGTTGCTGCTCTCGCGCGTGGGACGACGGATGGTATGGTCAAAGATGAAGGTGCGGGTTGCCCCGGTTCTAGCAGGAGGGATGATGGTGTTATATCAGTCGGTGGTTGGGTGTAGGAGGATCATCCGACTCTTACTTACACTTCTTTAATCAACGCATCCACCTCTGGATAATACACCCGGTGGATCTGCGCCTCATCCACAAACTCCGTCTCGGCACTGACGTGGCGGTGGAACTGGAATCCAGCCCCGTCCAGCGTGTACTCGGCCTCGCGGCCACTCACGTCGTGGATCGTGGTCGGGACTTTCACGAACGGGCGCTGGAAGGTCTGCGGCTGGTTTGCGTACGTCGGGCGGAGATGCGACCCGTCCGCGACTTCTTGGATGTAGTTGAGGGTGGTTTGCACGTCGTGCGGGCGCTGCGTCGCGGGCTGGGAGGTCGATGCAGTCTGCGGGGGGAGGGACGGAGTGGCGTCGGCGAAGGGGTGGACGTTGCCGGTCGTAGGGAGCTGGACTGCTGCTGCTGCCATTGTGCTGCTGTCTTTGCGGTGATAGTATGTATATCGTTTGTGATGCAGATCGAGTGCTTGATATGATTCAAGGGCTATGGCCACCAGCACTGGAAGTTATATACCCAGGATCACCCTGCATTTGTCAGACAAGCACGCCATCCCCACGCTGATAAATCCAGCTGCATGCGTGCAGTCCGGGGTCGTCATTACCAGCCCAGATGATGCGAATCGTATGGTAGGCCTTACATGGCACGCGTGTCTCCGTGCGATCATTGGATTGCATGGACTATAGACCAGGATGTCATCGGATGCGCCAATTACGAAGAACGCGGGGAATGCTTTGATATACTGATTTCTAAGCATCACACCAGCACCATTTCACTGCAGCGTACATGTCTGGATTATCAATCTAAGTACTACTACTCGTAGACGCGAATCAATCTGCGATGGATGGCCCCGTCCTCCGCCACCGTCTTCTCTTCCTCGAGCTGATAACCGCCCCACCGTGGGAGGAGGACCGTCCACACGTACCAATATAACACGCCGAACACGATCCTACACAGTTAGTCCGGGCTCTTGTGTCACAACTGCGAAAAACTTACACGCCAGTCCCCACGATCGCGTAGGTTGCGTAGAAAAAGCCTACATCGCCCTGGCCGCCCGCCGGCGGGAAAAAGGGCGAGGCCAACAGCACGAAAGAGATGAGCACACGCAGCCACACAGCCGGTAGCCAGGCTTTGAACGGACGCGGAAGATCGGGCTCCTTGTAGCGGAGGAGCAACAGCCCGAGCGTGACCGCCAGACTGAAGAACTGGCCCGGGTAGCCCTCGACGTCCAGGATGAAGTTGTAGACGTCCCCCTGCGGCGGCAGGGCAATCACCAAGACGGAGGGGATGTAGTGCACCAGCAGGCCTCCCAGCGGCGCGCCAAAGGGTCGCGAGGAGGCCAGCACCGTCGACCAGGGGAGGAACCCTTGGCGGGCGATCTCCTGGTTCACGCGGGCCTGGTCGCGTCAGTTTCCATGACCTTGAGGATATCGATGGGAGAGACGTACGTACCAGGGCAAAGGTGACGACCATGACATTGCCCGCGGCCGAGATGGCAATCGCCAGAGGCAGCAGGGTCCGGCCGACCTGGTTGCCAAACAGCCGCTCGAAGAGCAGCGCGGCGACCAGCTCCCCGCTGCTTTTGATCTCGTCGAGGGGAAGGACGAGAAAGTAGGAGACATTGGCCAGGAAGTACAGCCCTCCGGCTGTCGCCAGTGCGGCGGGACCCACCGTCTTGAGGGTGCGCACCGGGTTGCGCACCTCGTTCAGGACGTTGTTCAGGTTGCTCAGCCCGGCGTACGAGTAGATGACCTTGAAGAGCGAGGTCGACAGCAGATTCCAGCTCCAGTTCGAGTCCCCCCACAGCGAATCCCAGGTGAATACCCCCCGCTCGCGCGATCCCCCGGACGAGGCATCGGTCTCGCTGGGCGGCCGCACGAGGATCACCCAGATCCCCGTCAGCGCGATCGCCCCCACGAGGAAGATCTTGAGCCATCCCAGCACATTCTGCACCCAGATCCCCGTCCGCAGGAAGAAGCCATGCATCACCGTGACCACGGTGAGCAGGCCGAGCGCCAGGAGTTTGTGCTGTAGCTCGGTGGGGTGGATGTTGACCGCGAACAAGGTGTATTTGGCAAAGACGATGCAATTGCTAGCGGTAAACCCCAAAACAACCGCCTGGACGGCGATCAGGGTGGACGCGAGAAACCGTGGACGGGGATAGGTATATTCCAGGTAGACCTGCCCATGTCAATACCTATGGGGGCAGACTGGATGCCATCGGGCCAACGAGTACTGTACGGACCTTATCACCCCCCGATCGGGGCAACATGCATCCATACTCCAACGAGACAGCCAGGCCACAGGCGGCGAGGACGGTGCCCACCCCCCATACCACCAGAGACAGGCCCACGCTGCCGGCGGACTTGACGATCGATCCAGGCGTTGCGAAGATGCCACTGCCGATAACTCGGGAGACCACGAGAATATAAGCGCTCGTCCATGTCAGGGCTTTGGTCTCGTTGGCGGGCGGTTGCGTGGCTGCTTCGGCGTCGGGCACCTCGTCCGGGAACACTGGGGGCGCGGGGATGCCCAGCAGGGGCTGTTGTTCGTTGGGGGTCATCCTAATGCCTTAATTCTCGAAGTCGAGTAGTGGTGCATCTCCTTGCGATGGAGGGGAGCTCTGAGATGGCTGACAAGAAGGCAATAGTATGCTGACTCGTAGAATGTTGCTTGGAAATCAAGCACATCCATCCAGGCACGTCATCCTGTGCGCATCTTGTGTGTTTGCAGCTAGATAACCACGTATCGCAAGGGATGGATCACACCGGCTGGAGGCGCAAGGGGATGACCTGTCCGAGGAGGTCATGCCGGAAGTCTAGTAGGGTCCTCGCAGCCTGGCTGACAGGAGTGACTTGAACCATCCTTGACGGTCACTAAGTATCAGAGGGAAGGGCAAGTCATTGCAAGCGTAAGAGCTGGTCTAATAGGAAGAGTGTTTCAATCATATCAAAACAGACCGCGTCTACCTCGTCAGTCGGGGGGGGCAGTTGCGTGCCCTCCCCTCATCAGCCCCGAATCACATCATCTGGCACGGAATTCATGTCATTCGCTGCGGTGCAGCTGGTTGGGGGAGCAGCGGCCGCCTCGTGGAGTCGAGATTAGGGCTCCTTGCCCTCATTCCGCCTCGTCTTCGGACCTCAGTCCCGCCATGGATGGGGAGTGACGAACAGACACGATCTCCATGGATGACTGTCCTTTTATTGAGCAAACGGCCCTGATTTTGGTGATTCTGAGGACATGCCTGTTGGAGGCGACCGATGATCATGGTTGAATAATGGGCGGGATGATACCATCAATGCGTGCTCAGCACGCCATCCCACCCCCGCCCTGCGCAATGTGAACATCACCCTGAATATCGCTATCGCATCAATCATCGCTGAGATCGACCTGTGGCCCGTGTGTTCCGATATCCAGATTCCAGTTTGTATCTCTCGGCCGGGTAATTCCATACATATCTACTACTTTACATCCATTGCTCTTCTGCAATTTACTAAGTGTCCGGTACAGCAGAACACACAACACCCTCAACATGACGACGATATCGACATACACAGTGACTTCCTCCCGGGACGACAAGTACCCATTCGTCTATGCCAATCCTGTGCGGGTCGAGCAGCGATACCACCCGGAGCACGACGATTCATCCCCAGCACAGCCCACCCCTCAAGCCACTGCCACGCAGAGCGCGTTGCTGCTCCATGGCGTCGGACAACAGTACACCCTCGTGACCGACCATGCCATCCCCTCCATTCTGGGCCAGGAGGAGATCCTCGTCAAGGTATGCATGCTTCCGACTGGTGGCCTCCCAACAATAAGATAATAACCACCTGCAGGTCCAAGCCATCGGCCTCAACCCAATCGACTGGAAGGGCCCGTACGTCTCCCCCGTGTCTCCCTTCCATCCTCCCACTACCACCACCTCACGCTAACCTTCCACCCCACAGGGCCTACAACTTCGGCATTCCCAGCCTCCCGTGGATCAACGGCCGCGATCTAGCCGGCGTCGTCGTCGCCGTCCGCGACGCAAACAGCCGCATCCGCGTCGGCGACCGCGTCCTGGTCCCCTCGACCGACTACCGGGACATCCGCAAGGCGGCCTTCCAGCAATACGCGGTAGCAACACACTTCAACGCAGCCCGGATCCCCGCCGCGACAGGGCTGCACGTTTCCGCCTCGCTGGGGGTTGCCTTTGTAGCCGCGACGCTGGCCCTGGGGGTTTCGCTAGGGCTAGACTACACGACCATCGCAGCCTGTCCGGGTCCGAACCTGGTCGAGGTCGTGCAGAAGGTCCCTCCGACGGAGATCCCCGCCGACGTGCGCGAGGAGTGCTTCGCCGCGGTGCCCGAGCATGAGCGGCTGCGGAAGGGCGACTGGCTGGTTATTTGGGGGGGTGAGTCCACACCTTGTCCCCAAAACAGGAGGGGACCGGAATATTTCGCTAACAGACCCGGCCGCGGACTACAGCATCCACAACAACCGGCATGATCACCCTGCAACTGGCGAAACTCGCCGGGGTGAAGGTGATTTGCGTCGCGGATGTCGCGCGCCACGGGGCGCGATTGCACGCGCTCGGGGCGGATGTGCTCGTCGACCGCCACGCGCCCGCCCGCGCCGTCGAGATCATTCGCGGGGTCACGCAGGGGAAGCTGCGGTTTGCGGTGGATATCGTGGGCAGAGACACGGCCGCGTTGTTGCAGGAGGTGTTGGTGGAGGATGGGACGGTGCGCGAGGACGGGTCGCATGCGCATCTGCTGGGGCTGACGGGGTTGCCCAAGGAGCGGCGCCCGGGGATCGTGTATCATACTGTGCCGATTAAGCTGTTTCATGCCTCGGCTGGGGTCGGGGAGACGATGGTGGCGTGGTTGGAGGAGCTGTTGCAGTCCACAGCCTTGGTTTGTCCCGAGGTGGTGCGGCATGCGGGCGGGTTGGAGGGAATTAATGCGGCGCTGGATACGCTGCGGCAGGGAGGGGTGTCGGGGAAGAGGATTGTGATAGAGCTGGAGGGTTAGATGGGTGGATGTATATAGGGCTAGCGTTATGCTACTGTTGTTGACATGCTGCTACGTTGAATGGAAATTGGGATGCTGGGTTTTTAGGGCTTGGCGCTGGATATGAAGTCGGAAAAGTTTTTAGGGCTTGGCGCTGGATATGAAGTCGGAAAAGTTTTTAGGGCTTGGCGCTGGATATGAAGTCGGAAAGACGATATACGCGGAGCCAACTTGGCTGACTGGATGGGAGTGATGGAAACATCGCTACGTCTACTGTGTACGCTTGTACTACATCTTCACCTTTAGAGCGAGTGACCATCCCTCTCCAATAATCCGAACTGAACACAGCCCCTCATCTCACCATCCCTGGCGCGTCTGTCGCCATCGGTGCAGCCTCGCACGTCTTCCGACCCCTCCAGGACTCGCCCGAGAGTCTGTTGCGACTCTCTGCCGATGGAGGGGTCGAATTGATTAATCTGGCCGATAAGAATGTTATCTTCAAAGCAATGTAGACAGTACTATAAGTAATATAACTTCCCAATCTGCATCTCCAGGACATCAATTCACTCATCCAACTTTCACCACCATGGGCTCCTCTACCCCCAAAAAACAACTCATCCTCAATGCCTTTGCCATGCAATCCCCCTCGCACCTCAACCCGGGGCTGCACCGGTACCCGGCCGACCAAGGCCACCGATACACCTCCGTGCAGCACTGGATCCAACTGGCGCAGAAGCTGGAAGCGGCCAAATTCCACGCCATCTTCTTCGCCGACGTGCTGGGGGGCTACGACGTCTACAAGGGACCCGCGAACCTCACCCCGACCATCCCGGCGGGGGCGCAATTCCCCATCAACGACCCCCTCTACAGCATCCCCGCCATGGCGGCGGCCACGCACACCATCAGCTTCGGGGTGACCGCCTCGACGACCTACGAGGCGCCCTACGCGCTGGCGCGACGGTTCTCGACCGTGGACCACCTGACCGGGGGCCGGGTGGGGTGGAACATCGTGACCAGCTACCTGGAGTCGGCGGCGCGGAATTTCGGGTTGAACACGCAGATCGAGCACGAGGAGCGCTACCGCATCGCCCACGAATACCTGGATGTGGTGTACCAGCTGTGGGAGGCCTCGTGGCGCGACGGGGCGGTGCATGCGCACGGGGATGGGGATGGTGTTAGGGGATATGCGGATCCCACCGCCGTCCGCCAGATCCACCATCGGGGGAAATACTTCACCGTGCCTGGTCCGCATCTCTGCGAGCCGAGTCCCCAGCGCACCCCGTTCCTGTTGCAGGCGGGGACCTCCGGGGCGGGGAAGGCTTTCGCGGCCAAGCATGCGGAGGCGATCTTTTTGAATGGGCAGTCGCCGGAGCTGGTGCGGCCCTCGGTGGAGAGCGTGCGGGAGCAGGCCCGCGCGTTGGGGAGGGATCCGGCTGCGGTGAAGATCGTGGCCGGGGTGTTGGTCATTGTGGCGGAGACGGAGGAGAAAGCGTGGGCCAAGTTCAGGGAGTACGAACGGTATGGGGATCGCGAGGGGGCGTTGGCGCTCTTCGGTGGATGGTCCGGATATGATCTCTCCCAGTACGCAGAGGATGAGGATTTCCGGTTCGTCGAGGCCCCCGCCGTGCGCAGTATGGTGAACCACTGGGCGAAGACAGTGCCAGGCGGGGAGGGCAAGAAGTGGAATAAGGCGACGATCGCGGAGTATTTGGTCCTCGGGGGCAATGGGGCGAAGATCATCGGGGATGCGAAGACGGTGGCGGATGAGTTGGAGCGTTGGGTCGAGGTGGCGGATGTCGATGGATTTAACCTCAGTTATGCCAGTCTGCCGGAAACCTTTGATGATATTATCGAGTTCCTGCTGCCGGAGCTGCAGCGCAGGGGGCTGTTTCATACCGAGTACGCGGTGCCGGGGGGGACGATGCGGGAGAATTTCTACGGGGTCAAGGGCCAGACTAGACTGCCAGAAACGCACTATGGCGCCCAGTACTTCTGGAAGGAGGGCGAGGAGGTTCCCCAGTATGCGGTGCAAGGATCGTCTGAGTCGATTGAGTGATGCAGTATACGCGGTGACCAAGAAACCCTAGGATAACTGACTTCTAACTGGAGGTTCGAAGCAGGCTGTTGTATGCAATACTATATACCCCCATGACTCCGTGCTCTCCCATTCACTGGTGCACTCCTATTCTAGCATTTCCTTCATATAGTCCTTCGCGTGGGTTTCGTGGTAGATGATTCTTGCGCGAGTCGGTTATGGTTGTCTACAAGAAAGTGAAGGAGGCGCGGAGTGACCTTCAGCTTCTTATGTGGTTTTTGGTCCACACTGCCCATGTAACCAGATGCAATGAGCTCCATCTTAACCTCCTTCCAAGCAGGAAAAACTACCACTCACGCATCGCACGGAAGAATGCCAGCCCCAGCACCCGATACCAACCCACCAGTCTTGGTCTGATTCAAAGTCTGCTCCAACCGCTGCAGCCCACAGCGCAGCATCTTTTCCGGGTATGCGAAGGTAATCCGAAACCACCCCGTCTCCCCAGCCTCCGGGTAGAAGGTGCGTCCATCGCCGATGTTAACCCCGTTCACGCGACAAGCATCCAGGAAAGCATCAGGGTTGATGCTCGCGGTGGGGAGGAGACGGGCCCAGACGAAGAGTCCCGCGTTTCTACCGGCCGAGTCAGATATACGTAGTCACCAAGGCTTGCCGCGGCCAGTAACTCCAGAGAATTAACTCACCCGTCCTGAAAATACTCAATGTTTTGCTTCACCAACCACGAAGTAACCACCCCATAGCTGACGCCCAGGCGCTCAGAGTTCAGGTCAAGGAGGTGATCCGTCGCGGTCTGGTTCTGGAGGAGACGGGCCCACATGTCCTGGACCAGATCAGAGGGCCACGCGAAGAGACTAGAGGGTGATTCTTGCGCTCAGAATTCTAGAACCACCACCACGACATGAATGAAAGACTTACTTGACACCGGTAGCAGCCTGAATTAGATTCTCATTGCGCGAATGCAGCGCACCGAGTCGGAGGCCGCTCGCGCCGAAATCCTTGCTCATCCCGTACAGGACATGCACTAGATTCGGATCGATCACCCCGGCCAGGTCCAGGGAGAGGACCGAGGTGAATGGGGGTGCCTTGCTTCCGTGGGGCGGAGTGAAGACCGAATTGGCGTAGATCTCGTCGGATATGAAATGGAGGTGGCGCTCGCCGCAGAAGCGAGCGATTTCCAGGAGGGCTTCTTTGGACTATGACGGACGGTTGGACGGGTTAGAAGTGCTGTGCTCATAATGTCATGAATAAAGAGGGGACCCACGTAACAGCGTCCGAGGGGATTGTGCGGACTGTGGCAACTGCGTAAGCTATCACTGTCCCCGGCGGGATTAGACGGGGAACCGCATACTTTGCAATTATTATCCCCCGAATATTCGCGGGATGCTCGACCCAGGCTTGCGTCAGTGAGTGTCTGATCGCCGTGGCATTGAACACATCGTCCAGGGAGGATGTCTGGTTATTCCACATGAAAGAGGCGGGCATCACCAGTCCGGAACTACGCAACCCCATGTCGTGCGGGAAGGAATTAAACAAGGGTCGTGGGAGGATGAAACTTTCGTTGGCGCTGCACGTCGACCAGATGACGGAGTCGATGAGCGATGTCACCCCGGACCCAACGACGATCTCATACGGGGAGACCTGGGGCTGTGCATTGAAGCGGCGATTGAAGAAGTCTGCGAGCGCTCGACGTAAGGGGGGAGAGGCGGCAGGCCCTTGACCATAAGTCAGATGGTAGAGGGGGTCAATGGTAAACTGGTTGTGCGTCAGAGATACCCTGTGAGAACGAGCAGGGAAAGGCAGCAGCTCCCACGTTGTCCTTCAAGTACTCCGTGAGCTCTTCATGAATCAACCAATTTTCAGAGAGGCCAAGATTGATGCTACGGATTCCCTTTAGCATACATATCCTCTTCGAGATGTGGCTGGATGCCCTCACATTCCACTGGGAAATCGCACGGGGTCATAGGGATGCGAAAGAACGGTCTGGTTATTATTGATCCAAGTTTGAATCCCGTTGATCGCCTGAGTTGCTCGAGGGGAGAGGTAATCGGTCTGCGTGGAACTGCTGGCCGCTGTCAATGGGATGTGTATCGCCAATGTGACCAGCAGACAATTGGCGGTCCACATCATTCTGAGATTGACAAATCGAAGCTATCGAGGATTCTTCAAAATGTGAACTCAGGGAGATTCTTAGATGGACAGCTAACGCTTCTTAAGCTAAAGATTAACAACGACGATGTCAGGGTCACCTTCCCGAGCGACGGGAGTCAGGCAGTCTTATTCTCACAGCTCCCTTGATCGGTCAATGCTAGATCGATTTGAAAGATGAGTACTCGGTGGATCATCGTCTTCGAGTGGTCTGGTTGGTCTCATCGAGGCAAGGGATGAGGTTTGTACGTCTCCCCTGTGCTATCATCTTGCGGTGTGACTGGAGATGACAATGAATCTACAACTTCAGCTGCATGTCTGACTGTCTCTCGGTTGCGAAGCCTTTTTTCCGGTTCCTCAACGTGAAATTGTTGAGTATTTGAACTTCTGCAAGGGCACTCAACTTAACCTTGGTCAGAATTCCTTACTGAGAGTTGTCTGTTGAGTGGCAGTAGAAGTGCAGCTGGAGACGCGATAGTCACGGGGCATCTCACTGCCTCAGGCGTGCGAGAGAACCTCACCCTATGCCCTAATTCCCCCCATGCGCCAAAGTGCACTTACAATCATGATGGCATGTCGGGATCGCCTCTTCCCTGCCTCGCAGCGGCGAAGACTGCTCTGGAAGTGAGACAATTTGCCCGTCTACCGGGCTGCTGGAAGCTAAATGACTGGAGAGGTCGCCTGCGTACTATCCACCGATGGAGATTCCGGGAAGAGAACCGGATGTCAGCAGTGTTCTTGGGTTCATTCTTTTTCGCCAGTATCGACTCCCCATAACTGACAGCTCCAGAATCCGGTCTCGCGAGTGAATCTCTGGAAGTGAATGATGTCATGACAGGAGTTTATTCATGCCGCTGCGGTGCCTGGTGCAACCCAAGAATCACCTTAAAAAAAGAATGTCCCGAGCCCCTGTTGATCCGTTGAATCATTGATACTACCTAGGTATCTGACGGACACATTGATGATGCAGGTACTTGCGCGTTCTCTATTAGCAGCACTGGCAGCATGGCAGTCTCGCGATCCCAGCCCCACCACCGGCCAGCTGCACAATCCTGCTCCGGGAAATCAATCCGCAGTGAACCTGACGGTCATCACATCTGGCGGAAATCACTCGAGTCCCTTGCTGTACGGGATCATGTTTGAAGTGGGCCCGACTGTTCCCCGCAAAGACTTCTCTCTGTGGCTGACGTGGACTCCTACCCAGGAATTGGATCATTCCGGTACGTCCCGCCGTCGTCGCTACGCGGCATTTCTGCTAAGGTGGCCAGGGGACGGAGGGCTCCACGGACAATTGCTCCAGAACAATGGCTTTCAGGGGGCGGACCCCGGTCTGACGGCATACAAGCCCATCGGACCGGCAGAGATCATGCAGGATTACCTGTACCCCGTGAGCGAGGCGATCACTTCCTCGCTGCAGGTCTCGGTGACGACGGGGGCCACGGGTTGGGCCGGATTCGCAAACACGGGCTACAAAGGCATTCCGGTGGTCAACACCACCTATTGGTGTCAGTTCTGGATGCTGGGGGACTACACTGGCGATCTCATTCTCCGGCTGGTCGGCGCCTCCAATGGGACGATCTACGCCTCGCACAACGTTCCGGTGGGCAGCACTGCCCAAAAGTTCACTCAATACACGACAGAATTCCACGCGAGTGCCTCGCCTGATGGGCACAATGAGTGGCAGCTCCTCTTCAATGCCTCCAAGGTCGCAGGCGGGACGCTCAATTTCGGCCTTCCGCAGTTGTTTCCGCCAACGTATAAGTCGAGGTACGCTGGACCTTGTATGACGGACCTGGTCGAGCCACTCAACTATTTACAGGCCGAATGGGCTGAGGGATGACATTGCCCAGGTGATTGCAGATCTGAAACCGTCCTTCTTGCGCTTCCCCGGAGGAAATAACCTGTAAGTCTTCTGTCGCAGCTGCAGCGAGTATTGGATGTGCAACTTCTCATCTCCTGCAGCGAAGGCCTGCAGGTCGACAGTCGCTGGCAATGGAATCTGACCATCGGCCCGGTGGTCGACCGTCCGGGGAGACAAAGTGATTGGTTCTATCCCAACACGGATGCGTTAGGTCTGATATGATATGGAGGCTCTCGATGCTACCAATAATCATTAACTAACTTGTCTAGGTCTGGATGAGTATCTCTGGTGGTGCGAGGACATGAAGATGGTCCCCGTCTTAGCCGTATGGGATGGCAAGTCCTACGGCGGGATTCAGTCCGGCCAAGAGCTCGAGCCCTACATTGAAGATATCCTGCACGAGCTTGAAGTGAGTCGCCTTGCACGCGTCTGAGAACCCCAGCTGATTCGGTAAGTAGTACTTACTTGGGCCACCCAACACGACATACGGAAGCCTCCGCGCCCGCAACGGACGAGTGCAGCCATGGCCGATCGAGTATATCGAAATCGGCAATGAAGATGACTACACGGGGGGCTGTCCCACGTATCCCCAGCGCTTCATGCAGATCTACGAGGCGATCCACCAGAGCTACCCCAACCTCACCCTCATCACGTCGGCAAGCGATCCCCAGTGTCTTCCCGCCGAGCCCCCGCCGGGCATCATGTATGACTTCCACTACTATCGCAGCCCGGACCAGTTGGTCGCCCAGTTCCACGAATGGGACCACCAGTCCCGATCGCGCCCGGCGATGATCGGCGAGTATGGCTGTCGCAATACGAGTTCCCCGGATGGGTTCTACTGGCCCTTCATGCGATGCAGCTGCAGCGAGGCGGTCCACATGATTGGGTTGGAGCGCAACAGCGACGTGGTTAAGATGGCCTCGTATGCCCCGTTGCTGCAGAACTTCCCCTACACCCAGTGGTCGGTGGGTGACTTTCATTCTACCTACCTACTAAAACCTTGATCCTGTCAGAAATGGATATGCTAATCATCGCCTGGCAGCCGACGTTGATTGGTTTCGACTCCAACCCGGGGTCTCTCACCCTGTCGACTTCCTACTGGGTCCAGAAGATGTTCTCAACCTCCCAGGGAGAGACGATCCTCCCGGTCAACTCGACCGCCAGCTTCGGCCCCCTGTACTGGGTCGCATCGAAGACCCACCGCACGTACATGGTGAAGATGGCCAACTACGGCCACGAGCTGCGCAGCGTGCGGGTCACAATCCCCCACACCACCGCAGGTCATCTGGAGATGCTCTCCGGGCCCCCCGACGGGGTGAATCTTCCGCATAATTCGACCATCCGGCCGGTGCGCCAGAAGGTGACGGGCGTCAGGGGCAGCTACGTGGTCTCGATGCCTGCCTGGGGGGTTGCAGTCCTCTTGGTGCATTGACGCAGGTGGTTCGGTACCTCCTCTAGATAATTGTGTGCATAGTCGGCGTTGAGTGTCCATTCAATTCTATCTGGTCTCTTGACCATCCCCTCACCATCTCCATAACCTCCGTTATCCCCCACCGTCCCAATCAATCATCAACCCCATAAATCCTCAAATCCCTCTCCATCCCCGACAACGCATAAACCGCACTCCTCTTCCCCCCAAACACCCGCAACTCCTTCTCCCCCCTAAACTCCAACCCAATCTTCTCCAGCACCCGCCGACTGCGCGCATTGCCCATCTCACAGAACCCAAACACCCCGGCCACCCCCAGCTCCTCACAAGCATAGGCCACCAACGCCCTCCCCGCCTCGGTAGCGTAGCCCCGCCCACTCTGCTCGGGGAGCACGACAAACCCGAGATCCGGGCACAGATACCCGTCGGGTGGGGTGCCTTGCATTAGGGACATGGTGCCAATCGGGACACTTTCCTGCAGTGTAGCTGCGGGGTGGGGTCTGAGCGAGAGGAGGAAAATGCCGCGGGTGTAGTTGGAGGTGTTGTAGAGGGTTTGCACGCGGGTGGTGAGGAATTGGGTCGCGTCGGCGGGGGTCTTGAAGGCGGAGGGACCGCAGGAGGTGGTGAAGTCCGGGGTGGTCCAGCAGTGGAAGAGGAAAGTGCTGTGTCTCGGGTTGGTGGGGTCGAGGAGGGAGATGTAGAGGCGGGAGGTGGTGGTGAGGATGGGTGAGGATGGAGTGGGCATTGTATTGGTTGTGGATTCCATCTCTGACGTGGAGGTAATGGGGGGGTTCTGGTGTGGTGCTTGGCTTGTTTGGGGGTTGTGCCGGACCGGTCTGTTCTGCAGGTTGGGGTGGACTTATGCTTAACTTGGTAGGTTAGAGCTGCAGTTGAGATTGAGTCATTGATTGTGCTTATCTTGGTGAGTCAAGCAGTGGCGCGTCGAATAGATTATCATGACTCCCGCGGATTAGGGCAGAGGCTAGCCATGATACATGCAGTAGTGCTGACGCCTCAATCCTGCAGTTTCCGGAGATATCCGTGCCGTTGCTAGCCACCATGCTGGTCAAACGGGCTCGGGCTGAGTTCAACAAACGATATAGGCACTAGGAAAGAGGAATGTGTGCAACTTGGGCTGCGCTCAAACTCTGACGGCGGGTGGGTCAATGCTAGAGCTGCATTCTCAGCCAAGCCAGATTAAGGTGACGGAGTGAATTGTCAGAACGCTCCATGACGATCTGATATGATATCGGCTCATTCCTCTGTCTTTACTAAGGTCTACAACCAGTTTCATTTGTTTGAGCTTAAGTGACAGATAACTCGTCTTTTGAATGAACCAGTCTCATAAGATTCTTCGCTGTTTCTCCACTAGATACTAACTCATCATACCGGTTAAAGGTCTGGACGGTAACTTGAAATAGTAAAACCAATAACGATTATTATTAGCTTTCATAGGCTGGTACAGGTGTCTGTGTATGTGAGACAGGAATTATAATGAAACCCCCATCTCACTGCTCATGGGTGTGTCTTGACCTTAACCTTTTCTTCGCCATCCTCGGCTAATTGCGGACTTGTATACTACGCAGGTCTTGATACCTTTTGCAACCCAATAGAATGAAGCAGAAGCATACCTTAGGCCGGGGGGGTGACACTGAAACTATTCAGTTCCATCCCACAAACTCAATGGCTCAGTCACATGTTTGTTTAACTATTCACTCGTGGCTCATATTGCCATGAGAGAGAACTACAAGTCTTCTCATCTTCCTGGAGCACCATTGTCCAGACAAAACAGGCTGACTTTGTGATTCTAGAATGAAGCAAGATCTGCCTGACCTGAAACATCTGAGGGAGGCGATCCCCAATTCCTGTTTCAATGCTTCGGTCTGGATATCGCTTGTCTACCTCGCTCGCGACCTCATATATGGAGCAGCTCTCGTATATGCATCAACCTACATCCCTGTTTTACAAAATGCTTCTTTGCGATTCTTTGCATGGTCTTTCTATGGCGTTCTTCAGGGATTCGTCGGTACCGGCCTCTGGATCCTCGCCCACGAGTGTGGCCATGGAGCATGCTCACCCTATCCACTCCTGAACGACATCCTCGGGTGGGCCTTGCACTCCCTCTTGCTGGTGCCCTACTTTTCCTGGAAGATCACACATGCCCGTCACCACCGCTACACCGGACACATGGACAAAGACACTGCCTTCGTGCCTTACACTAAAGCGGAATATGCGGCCAGCAAACAAATGCGCAGTGAAGATCTGGACGGCTTAGTTCAAGACACCCCGCTCCGAGCCCTGCTGGGGTTCCTCGCGCACCAGCTGCTCGGATGGCAGGCATACATCCTCTGCTACGCAAGCGGAAGCAAGCAGAGCTACACTGCTCCTGCAGCATGTTCGCGCACTTCCCTCTCCCATCTGGGACCGTACAGCCTGCTTTTCCAACCCGAGCAGCGGCCTTTGGTCTTGATATCCGATCTCGGCCTTGCGCTCACGATCATCGGTCTGGTGAAGCTCGGTTCTATCCTCGGCGTTTCGCGGCTGATGCTCGTGTATATCGTGCCTTATTTATGGGCGCACCACTGGATAGGTACGTTACCATCACTCCCCCCTTCGATGCGATGCGATTACGATGTCTAATGCCGGGGAGACAGTCGCTATAACGTATCTCCACCACACGCATCCGCACATCCCCCACTACTCTGCCGACACCTGGACCTTCACCCACGGTGCGCTCGCAACAGTGGACCGAAGCTTTGGGTTCGTGGGCCGACACTTCTTCCATCACATCATTGATCATCATGTTGTCCATCATCTCTTTCCCAAGATCCCCTTCTACCGGGCCGAGGAGGCCACGCGGGCTATCAAACCCCTTCTGGGCTTGCACTATGTCGAGCTCCGTGGGGAAAATTTTTTTGTCGCTCTCTGGCGAACGTTTCGGACCTGTCAGTATGTGACCGATGACCATGCCGGGAACCGGGGATCGGGTGTATACAAATGGAACCCACCGCTGAAGGATTGATTTGTGCTTAGAGAGACAGAGGAATGATCGACGATGGGAATGTGGGAGGTGGGGGGAGGAATCTTAGCTGGGGAGCATGCTGTATGTACTATGCAATCTATTGACGTGCGATGCAGTAGTTTCACCCTCTGGATGTCAAGATATCTAGATGATTGTGATAACACTTGAATGGACAATAGACCCGCCTCAGAGCCTTCTTGTAATGGCATTTAGATGGAATCTAGAGTTAGGGCAATTGTAGGGAGGTTGGTGGGACTTGCACCGCGTAATGTCGTCAACGAAGAAACAAGGCAGCGTCAAGACGCAGGCGAACCGACTCCCAGTTAGAATTATGCGAGACTGTGGCGACGACATCTCCGATCTCGCCTATCCGCCCACATCAACACCTCCGAGGAGCGTCACGTTGAGCCAGTTGGACATATATCCGACATCGCGAACGAGTACAAAGAAGCATTTGACGTCGTGCACTGCATCTTCGAGCAGCACGAAGTTGATCCTGGGTCCGCCTGGAGACCGGTTGAAGTGGTTGCACAGAAGAAGAGAATTGATTGATAGATAGAGAATAGAGATAGAGATAGAGATAGAGATAGATGCTTATCATGTGATGGACATGTGACTGACCCCTCATTCTCCAACTGATTCTCCCTCATCCCCTCATCTCTCTTATTCTCTACAGTCTTCTCAATCTCACCCTCCATCATTACACCTCTCTATTGTGCCATTGCGTCTCAATATCATTCCAGGTTCATGGCATCCCGCCCAGTCATCGCCATCGCCGGTCTGGCATGCGAAACCTCCGCCTTCACCCCCGCACGCACCCTCGCGCCTGCCTTTCACCCCCGCCGAGATCACGAAGTCATCGATGAGTACACCTTCCTGCACCCTGGCACCTCCCTCGGTGACGCAGCAGACTGGCGAGGCGCGTTGATCGGTCACGCATTGCCCGGTGGAATCGTCGTCCGCGCCGCCTTCGAAGAACTAGCCGCGGAGATCATATCCCGCCTAAGCCAGATCGCCAACTCCACACCCATTGACGGGCTATGGTTCGACATCCACGGTGCTATGGTGGTGGAAGGGCTGCATGATGCGGAGTTCGAGCTGCTCACTCGCATGCGCAAGGTGGTCGGCCCAGACTGCTTGGTTTCCGCGTCAATGGATCTCCACGGGAACGTGTCGCGAAATTTGGTCCACCAGACCGATCTGATCACCTGCTATCGCATGGCGCCACATGAAGACGAGACGGAGACAAAGGAGCGGGCGTGCCGAAACCTGGTGGATCTGCTTCGTCGTGGCTGCCCCTCCCGGGCCGTGCGCCCGCTCAAGGCATGGATCCCCCTGCCAATTCTGCTTCCCGGGGAGCAGACCTCCACCCGTGTGGAGCCGGCCAAGGGGCTGTATGCGCTTGTGCCCCGGGTGGAGGAGACCGAGGGAGTGATCGACGCCGCCGTCTGGGTGGGTTACGCGTGGGCGGACGAGCCGCGGAACCGCGCGGCGGTTGTGGTGACAGGGTGGGATCAAGAGGCGGTGGCTGCGGGTGCTCATCTGCTCGCCCAACGATTCTGGTCCGCACATGCCGATTTCCACTTTGTCGGGCCCACTGGGTCGTTTGCCGAGTGCATTGACCGCGCGTTGGCGTCCGAGGCGAGGCCTTTCTTCATCTCGGACTCCGGGGACAATCCTACCGCTGGCGGGTCGGGCGATGTCACCTGGGGTCTGACTCGGCTGCTGGAGCGGTCGGAGTTTCAGGGCGCTGGTGGGCCGGTTGTGATCTACGCCAGCTTGCCGGGGCCAGCTGCTGTCCGGACCATGGTGGATGCAGGGGTCGGCGCCACCGTAACGGTCACTGCGGGAGCCGAGGTGGATGCTGTGCATGCAGGACCGATCACAATGACCGGGCGCGTGCATGCGATCCGGCATGGAGACAAGGATGCTCTTGTTGAGGCTGTGTTGCAGGTGGGCTCTGTGTTTGCGATCTTGACGCAGCTCCGCAAGCCATATCATCATGAACGTGATTTCACTGACCTACAGTTGGCTCCTCGAGCTGCCAACCTGGTGATTGTCAAAATCGGATACTTAGAGCCAGAGCTCTTTGATATGGCCGCCGATTGGATGCTAGCCTTGACACCAGGCGGTGTTGACCAAGATCTCGTTCGTTTGGGCCATCACCGCATCCGTCGTCCGATATGGCCGTTCGACACTACTTTTCCTTCTCCTGATCTTTGTGCCCGCGTAATTCCTGCTTCCAATGATACACTTTCGGGACCGGATGAGTAACTGATGTGAATCGCAGTGCGATGAGTGTCCATGAGCAGCATGCACGAACATGGCTCTTGCGAAGCTCTAGCAGAGCGGTTCGTGTATAAATCAGAGAGCTCTCGAGATGGCTCTGCTCTTACTAGGCATGAAGGGTCATACTCCGGCGCTTTCTACATATGGATAGTTGCAAGTGATTCATTACATCATATTGACATGGAACAAGGTATCTCAGTAGTACATTACACAACACAAACGACACAGACCACGACTTTACTCCTTTGCGGCGGCGCTACCAGTAAAAGGGCAGCCGGAAGGCACCTCAGCATCATCCGCCTTGATCTGCTCGCGACCGCGCGAGATCTGGCGGAACATGTCGAGCGGGTCAAACCACACATTAATCTGCTCCAGCTGGAGAGCCTTGTTGACCTTGGCCACAATGATCCCTTGGATATCGATCGGACCGCCATGCGCCTCGATCTTAACCTTTTCTCCCTTGCTGCAATTCGTCCACCGTCAGCTGCTGCTCACAGTGGTACGGAATCTTACTCACTCGTTGTATCCGACATAGTCTCGTGCCATCTCCCCCCAGTGTCTCCACCTGAAGACCACAGTGGGAGGGCCGCTGTACACCTCGGTCACCTCCCAAGCAAAGGTAGGCATCATCCGTTTGAAGCTCTTGTGGCTCATCTCGAAGTCGTTGTGGGCCGGGTCATAGTACGCGCTCGGAGTCAGCAGGGCGTTGTAGGTGCCCACCTTGAGCATGTACTCGCCGGACAGCGGGGGTCCGCCATTGAGTGTGACGTGGTACTTCTCATGGTCGATCGTGCGCCAGTCCGCCAGCGATGTCTTGAAGGAGGCCTCGATCTCCCAGTTCTTGACAAGGTTCTCAACTAGGTTGGGGAGGCTACCCGGCTCGTGGGACTGTTTTTTCGCTGCAGCGAGCAGGGGAAAGAGCTGTTAGTCGCCTGGGCTACATTGACAACACGAAAAACAAGGAATCTGCAACGTACTCCGCTCGTACACTGCACGAGTGTTGGAATAGTCTGGGGGGGCACCATATCGCCAAGCTGCGTCCTTGTCCTTCAGGACGGCATTGGGATCAAGGACGTAATCAGGAAGTGCCTCAGCGTCGCCCATTGTGAAGGTTTGTAGCAACTAGATTCTTTGTTGAAGTCTGGACTTTCCCCTCTCCCAACGGCCTTGCAGGGGTAGGTGCGCCGTTATGTACTATTCTTCCCTGGCCGAACAAGGTTGCGTTGTCCGTCTCAGCTCAGGGGGGGAACGTGGCCTTTTTCGAACTGGGCCCATGTGATAGCCTACACGACATGGTGGGAGTAAGCACTTGAGGTTTTAGCATGGCATTAGTCGGATGAACCCTGTCGCCGTGGGTGGGGTGGCCATGGGATGGTAGATTATGGATTGCCTCCAGAACCTCGGCGTGCAACTGGACTCAGTGATAATTTCGCCAGATGGGTTCAATCCTGACACACATCTCTTGGAACAAGTCATTGTTCAGGCTTGGTTACCATTGTGAACAGCTCCGCCGCCTGGGAAATGCGCACAGGGACCGACATACGAGACATGACAGCTCACACCATCGCGGTCGACTGAGTCAATTGCAGCGGCTTGCGGCCCTCATGACTCGGGCGAAGGATATGACATCTCCGAAATTGTAGTTCCACCCCTGCACCTTTGCTGCACTGGCCAGACCAGTCATATTTGGCCCGATTGTAATTCAACCAGGAACCGTCTCCGCGCCGCCTCGGTATCGATCCTGGTCGGCGTGCAACCTTGCCCAATGAGCAGTTCCGCTTACATGGCACGCAAATGAGACACCTGCGCCGGATAGTAGAGCCAGGCTCTCTAGTCTACTGCGTTAGATTAACTGGAAATTGAACCGAGGAGTCGGACGTGAGCGTCAGGCCAACAGTTGGTAGCCGGTTCTCCCATCGGGATGGTCCCCGGTATCGGTGATTGGTCCACTCCCACAGATCGAGATCGCAGTGGAGTCGCCCTGGCTCCGATTGGTGGTGGCCTTAATCAGATCGATATTGCAGACAAATTAGCCGAGATAACTCCTCTGTTGTCGCCGGGGAATTGGTTTGCTGATTGAATGGCAAAAGAGGAGACAGAGTGTCAAACTCGCATCAAATTGGTTGTCTTTGGATTCAATCCCGTCCGATTGAGAGAGATGTGATTAGTCACCTGTATTGGTGAGGTCTCGGCCGCGGGGGCCCGAGTGTCTTCCGGTGGTCGAGTTTACGAGTCAGGAGCGACTGTCATAGATCACTTTTCTCGCCCTATAGCACGATGATCATATAGGGAACACCAAGACATGACCGAGGTCGTAAGGTACTCATCACGTCTAGCATCGGGGCTGCCATCCTTACTTGTCTAACTCACTTCTTTGACACAGATATCATATCACTACTTATCATAACTAACACGGAGTATATCCGAGTGAATGAAATCCAGCGAGCCCTCTACACCCCGAGCTTAAGTTGTGTTTTGCCTGGAAGGCCTATGGTCTAACGGTCCTCGGCGTCAATGGTAAGAGGAGGTGATTCACCTGACAGTCTTATTCGCGAGCCTCCATTCTAGCCCATGAAGCCGATGCTCTTCTCCAATACCAGTACAGTTTGCCAATGGTCATGAAAAAAAGAGCATATCCTAGCCAATCTTTCTCGCCTCCTAACTCTCCCAAGCTTCGAAGCTGCCACTCCTGGTAGCTTTGTCACTCCGCGGTTCCCTTCAATACACCGCGCGGCAGCCACGCTCCTGTTCTAGACTTGCCCTCGAAGCTCTCGCGGGTGCCTCAGCCTACCCAGCTTCTGCTGGGTCTTCCTCACCTGTTTGACCACAATAGTGGAAGGCTGATCTGTGAGAGCCGGGTTGCCGAATCATATCGTCATCGGAAGTGCCCTAGACATGACGGACAGGGAGTCCGAGCATGAATTGGAGCTCTTCGAGCAGATGTCAAACCTTGACTTCCTAGATTACGCGTAATCTTCTGGCTTGGGGGACAGTGAGGTCACCTAGCTTTCACTGAAATCGATTGTCCAACGCGTCTGTGCAAGCTAGATAGGAAGACGGTGAATGTGTGTTCCGGCTCCGCATGGCCATGCCGACAAAAGGTGTCTGATAGTCGTGGTATAGTGCCTACTGTCTCCAGGGATTCACTATAAATCGGGTTCTTCATCAAGAACCCTGTGGTGGATAATCGATCTTCGAGCTTCCTTACACCCGCGCATCTGCGTGACCTACCTCTTTGCAGGAGTAGAGACGGTGGCCTCTTCAGATCAACAGTTGACGCCATGATAGCCAGCCAGTCTCCTCGACATCCCGGACTTGACAATATAGTCAGCTTCGCGGCCGCAGCGCTACTGTCGGTGGTACTACTAGAGTGATCCCCAATATAGTCCGGTTATTCTCTATCGGGATATGAGTTGCAGACCAAGGCTCTCGGGTAACGTCTGGAGGCTAAAATATGATAACCAGCCAACTGTGGCTTGGATCCTGCGTTATCGTAGCTATCGATACCCTCGAGCCATCGTCCGACCCAGCAAAATCTCTGCATCGCTGGTTGGGAGACCACAGAACCCTTTTATTCACAATCTCCTTTCCGGGAGAGGATACTGCTCCTTCGTCAACTGCTATGTTGCGTCTTGTCATTCTCTGGACTCGGGGGGAATCCAGCAGAGCGGCCTGACTGCGGCCTTCTGCGGATGGTGCAACAACGTCAATCTCTCAACGATGTCCCGCCCGCATTAACAGCTATATGAATGAATCCACAAGGTGAACCTCAAATACAATAAACATAGCAGCTAGCTTGTTTATCTCAGTCCTAGTGTGAAAGGAATCTCGAATGGCATCGCACAGAAGATCTCAAGCGGTGCCAGCCTGCCTCCGGTCTGGCAGCGAGAGAATCTAAATTTACAGGACTACGAGACCGGCGAGTATTTGCACCACAATTCATTCTCGGAACGGCTGATCAAGACCGTCCATTAGCTGGCGGTGTTCTCGACCGCCCAGATGTCCAGAGGAATATTCGGGGGTAAGAGGATACAAGCTGGGCCCGGGCCCTCGGCCGCGTTTCTAGGACTGAGCTCCTTTTGCTGCGAAGTCCGTTATCTCCCTCTCTGTGTTTGATAAGGATCAATGCTGATCGCATCTCTGTTTCTGTTAGCTCTTGCACCAATCAACGCGGTGGCTCAGTGAGTTAAATGACTTGGACCAGGATTGCATTTGAGTCCCTTTGTGGCTGGCGTGAATTTCTTGCAAAATGGCTGCAGTCGGGGTCCGGATAGATCGGATGCTGTGGTTGTCAACATACCTGAAGACTTAGCTTTTCTTCTAATCTAGCCTGTCATTTTCCTGCTGGATTAATTGGAATATGAGCCTAGATGGTCTATGGTTTTGCGGTATATATGTTAGGCATATAGTAGTAGATCGAGAGCAAAATACAGAAGAGGCATACTTGGTTGAACTCAGGTCGTCATTCCGGGAGAGCCGCGGTAAAAACACTCCAAACATACTGCGAAGAACAAACATCAGGGAAGGTTTCACCAGCGTTAGACCATCAGAGAGAAATTGGAGTACGGGGTAGAGAATAGCCATTGCGCGGCGAGGTATTAGGCTTCAGCTTGGTGATTGAAGGGCGAGAGGTCGCCGCCCTGTAAAGCCTATGAAACAAAATAGGATCGGATGTATCTTGGAGAAAAAGAAGGGGATGAGAGAAAAAGAAACAAAGAAAGGAGGACGAATACATAATGACTGATTTTATTGCACCATGTATTGGGCGGAGAGCAAAAAGGAAGCGTCCAGGGAGAGGATCGAACTCTCAACCTCACGATTAACAGTCGTACGCGCTAACCAATTGCGCCACCCAGACGTCTTGCTGAAAGGACCATCTGATACAATCATTATATCCTCAAAACGCATCACTGACAAGCTACCGGAATGCTATCGTATCCTCCTTGAGCAGCAGTAAAAGTGCATTGACAGGTCAATCAAAGGCTGTCGACAAAGCTAGTACATCACAAGAGTCATCTCCTACCACCTGGTATAGTTTACCAATGGTTCATGATGAATCGGTCTTCTTCACCTATCGACGCCTGTATGGGGCAAAATATATCTTGCTTCCGGTGAGCGCCCAGTGATGCGTAGCTGGAGAGCGCGCAATTATCACCCCCTTGGCACATCGACAGCAATTATTAGAGAGCCCTCACCCAAAATTTGAACGATATTACTCCAGGCTGTGACGATGCTGTTTACAAGCACGCACACACCTTTGCAAGATGGCCGCTGCTACCGCACCCAGTGGATAGACATGACACGGCGGGCCCGCCAGTTGACGAGGACCCAAGTGCAAGAGAGCGCCGCATCGAGCATCGTCAATCCGGTCAACGGCGAAAGTCAACCGCACAGGAGCTACTAGCCCAGTTGACAGATCAAAGATCACCCGGGACTGGCAATCGAGGGTACTGTGTCTCGCCAGCTGACCAGCTCATAGCGAGCACGCCTCCAGAAAGGATGGGGTGCCGTACCGTGCAGCGCAGCTCGGACTGAATGGGCTTGCCCTATTCTACTCATGCCTACCATGATCGTGAGTTCAACACCAGAACACCAAGCCCATTGATAGTCGCATCTCTTGTCAATAGAACCCCCTAAACTCACCCCATTAACCACAGGATACCAACACCTACGAACCCACCGTACAAAACAAGAATCGCAAATTCCTAAGGGTTACCACGGTACAATGCAGGAGATGTTTCAATAATTTGCATAGGCGTGAGGGCGGGCGGAGAGTGCAGTACGCAGTATGCACACGGGACAATCCCTGCGAGGTGTCATGCTATGCTGATGCTGATCCACTGCAGTGGACCGCATGCGATATGCGAGGTTAATGCTTCAGCTTAGGGCCATGCAGTACGAGTAGGTCATGGACAACACGCAGCACTGTACTCCGTTTTTCGTCCCAGCTCAGCTCAGCTTCCCCTCATCGCTTGTATGGTGAGCTATTTACGCATGGTCGCCGGGGCGACTACTAGTGAGGGGTAGCGCCAGAGGGGCAGTCGGACCCTCTGTGGCTCGATAGTCGATGGGAGGACCCATTTCTGGGGCTTGACCGCTGCAAAGTGGCCACGTTGAGGGTTCGATGCCGTGTGTGATGAATCTCCCGCGAAGATCGAGGGGTGATCATCTCGATGGGCTGATAGGTTGACACACCGCTATGTCTGGCTGCCGCAGATGGAGGGGTAGAGGAGATTACCCAGAGTGTACCTTTGACAGCAGAGCAAATGTCCGAAGTGTCTAGAGCTCCAGAGTGGGAGTCGCCAAGCCACCGTCCCCTTCGCTATCGTCTTCCATTCCTTCCACACCGCTTGGCTGGCCCCGTAGTGGGATGGGAGGGGGAGAGGTGGTCGGAAAATTGGGTGATAGGCGTGTGCCGATCCCTTTCTTTGTCCATCGAGTCGGAGATTACTCGTATTCCGAGTATTTGCTCCGTAGCCAACTAGTTAGTACGTGCATCTTCCGTAATACTGTGTACACTGAGTTACTAATTGATCAGCGCTTGATGACGGCAGAGGCAACAACAAGTGGCAGAGTCTCAAGAGGAGAGAAAATTGTGGCGGTGCAGTGTTTTAGTGGCTGTCTCGTAGTTATTGAGGGGTACTGGCTTAGTCACCTACTGTGTATACGGAGTACTGTTGATGCGGGCCCCAGGCTCCACTGGGATCGGCCACGGATGGCATCAGGGCCCAATGAACATCGCCAAGGAACCACAACAAGCTTGTCTTGTCTTAGCTTGCTTTGCCAACTCCCAATAGTCCCTCTTTCAGTGGAGGCACAGCTATTCAGCCACTTGCACCATCGTCTCCAGTGGCGCCCAGAATAGCAGCTCTGCTGAAACCTAAGGTAACTCAATCAGCGCCCCTCCATGATATCATCCCCTCCGTGAAAGACGAGGGGAGGAGGAGGGGAGGGGGGACCCGAGGCGCCCTCAGAAAACATATATCTACCCCTCTTCCTCCCTCCTCCGACTTTCTTCTTTTTCATCCATCAACAAACTTTCTATCTATTTACCTCACTTCTCACACAAACTATCATCATGGGTTGGTTCGGTAAGTCCTCTTTGACGCAACCCCTTTCCTCATCCGCCTTCAATCATCATCATCATCATCATCATCGATGAGAGACTAACCTCTTCCTTTCCTTTCAGACTTCGGCGGCGATGAGCACCAGGCTCACGAGCAGCTCCAGAACTTTGACGGCTCCGAGGAGCACAAGGCCTCTCTCAGCCACGAGCTCATTGCCGGTGCCGCTTCCTTCGAGGCCATGAAGGCTTACGAGCGCCACTGCGAGGCCAACGGTACGCCTACTCACCCCTACTTGTCATTCATATCCGTCACAAACAACATTCTAATTCTTTTTCTTTCTACGTAACAGGCCAGCCCCAGAGCCACGCCCAGGCTAAGGAGCTCCTTGCCGGTTTCGCTGGTGCTTTCATTGACCGCGAGTTCGAGTCCAAGGGTCTGGACTTCCTCGACCGCGAGAAGGCCAAGCGCCAGGCTGAGCGCCAGCTGGCTGAGGCCTCCGCCCGCGACTTCTAAACAGTTTGACATTGAAGCTTTTATGAATTGAGATATCCAAATCCGAATACATGCTGTTCAAACCATCTACTTCCGTGCTTTGCTGTAAACTATAAGCCATCCATTTGCTTTGGTGTAATTCATTCTCTGGAGAGTGAAAGTACTTGTCGGATAGCATTTGTAGATCTGGTGACGTTACGACGACGGGATTGGACAATTGGGTGCCCGTCTTCGCCGGCAAAGGACTCAGCCGGCTACATGGCGCCGATGTTATCACCCTTCCCGTGCATATGAAGATACGGCTGGTAATGGCATGGGAATTCTGGCCGGGGTGTCATGTTTCCGGTTGATGCCCATACGAAAGCTGCCGTCAAAATCTCTCTCGTCCGAGGCGACAATGCAGAAAGCATAGCTATATTTGCCTTATCTCGACTTACAAGCCCCGAAGAGATAGCCTTCGTATCTGGTCCCCTTTTCAACCTATGCGAGCCTCTCATGCCAGATCATGTTTGATTGGACCTGGCATCTTTGCGCGACTCCTCGTGGATGCATAGGTAGTCTGTTGGAAATCATAGTTCGACGGTCCCATGACAACACTTGGGCTGACAATATGGAAGGACAAGAAGTACAGTAACATGTAATGTCCTGGTGCGGAGAGGAGGGGGATTGATGAGGGAGACTGGGTAACTATGATGCACTGTCTGGTGCCTCACCACACCATATATGGCCAGCAATGAGCGGAGCTTCGGAGAAGTCAGACACTGAAGAGGATAGAGGATCCCGCAATCTCATATCATATCTCCTGCATCGATTGACCTCTTGGTAGTGAATGGCAAAAAGCAAACATGTTGGGGATCAATTGGTTCTCCGGCCGAAAGCGAAATCACATTCAATGGCTTAGTTATAGATACGTGGCTTCCGGGCCAGGACAAAAAAGAAGATGTGCATCATCCGTGAATCGAACACGGGCCTCATCGATGGCAACGATGAATTCTACCACTAGACCAATGATGCTGGTTGATATTTAGGCTTGCAGAAATTGTAACCATGATGGCATTAGTATGGTGTGGTGCACCGTGTTGCAAGCAAGGACTAGTTTCAGCTTCCTGCCGGCCACTACATCGTGACACAGACTGGGGCAAACAAATGACCATGCATGCCATTGTTAGGCTTCCTCTTCTCACTGTACATGGAAGCTGCCTGGTAAGCATTCTACTATGGCGGATGTGGGGTGTTGCTCATGCCGCCGCTGGGGATCGTGAACGCATACGGAGGCATGACTGCTAAATACTACAGCGTGTTCGTTCTATACCTGGCAGGTATGTGCACACTCCGGTTGACAGATGTTAGGCATATCCAGTACCGCATTAGTAAAGATGATTGCCACTAAGCATGGGAACAGTATGGACCGTCCTCAACTCCTTTTTCTTCGCCGCCTCGTTGCCCACGTGAGTTCACTTGCCCTAGTCCCCAGCACCAAAGAAGAAATGGAACCGTTGCTTATGCATTCTGTACTAGGAACCTCGTCAATATCACCTATTAATGCGCTTTGGAGCTTAATTACATCTTCGATTGCACGGCACACTTTATGCTGGCGGGCGGTCATGCTGCAACGGGATCAGCATTCACCATTATCGCTGGGGCATTGGGCTTTGTATCAGCCCTGGCAGGGCTCTATATGCTGGGCCATGATCTCTCCAGGCTGCAGTGCCGTTTGAGATTTCTCTTTTTCCAACGGAACGCCTGCTGTTATTCTCTCCTCAAAGCATAGTGCAGAACACAACGCTGCAAAGACAAGGTGACTAGGCTCCTATGATTGATGATTACCAGTACCTGCGCTGTTAGATATGATATTGTTGTCAAGGTCCAGTAGGTTCAGCCTCACAAGCCCGGTCATGAGTCCAGTTACCGTGAGACATTCTCTTAAGGCTCGCATTACCGGCGGATGCCGACTATTAGACGCCGCTCTCCGGCAGCAGACACCACAGCACAAGGTATGAGCCCCGATTTTCTTGCCAGACCTTGCTCATCTGTTCAGCCTCTGGGAGAGGGTTTTCCAAGTATGTCTGGTACGCTTTGCTGATGGATTGGCCGAAGCTGTTAGAGAGTGATATCTATACATAGTGTGGAGCCTTCGAAACCGTCAAAGCTTGAAAACGACATGGATGTAAAGACTGGTCCTTGTTCTGATGGGCGCTATCCTTCATGTTATCTTTTCTGATGCTTGCCCTTTCACTAAGAGGGAGTTCTGTATCTTTCCCTTAACTAGCGGGGGCTTTTCTTGGAGACTATCGCCCGCAGAGTGTATGCTGACAAGCCCGTATATAAGATGAACCTCAGCTCAGTCTCTGGCTCACCAGCACGTCTCACGGAGTGAACGTCCAAATCAACCTTGAATAATCAACAACTAGTATGAACCCCCCCACCTGGACGAATCTGTACTATGGAATGCGAGCACCGCCTCATACGACAGTGTCGTTTCAAAGTGGGGCAGTACTAACCCAGAAATCCAAACCCCCAACTCCGAGTCCGACAGCAGTCTTAACCCATGCAATCCCAAGGTACCCGCCCCGAGCTTCACACCGCTGACCGTCCGCGGGGCCTGGAACGACAGAATCACCCTGGTGGTGCTTCCTCCGCACGAATACCCCGATTGGGACTTTACGCACTACCTGGTTGAAGCCCACTGGCAGCGCCAGCGGGACGCCGAGTCCTGTAATGCAAACAAATCCCTGGAGACCATCGTGGTCTTCCGGTTCTGCACGCGGATGCTCGTCGAGCTGCTTCCGGATCATCGGGCTCATCTATTTGAGCACGGGAGTCGCGTGTCGTGGGAGTGGCAGACGCCGCGATATCGGCGGGCTTATAATGCGTTCTGTCGTCGGATTTATGGTGATCGCCGGATTCCGTACGGTGAGCAAGAAGAGGTGCCTCGGTTCTATGCCATATAGGTATGAGAGTATGTTGAACATTGAGAAGAGGGCTTTTTTCCCCTCGCGGCTCAGGCAATTATGCAGCAAATGGGGCGGCGGGTAAGTGAAGATATGTAGAGGTCAATTCATCCCTACACTCTACAGACCAGCTGCCCCAAGTAGTAGTAGGCAATACATAGCGTAAAAGTCCGTCCATCATTCCGTCATTCTCCTCCATCTTGCGATAGTTTCCAGCACATATCAATGCTCTCGAAGCAATTCGGTGCACGTTCTCTTTTTCTTCATGCGGGTGCAGACCCGCTTCTAGATTCTCAGTAACGCCACTGACTCTGCAAAGCTTCAAGATGCATAAACGCAGCAGAACAAAACGATTGGGTCTAACTGCAATACTCCTACTACAGCCAAAGGGCCCTGCTTATGACTGCGTCAATGGGAGGGGAACCTTGACCGGGCCATTGTGGCGATGGTAGGGAGGATACAAACTACATACTCAGCATCCACAAATGTTTGTTTGCTAGCTTCAGGATCGTCGGAACGATCTTGCTGTCTTGCTGCATGCAACTATGCCTCCCAGGGTAACTGAGACCACTCAGGTGCTGTCAAAGGCCACGAAGCTCTGATTGCCACCACGTCTCTGGAGGCTTGGGGGACAGTACTCTGCCTCACTGCCTCTCACGAAGACTCCTCTGCTACCGCCGCACTGCGGCCTTCCAGGCGTTTCTACTTTGGGACTAATTCTGATCACGACCTTCATGCTTAGTAACTCAAGACGTCTCTTCAAATACAGCTTGTCTTGCTGTAATACCTGGAATTGTTTTCGACAGTGCATATGGGCTCTGTATGTGGTTTTTGAGAGTCTCATAGTTCAAGTAGAATCCGGTGGTTTCCAGCATGGAATCGTTGGTGAACATCACACAAATAATGCTAGACAGTTAAGAATATCTCTATATATTTTTTTCCAAAGGGATATTTAGCACATACGACCACAGGGTGTGGAAAATAGGGCTTCCCGTCCGCTCAGCCGTACTCAAGCCACACGCCGGGAGGTTAGTAGTTGGGTGGGTGACCACCAGCGAATCCCTTCTGTTGTATGTTTTTTTTACTTTTCTTTTTTATTGCTCCGGTAAACTATTATTGCTGCTTTATCTTGACTCCTTTTACCTTATATTCTTTACCCACTCTGATTCTCATCTCAATCCTCTGGAGCAGCTGTAATCACCAGCTCAAAAATCCCCAGCCAGAAAGCATCGGAAGCAGTCATTCTAGCCCATCGTTCCCAATATATTCCCTAAGATGTCTTCTTCACCCAGTCGCCCGGAGCAGCCAAACCAAGGCCAAGAGCTGGATCTGGACTATCCCATTTCTCCACTTGGGTACAATGAGGACACGATCGTGACCCTCATCAGCGATATACCGCATCTACCTACAACTCGGCTATATCAACAATCGCCCGGAGGAGAGCGAGGAGCTTGTCTGGCCACCGTCTGGGGGCCACTCTCTCAACGAAAGCAAGTGCGTTAGAATTATCCGTGCCTTTCACCCTCTCTTCTGACTGCTATGTTCGATCTCCCGAGCAACAAACGGGGGTTATTGATTAGCCGAATCGTAAGTACAGATAGATCCGAGTGTGCGAATCGTAAGTACAGATAGATCCGAGTGTGGGACTGGCAAGACCCTCCGGCGGAAGATGAGAATGGCAGGGTTGATTATCGGAGTCTCGAAGCCCATCATGCACCAACGTTCTTGGCCGCGTATGTCAGCAAGTTACGATCCCTGAAAGTCATCCCCGGGGGTGGGCATCATAATCGAGGGTTCTATACTAAGAATGATGGCAAAGCGGTATGTGACTTTCTTTTCCTGCTTGATGAACTGAGTGATTGTCTTCGGAAAGATGTTCCTGTTAAGTTCGACTTGGTACAGTACCACGACACTCAAGAAAGTCCTGCAGGAGCAGTATGGCTGGCCGTATGATTTCCGGGAGGCGGAATGGAAGGCTGCGGCCAAGGATATTCTAAGGCGCATTGACCGATTGGATTCCTGATTTGAGGGAAAAGACCCTTCTTGTGGTTGTATGTGCAAGCATAATCCACAGAAAGCACCACCACACGATCAGGCAAGAATCAAGTAGAAAAGCAAAGCATTGGGAAACTCCGTATCCCTGGCAACACCTCAATGATCTCTGGCAAGCCCCGGACCTTCTCTACGAGAATTTCCAAGCAATTACTCCTAAATGGCACGCGCAACTGGATCCCTCTCCCTTCTGCAAACACACACGCCTTGATTCAGCCCAATTGCCTTGGCGATGAGCTCGACCACACTTCTGGGCTCGTTGCGGTATTTCTGAATATAGGACTAGAGATAGTGGACACCTGTATACTGCTAAGGCGGGCGGCCAGCGTCTTAATATACACACACCCTCTGCACAGCGAAGCCTAACCATACAAACAATGAGTATATCAGCCGCCAAGTCTGCGCGCTCCAATATTCTCCTCAGAGTACACCACAGATTTGGGTTAACCAGCACACAGACATGCTTGTTCTCAAAAGACTTGAAGCAAGTACAGCTGTTATACATGATGAGCTAGTTTGAGACCTTCCTGCCCCTGAGATAAACCCTGTGGCTGTTTGTCCCTGAGGAGTACCTGTTTCAGCTGTTAGTACATTGCCTCGCGATCCTTCAGATAGTGTTAGCCCGATGCCTCCTCGATATAGGCAGCAGTGGATCCGTTCTCTGATAGATGAGGTGGTTGGATTCGATGGAAATTGATGTAGATAGCGCTAGGGCGACCTGACAATAGCAATTCTTACTTGTGTAAGCGAGTCAATCCAGGTCAAAACTGAGCGGCTTGGGAATTGTGGGGCTACTACTACCACTCGAGGCATCGTCTTGTGGATCTTCGTGCAATTCTCAGATTTCAGTCACTTGAGACTCAATGACCATGAAAAATCACTAGTAAGCTTGCACCTTCATTCCTTGGCGGCCACGGACCCCCCTCCCGGCGCCAACCCTCGCTTAGGCCTGGTGGGACTGGATATGTATCCATTGAAGGTTAAGCTGGACTAGGATTGTCATGACAGTACTGTACTTACTATCATCCGAAGGTTCCTTATTGAAAATTGTGGATTTATGGGGCCCCAACTTAGTTGCTGGGTGGGTGACCAACCAGCAAACCCCTTCTACATTGTATGAATTTGCCTCAACGGGTTTATCTCTATAGCTAGCCCTATCTGTCTCAATCACTCCACCCAGTCTCTTCAATCGGCGGTATCTGTGCTTCCCTGCGCATTGTTCTTTCGAGTTTCGAGATCCTCCTCCACAGCTCAAGCTCATCTTCATAGGATGCATTGCCTCACCAGAAACAAAGGACCAGCTTCTCATACTCGGGTGCTAAGGAGGATAACCGAAGCTACTGGGGTGGTGTCAAAGGTGAATCCAGCACAGCAGATATTGGCCTTGCGTTCTTGTTTGCAAAGATGGTAAAGTGATGTGTAATATCGACACCATATCGCGTTTAGGTGGTTGATGATGATGATGATGATGATGATGATGATGATGATGATGATGATGATGATGATGATGATGATGATGATGAAAGGAATGCGTGGTGGATAATAGGAGACGTCGCATTTCTGCCCTCCTGGACGCCTCATAGCCAGCAACCGGCTCGCTGTGCCAGATTGCAGAGATCCCTTGAATAAGAGCACATGTTCGTATGATAGCCTTGCTCCCGTTTCCATGCTTTTCAATGCATGCTCTATCATGCGCTCAGAGATGATGACCTCGCACCGATCAAAGAAGAATGCCCGCCAAATGAGGACACGATATACACATCACGCGACCGAGAAGCAGATACAGCAAAGAAGGTAAGTCTATACGAAGGAATACGAACTCTCTCTCGAGCGTTCGAATATATACAGCATTGAACGAAAACCAACGAAAACCTCAACATAGCTCTAGACATGAAACAACTGCCTCATCTTCTGCGCACCAGAGGGGAGGTTCCAGACCCAATAATAAACCTCCTGTATCCTCCATGCCACAGAGCCAACAATCAATATGGTATCACAATCGGGTGTGTAGCTTCGGACGTTAAGAACGTGGTATAAGCTGGCGTATTGAACTCCGTTTACCAGCCTCCAGGACCACCGGGGCCACCGGGACCTCCAGGACCGCCGGGGCCGCCAGGAGGACCACCAGGGCCCCCGGGCCCGCCGAAGCCGCCAGGAGGACCATCGGGACCGCAGCAGTCACCACAGCAGCAAAAGCAGTCGAGGCAGCAGCAACAGCTAGACCGCATGTCAGTATAGTTCCAAGAATAAATCATCGGACGGCGGTTACTTACTCATCACCAGGACCAGGAGGAGGGCCACCACCACGCAGTTGCATGTTCATCTGGTTGTCAGGCGTCTGTGCGATAACATTAGCTTCACTCCAGACAGGATCGCATGATGGGCCATTGTAATTGCGCACGTACAGGCTGCTCAGCAACGACGCCGTTGGTAGAAGGAGATTCAGGGCTCTGGGGCTGGGTCATGGTCAATGTGTTTGGATCCCAGGTGGTCTGGGGCGCTTCCTCCGTCTTGGAGGAGCGGAACCAGCTAAAAAGACTGTCGCCGAACATTTTGAAGAGTGGATTGAATTTTTCCGTCTGTCTTTGGATGGGCAGAGATAACTCAAAGGAAAAACAATCCAAGGGAAGGAAAGGGCCCTGAATTTAAGGGGAGTATCAGAGAGAATTAAAGGAACTCGACGGATCCTCGGCCATAAGATGGTCCACTCAGCGAGCTCTCTGACATCTACTATTTACGGTAAGCCACACCGAGTATGGGGCGAGCCATACTTTGATTAGTTTAGATGTCCAAATTGGTGCGTTGTCTGCACTGCTTTCATCTCTTTTCCTCGACCCAGAATTGAGTGGTTGTGGCCATCGTTGTGGATCCATCCGATCGAGGCGTACGTATACTCCTTTAGGCAGAAAACTTGTCACCGTATTCGTGACTGTGGCTGTCGTCAACGTTTCATGACGTACTGGGCTGAAATCATACCAGACCCAGCTGCAGATGGCATCAATTGGGCTACATCGTGCGCTGTTGTGACCACATCGTGGCTGCGGAAAAAGGGGCCGTTATCGCCTGTCCCGAGAAAGCTTCACATGAGATTCTGTCTCGGCAAAATGCCAAGACATGGAGTGGAATTACTTCTATTTCTGCAGCCTAAAGCCTTTACGACAGATCGACCGGGTGACTTTCAATGGAGCCTGGCTAAGCCAATAATACTGCCCTTTTAGACGAGAATGTCGAGCCGTGTGTTGTTAAAACCTTTAGGGAAAAAGGTTTATGCGGACCTGAAGAGGCGGTAGACGCTCACAGATGTCTCTGGACAGTGATTGTCCGAAGTTTCATCGTTGACGATATGTCTGCTGATAATGCGATGAGTTGGTCTCCATGAAAGTCTAGATTGCAAGGCGCAGCACAGCATTCAAGCATGGTCCGGCTGGTCGACGCGTACTCGGTAAGTATCGACCGGTTTCAGCCACAGAGCAAATGTCGGGGCCAACTGATGACTAAGCGGCATACACAAATCCCATTTGATCTCCCCACAAGAAGGGGCATTTCAGAGCCCAGAGGCAAACAGGACTGCCTTGGACCCTTTTGGTTCATGCTTTTATGGCTCGTGGCTTGCAAGATCACAGAGTGGGCTCGGGGTCGATTCATTTCATAGAGAGCCCGGTAGTGGCTGCGTAGCTTCGGCAAAGGCAGACTATTGATTGTGCTAGTTTACACAGCTCTAATGTCCTCGTTGTGGCCAATGGACCTCACGACCTTTAATCCAATGCAGAGATCATGGTACTTAGGCAGATCTGCCGCCCACTCAGTGCTACATAACCAATCAAGACATTGATGGACTTGGAAAATGAGGCCTGCATTTGCGCATTAGGGGGCAAGGAGTCCACCATGGTGCTGTGCTGACAGATAGTTATAGTCCCAGGCTACTAGATCATGATTCCGAAGGCGAAGCTTTGTTGATTAGACGAGGTGTTTTGAAGTCAGGATTTTGCTGAGGTGCAAATGCTTGGTTTGCACAAGTTCGGAGTATGTTTCATTCAAGCCGCCCCAGCTCAATGGCTCGATTAGATTGCCCTGGGGATGTCTGAGGATTGTGTAATGTCAGTCAATAGCGGATAGATCGGACGGTTCTCAACCACGCCGGAGAATGTGCTATAGAGGGCACAGTCATTTCAATATATATTTTTGAAAGAGCGAAGAGCATGGCTTCCTGCCAGCAGGGTCTATTGCGCTAGTGAATTGGCCTTACACTCGAGATGCTCAACCATACCAAATGTGGTTGCCCTGACATATCTCCACTTGTAGGATAAGTGCAGTTCACTTTGAAGTGTCATAGTGTGACCCCGCGGAGCCTAGTTCTTTGTAAGTGACCGGAAGAGGAAAAGCATGTTCTGAAAACTGCCTCTCATGGTGTCAGTGCTGGGATTTGTGTAATCCGGCGAATTAGTGTTTGTGAGATACTCATCATTAAAATGAAGCATCTAGCCCAGAATGCGCATGCCTGCCAGCGGTGCTTTATTTCCACACGATAGTCAAAGAAAAACAAACAGGTTGATGTTGACTGACTATAAACAAGGCATGGAAGGAGCGAGATCACGTGGTGCGGGAGTGGAGGCTCTTCCCTGAACTTCCCGAACCTCAAATCTCAGATTCTGGTCCTGCAATTGCGCGACGATCTAAACGTCTCCGGCTCTTGACCAACCCGCCATTGGACCCCTTTTGTCCTCCATCTAGCGACTTTGATCAGTCACTCTCTCTCCAATCCTCGTCCTTTCTCTTCTTTCCAAGGGTTTTCAAGATGTCCGCCCCGGCGTCCCGTGCCGTCCTCCGGCAATCGCAGTTCCTGGCTCGCAGGACCGCAGTCAGACACGCCTCTTCCACCTCGGAAGCCGCCTCCAAGGCCAGTGAGACTGCCTCATCGACTGCCTCCAAGGCTTCTGAGGGTCTTTCTCGTGTCCAATCCTCGGCTGGTCCCGCCATCTCCAACGCCGCTCAGGGTCTCGGTAACGCCCTGCGGAAGGTTGGTGGAAGAACCGGAAAGGTCATCTCTTTTGTCGAATGTAAGCGACCGCTCGTGAACCGCCCGCCATTATACGCTGTGTCTCCCCCTTCTGCTTCACATTGGGACGACTGGATAGTTCAGAATGATGACTGTCCTGTTGGTCACAATCAGATGCGGATGGCAAGCTGGGATCACACGGCACATCTTCTCTCCATCTATTCCATTGCTAACCTTCCACTTCTGCAATCTAGCCATGATACCCGCTACCGTCTACTACAGCAAAGTCGGTCTCGAGCTCGCCAAGCTGGTTTTCCGTGGACAGAACATGACCCCCCCGTAAGCGCTCCCTCCTACCCTCGCCCGCCGGAGGAAGCACACCAGCAATTGGTGCTAACCTGGACATCTAGGAACGTCGCCACCTTCCAGGCCTACCTTGAGCCCCTGGTCCGCAACCCCGGAAACTCCGCTTTCGCCCCCTCGAAAATCATGGCCCGCATCCGCAGCGCCAACAAGAAGGAGATCGCCCTGGCCGGTGTCACCGCCGCGGAGGTGATCGGTTTCTTCACCGTCGGTGAGATGATCGGTCGGATGAACATCATCGGCTACCGGGGAGAGCCTGAGCACGCCGGACACCATTAGATAAATACCACGCAGTTGTGCCCTTAGCCTGTCTTCCTTCCCTTTTACACAAACAACCCCCCCGTTTTCCTTTGTGCGCTGTACTATTGTATGATAGACGATGGAATTCAACTGTTGTCTGAGGTGACTGGTGTATTTGGTTCTTTCCCAGTGGAACATGCTTGCTTTTGAGTTCCGAAAGAAAAAAGCGGTTTGGTCATCAAAAGCCTTACTGGAAGAGTGTGCGTCCGGCTAGAGGATAGACTTGTTCCACCTACACTTGAATGTTTTTAGAGATCTTGTGGATTGTATGTGATTTCTTGCGAGTATCGAGTCTTTCTGCTCTATAATCTGGGTTTTTTTTTTTTACTTCATAGTCGTAGTACTTCAATGATCTTCGCGATGGGTGAATTGGGGAGGGATATCAGGGAGATAAGAAGAATGGGTCCTTGCGATAACCACAGACATCTAAGTCCATACGAGCTCCCAACCCTCTCGTCTATGCCCAGTGTTTCCCCATCTTGTGTTCCTAAAATTTTTCCTTTCCCATTTATTTCATTGGAATTGGCCAGATAGAATTGATCACTTGATCATTTCAGTTATGTTCCAGTTTCTGTGCAGGGAGACAGACTATGGGGAAACGCCGCCCTGCCCCTTCTGATTGGCCCGTGCGGCAGAATTGGAACATTTGAACTTTTTTTTCCGCCCGATAAACCAACAAAAGCCGCGGAGGACTTGACCAACTCCAATATCCTCTTCATCAAAATCAGGCGTACATGTCACTGGGCTCTCAATCCGCCTAATATTCACAAGTCGCATGGCCTTGTAAATTACAATAGGCACCGCTACCGAGCTTTTCACTAAAGACAAATATGGATGCCTTCAGGCTCTTAACCAGAGCTACCAAGTTGAACGCCGGTACCGCTAGTAGTACCCTCTCGTCCACTCTCCCGTCTAAAGGCAAGGCGCAAACCCCTCAGTTGTTCCAAGCTTCGGAGGCAGAAGAGCTTCTGCGCAAGAACGGCGGTGCGAACAAGAAGCGCAAGCGAGCCCGTGCGGCCGAGGCGTCGGATTCCGAGAATGATGATGTTCCGGGTCTAGATTTCTTCGGCGCAGGCAAAGGCGGCGCGTCGTTGACGGCGAAGAAGGAGCGCGCGTCGGCTGTGAAGGAGCAGCAGCAGGAGGGCGAGGAGTCTGGGTCGGAAGAGGACGAGTCGATGGATGAAGTCCAGCGGCGCACGATTCTGAACGCCCACAAGATCAAGGTCACTGATATGCGGGACTTGGAAGAGGTGCAGCCAGCGGCGGCGCCGGCGGCTGGAGAAGAGTCGAAGAAGAAAAAGAAGAAGAAGAGAAAGCAAGAGGAGGAGAGCAGCGCCGCTCCTCAGCCGCTTTCCAAGAAAGAACAGAAGAAGGCGCGTCGTCTGTTTCCCCAGCCGTTGGTCTCGTTCAAGGAGCTGCGCTCCAGGTACAACATCTCGCGCAGACTGGCGGAAAATATCGCCGAGCAAGGGTTCACGGTGCCCACCGAGGTGCAGTTGGGGAGCTTGCCTCTGTTGCTGGGTGATCGCTCGGTGGCCCAGAAGGCCCGCTCGGAGGAGACTGTCGAACCGGATCTTTTGGTAGTGGCGCCCACGGGCAGTGGGAAGACGTTGTCGTTCATGATCCCGGTGATCAACAAGATTGTCCGCCACCACCATCAACAGCAGGATGAGCGCGGTATCTTCAGCGTTGTTGTTGCGCCTACGAAGGAGCTTGCTAGTCAGATCGTCAATGAAGGACGCAAGTTGGCGCTTGGAACTGGTGTCAAGATCACTTTGATGAAGAAGGGTATGCGCCTTGTCGAACGCGACGATGAGGGAGAGGAGAAGGATGTGCTCGATGAGCAGAGTGAGGAATCCTCTGGATCCGAAGATGAACAGCAAGAGACGAAGAAGAGCAGCAAGGGGAAAGCCCCCGTTACGAAGAGCGACATTCTCGTCACGACACCATTGCTGCTGGTGAATTCGCTTTCGGCAAACAAGACGAAGCCCATGGCGACCTTGCCCCTCGTGAGAAACATCGTCCTGGACGAGGCAGATGTTTTGCTGGATCCTCTCTTTCGCGAACAAACGCTTGACATCTGGCGAGCATGCACACATCCCGAGCTTCGGGCAAGCCTGTGGTCTGCTACAATGGGATCCAATGTCGAAGACCTTGCCAAGTCGACCATCAAGGAGCGCAAGGATACCCTGAGCTCGACCAAGTCTTATCCTCTCCTTCGTCTTGTCGTGGGCCTGAAGGACTCCGCTATCCCCAACATCAAGCACAAGCTAGTTTACGCTGCGACTGAACAGGGAAAGCTGCTCGGACTCAGACAACTCCTCCATCCGGCGGCAGCTGCGGCTTCTGATGTTCGTCTGCGGCCTCCCTTCCTCATCTTCACCCAGACCATTCCCCGTGCCATTGCGCTACATTCCGAACTCCGCTACGATATCCCTGCCGAAGCCGGTGGCTCTTCGCGCATTGCTGTTCTGCACTCAGATCTCTCCGACAGCCAGCGGTCCGAGATCATGAAGCAGTTCCGTAAGGGCGAGATTTGGATTCTCGTGACGACCGATCTGCTAGCTCGTGGTGTCGACTTCCGCGGCATCAATGGTGTTGTCAACTACGATATCCCCAACTCCGCTGCCGTCTACGTCCACCGTGTTGGACGCACTGGCCGAGCGGGCCGTGAGGGTGGCATTGCGGTCACCTATTACACCAAGGAGGATATCCCCTACGTCAAGAGCATCGCCAACGTCATCGATGTCAGTGAGAAGCTCCGCGGCACCTCGGAGGAGAAGTCAGTCCAGAAATGGTTGCTCGACGCTCTCCCCGACCTCAGCAAGAAGAGCAAGCAGGAACTGAAGAAGCACGGTGTCAAGGCCAGACAGTCCAGGAAGGACGGCAAAGAAGACAAGAAGACGAGAATCAGCACGAAGAGTGGTTACGAGCGACGGATGGAGAACAGGAGAAAGGGGGCGATCGAAGCCAGCCGCAGCCGGAAAACCGGGCAACCCACCGCTGCCGCTGGCAGTGATAATGAGGCCTGGGAAGGTCTCGATGATTAGTTGCGTTACGGTACCACAAAATAGATTTTACTCTTCCTATTTTCTACGATTCCCCCCGTTACCAGCAGACTTTCACACTTGACTTCCAAGATCATGTATTATTATTTTTATTCTTATCGTCCGGTTGCTCGATCAGGTTTCTTTTCAGCCGTAGCAACAGATACTCATTGTCCAATTTCCCTTGCTCCTCCAACACCCCTTCCAGCTCATCACCGTCTCGGTCGAAATATACCCCCCACGACCCATCCTCCTCCTTCACCGCGACGAACTGCCGACTGCCCTCCAGCGTCAACGTTGTCTCATCGTCCACCCAATCCCACGGCCCGATGACATGCTCACAGCTCTGCGTGCGATTCCCATACTTGAGCTCATGCGTATCCTTGTCCGCATAGATCCATCCCAGCATTGGCGGGTTATCCGAGATAGAGGTAGCAACCCCGAACCCGCGTTTGAGATGTTTCATATGATCAAACTCCGGGTACTCGATGTAGAACGCCTGCGCGGTATGCGCGGGAGGGTCTCGTTTTGCGGGGTCACGATCGTCCAGAAATACCTAATTGACAAGCGAGTACTTTGAGTTAGCACACTCATGCTTGATAAGTTTTCCAGGCGCGCATATATGCGCCACGGCAGAACACAATTGGCTCTGGAGCTGGACGTGCACACTCACCTTAAAGTCCCGCAACACTACCCGTTTATTATGTACCTCAGGATCCTCGGGGTTGTGCGGGGGTGCAGCGACGTCGATGTAGAATTTGGCCATGCGGCGCTCGTCGTTCTTGCGCTCGTTGGCTTTGCGCTGTTCGCTGGAGGCGAGCGACACCCCCGTCACGGTGGGGATGGCGCTTAGGACTAGTAAACCAATGACCATGATGGATGGTGACTGGATAAGTTATCCCCAGCTGTAATTATTGTTTTCAGAGAGATTTTGGAAGAAAGAAAGTCGAATTTTCATTAGGGTAATCGGTAGAGGTAGGAGGAAATCAAAACGTTAGGGAAGCTATTTCGAGGAGCGGGGATCAACCCGATAATATGGAAAGCTGCATTGATTCCACAGTTTATCGCCGGGGTGGCGGTGCGTGCATTCGTCATATGTCATCGGTGGGCTAATGGTCGGTGGCTGTGAGTGGCTGGCCGGCTGTTGCGCTTTTTCTGGGTGATCAGGTGACCAGCCCACGGTGGGGTCTATCTCTGTGGTCTTTTTCGGTGCCTGGCTTTACTACCATTTATTATTGTATGTACTCAACGAAACAGACTACCACAGTCGCTAGACCGAAAAGCCAACTAACTTCTTCATCGATTCAAATGCTGGAGTATCCTCACGGCTTAATGGAGCTTCAAAGGCTCTCATGTTCAATGAGCTGATTCTACTTCGCCTCAACTCTCATTGGATCACTTTCAGTGGCCTTGAATAGGCCTGGAAACATTGCTATAGCTGAGGTCCAATTTTACGTTCATGAGTTCAGCGATAAAAATTGCTTCTGATGGTCTGGCAGGCTTCCTGAGCACTGATATACTCACAATATCATCGCACAGAAAGTCAAGTCTCTGCCGTGCGAGCGAATACCATGGCGCAGCGAGATGGCAGCGCTTGGCGAAATACAGCATTCTAGTTTCTGGCTTGGACCTACACATCCCAAACCTCAAGCCTACAGAGCCCTCTTCTTATCCGATGCGCTCTCAAGGTGTGCTTGATCATGCACCTGTTTTTCAGCCGCGATGATTACACCTTTGACACAAGCCAAAGGCTAGCCTCTATCGATTCGGATGTTGGGCGAGACTGGCCAAAGTACATCATGAACGGCTCCTACACCGCCACGCAGCTGGTTCAACAACACCATGTATCTCACCCAGGACGACTTGGCCAATGCCCGCAGTCTGTTCTGGAATAAGGCTCTGTGGTACTAGTCGCGCAGGGGACGGGCACCTGCGGAACGGCATGCCGTCTAAAGTTGCGAACGGTTTCCACTAGGGCGATTGGTGTGTCGGTCTGGAGACTTTTTTTTGTTGGGTTTGTAACATTTGGGTGTGATCCAGTCTCTGGCACACTCTTCGTTTCTAAATATAAGGTCAAAACTTCGCAGTAGAACAGATAAAGCCGCAAATCTGCATATGATAGCTCCCCATTCATGATGTACAGTTCGACCCAGACTTATTATTGTGTAGCGGCACGCCGCTCTATTCTCACAGAATCTACTTCCAAGCCTATTAATAGTCCAGATCCCCATCACGAATGTCTCTGAGGCTATGCTCAAGATTTAGTTTGAAAAGGTTGCCTGGCCGCGAACACCGAACTTCCTGCCTCATACGCCGTTACCTGCAGCGCAGGTGGGTTCCGCTGACTCAGCGGCAGCATCCAAAGCAGTGATCTTAGCGCTATCAGTGGGGAGGTGGGCGTCTCCATCTTATCTTAGTGCAGCTTGAAAGGAGTCTGCATACCAATACCTTCTAGAACCAGGAACTCTCCCTATGCCTGTTCCTTACACCGCATCTTACTTTTCTATCGTCTCGTGTTCTGGGATGAACAGGCTACGAGCATACAAGACAATCCGTGGGAAATCGAGCGAACACAATGGTTCATGAAGGACAAATAATACGCTATATTCAATGCTCTAAAGACTCTATCTAGCTCTAGCTAAGCAGTAGACATGGCCGGACGCTTCATGTGCGGTCTTTGTCCGGTCCAATCGATGAGTTAGCTCTATCACGCTTGACTCATGATGCTATATGGCACTTGCTGGGGATAATGTGTATGCTGATGCTCATGCTGTGGATGCTGTAGATGCGTTGTATGTGTGTGTTCGTGACGTCGTAGAAATATGCTGCTCATGGTAGGTTATACTGTAGTCACCATGAGCAGCAGTACCTATGGTGATGGGCATGAGAGAAAGAGAGAGAGAGAGAGTCTTCGTGCTGGTTTGCAGCAAGCCAAGCCTCAAATCTTCTCACTCCAACCCCAAACGGACCACCAGCATCGAACTGGGAGGGCCCCGCCATCAGCCGACTCCCAGTCATCATAGCCGACCTCCTCGCCTTCGTCAACGACCGCCAGTCCGAGCTCGCCCATGCGCTGTCGGAAGTCCTGCACCTGCGGCAGGTACGCATCGCGGAGGGGCATCTCGACCACGACACGGGCGTCGAGCCCCCGGCTTAGCCAATGGGAGACCGTGTCGACGAGCCATTTCGGGTGATAGGGCGAGTACAACGGGTCGGCCGCGAGGATGAGGTCATATTGCTCGGCGGGCGTGGGGAGCGGCGAAGGCGCCATGGACCAGTCCAGAACGCCAGTGGTGACGGTGGCGCCGGTGCGGCTGAGCAGCTCAACGTTGAGGGCGGCGTTGTGCGCGAGATTGGGCACGATAGCGGGGAGGTCGGTGAGGTGGATAGTGGCGGATTTACCGCGGAGAGCGGCGAAGGAGAGGCCAACGAGCCCTGTGCCGGCACCGAGTTCGAGGGCGCGGAGCGTGCGGTCGGGGTGGAGTTGCGGAGTGGTGGTTGTCGTTGGGACAAGCTGCGGGGGGGATTCGAGGAGGGCGTGCAGGCGGATAGAGAGCAGGTACGAAGAGACCCAGGTCTTCATGCCCAGGTTGTCGGCCGTCAGAGACGGCTCGTGCAGGGTGAGGGTGTATTCTTCACCCTGGGAGGTCGGGATCATGAAGACTCGCGACATGGCGGGCATTGCTAAATAGCACTCTAATGTCAGAATGTCCATCCTCGGAGATTACCGCAGGCTACACCCCCTCCATCTACATACCAGTTCGGCCAGAACGTTCGCTCAGTCGGGCCGCAGCGGCGTCCCACACAGCCTCACGAAGCTCATCGGTCTCGAGCCATGCGAGCGGACTCGAGATAATCGATGTTAGATAGCGGGTGATACCGGCCGGATGGACGGTCTGAGCCTTCACCGCTTCAGGGGCCTTAAGACCAAAACTCCGTGGTTTGGTCGTCAGAAGAGCGAGAGCCTGGATGAGTTCGGTGCCTGAGGGCTTGGTATGGATCTGGGGAAGATCGAGCACTGAAAATGGGCTTATCAGTTCATTATCGCTCCTATCTATCAGGGGCTATATGTGGAGGGGCAAACGCACCGTGGAGAGGCTCGTCGGGATCGGCGCCGATCATGGTGTCGATATGCGGGGGGACGATTTGAAGGCACTGGAGAATGTGCAGATTGGTGTAGCAAAGGGTGAAGCTGGTCAATTTCTTATAACCCCCGGATTAGTGGCGAAAAGAGCGATGGAGATATCGGATCTGGGCCTGCAAAAAAAAAGTCGAGATTGCCCAAAGAGGAAAGGCTGGTGTGTGTTGTTCCGCGGATCGGATCCGCTCCGCCGCTCTTTCCCCTGCCGAGATAATCTATGATAGTACAGTATGTGATATTGTCCCTGTTGGTATATAACTCCCCTTCCAAAAAAAACCATGCACCGATGCTGTATATTGACATGACAATAGACATTCGTCTCCAGCAGTGCGATCGCCTCAGCCCAAAGTCGACTTAAATCCCATGTACGCTTGCTCGATATCGAAAGACAGTTCTCTCGCCTGCTCCTCACTAAGTTCTTCGGTCGCCCGCATTTGGTTCAACGTGATCAGCCACTGAATGATCTTGCCCCGGTTTTCGAAATCCGCATCAGTCACCCTGTTCACAGACTGAATCACTTCCGAGAGCAGCGGGTGTAATGCATCTTTCGAGACCATGTTCAATTTCAGCGCATCAAGGAAGGTAATAAAGTTCTCGGTGGCCGTCAGGATCAAGCTGCCAGAGGTGCCGCCTGGCGGGCCTGTTGCTGCCGGAGCCATGTTCGCTGCAGGTGTACTATGTGTGGCTTGTTCCACTGTGGCGGGGAGCCCAATTCGCAAACGCTCGGTGGCACGGGGGCATTCCAACTAAATGACGAGACCAAACAATCAGCTGATGAGGCGGTATGAAGGGTAGGAGATACACTCACGCCCCATTTGCGCTTGAAAGTCTCCAGGTCGACAAACTCTCCCGCCACGGTGTCGTCGCCCAGGCTCGACTTATACTGCTTTAACAAGCGAGTGCAGGTCTCCGTGTACTCCGCTTCCGTAACCACATCCCGGATATAAGCCTTCTCAAGACCGTCCAATGTAACGATGATACTGTAAATCTCCGCCAGAGACTCGTGAAGATCGCGCTCCGCCGAGCTGGAGGCTAATTTCACTTCCTGGCGCATTGCGTAAGGACCAGTCAGCCAGCGATCCAGCAAGCCAAACCGGATGCACTAGCTTACCTCGTCGAGGTTGATGGATGCAGCCAGCGCCGGGTTCGGCGTATAGCTGTAAGGAGTCGGGGCATATGATAAAGGCCTTTGCGCATACATGTTTGACTGCTCGATGAATGGAGGCCGTCGGAGGGGGGGAAAGGCGCCAGAGTCCCGCATGAGGGGAAACAATCACCGACACCACCAGAAGGCGGTCACCTAATCCGATCACCCCTCACCGCTCTATTCTGCCGCAACATGTATTTTTTTCCGTCTCCAGATTTTTTCCTGGTCCCTCGAGGCTTTTGCGGGATTCATTATCTTGGATTTTCTCCCCACCCACTTTTTATTGACTTCCCTCTCCGCGACTTCGCGAAGAGAACACCCCTGTCACCATGGCTGGAAGTCAGAAGAAGTCCACCAAGAAATTCGAGAAGAAGCATCTCAAAGATGTCCTCGAGCGCCGCAAGGCCACCGCTAAGATTAAGCAGCGCAACCACCTGAAGGAGAAGCGTAAGGCGGACAATGCCAAGCAAAGAGCAGAGCGGGACGAGGATGAGGAGGAGAGCCCCGAGCAGGTGCAGAAGCAGAAGGACTTTGCCGAAATGAACGTCGACGACTTCTTCGCGGGCGGCTTCGACATTCCCGAGTCTGCGGCGGAGTTGACCAAGAAGGGCCGCAAGAAGGCCGTCACCCCCAAGATCGGCAAGCGCAAGCGCTCAGATAAACAGAAGGACGAGGACGAGGAGGCTGCGTCGGCTTCTGAGGAGGGAGGCAGCGACGACGAGGGCAGCGGGCCCGACGACTTCGAGGCGCACAAGGACCAGCTTGAGGCGTTGAAGGAGAAGGATCCGGAGTTCTACAAATACTTGAAGGAGAACGACGCTGAGTTGCTCGATTTCGGCGAACACGGCGACCTCGCGGAGGTCGACCAGCTGAGCGAAGAGGAGGAGGAGGAAGGTCCCGCCAAGAAGAAGAAGAAGGGCTCCAAGGCCAAGGCTGCGGAGGAGGATGAGGATGAGGCGACCGACAACACACTCACGCTCGCAATGGTCAAGAAGTGGCAGCAGCTGATGGAGGAGCAGCACTCGATCCGGGCGATGCGCCAGGCGGTGCTGGCCTTCCGCGCTGCGGCGTACGTCAACGAGGGCAACGACGAGCAGGAACATAAGTACACCATCTCGGACTCCAACGTCTACCACCAGGTGCTCGTGACGGCGCTGAACAACATCCCGCGGGTGCTGGCGCACCACCTGCCCGTCAAGGAGAGCGCGTCGGGCAAGGTGCGGGTGTCGATGGACTCGAAGAAGTTCAAGACGCTCACGCCGCTGATCAAGTCGCACACCAGCTCGGTGCACCAACTGCTGACCAACCTATCGGACGAACCGACCCTTAAGCTCACTCTCTCCTCGATCGAACCCATGCTTCCCTACCTCCTCCAGTTCCGCAAGCTCCTCAAGGTGCTCGTCAAGACGATCGTCAGCATCTGGGCCGACGTGTCCACGACCGAAGCCACGCGGATCACGGCCTTCCTCATCCTCCGCCGCCTGATGGTCATCGGCGACGCCGGCCTCAAGGAAGCCGTGCTGAAGGCCTCCTACGAAGGCGTCGTCAAGGGCAGCCGCAACACAACCGTGCACACCCTCGCGGGCGTCAACCTCATGAAGAACTCCGCGGCCGAACTTTGGGGCATCGACCAAAACGTCTCCTACACAACAGGCTTCAGCTTCATTCGCCAGCTCGCCATGCACCTGCGTAGCAGCATCACCAACACCTCAAAGGAGTCCTACAAAACCGTCTACAACTGGCAATACGTGCACTCGCTGGACTTCTGGTCGCGCGTGCTCTCGCAACACTGCGACGCCCTCGTCGAAGCGCAAGCCGGCAAACCCTCCGCTCTGCGCCCGCTCATCTACCCCGTCGTGCAGATTACCCTGGGCGCGATGCGCCTGATCCCAACCGCGCAGTACCTCCCCCTGCGCTTCCAACTCACGCGTGCCCTCCTCCGCCTCTCCCGCGCCACAGGCACCTACATCCCCCTCGCCTCCGCCCTGCTCGAAGTCCTCAACCTAGCCGAGATGCGCAAGCCGCCCAAGACCAGCACGCTCCGGCAGCTCGACTTCGCGACCGCCATCCGCGCGCCCAAATCCTACCTGCGCACGCGCGTCTACCAGGACGGCGTTGGCGAGCAGGTTGCGGAGCTTCTCTCTGAGTTCTTCGTGCTCTGGACCAAGCACATCGCCTTCCCTGAGCTCAGCGTCCCTGTCGTCGTCGCCCTCAAGCGCTGGATCAAGCAGGCCAGCGCCCGCACCGGCGGTAACAGGAACACCAAAATCAATCAGATGATCCTGCTGCTCGTCCAGAAGGTCGAGGCCAACGCCCGCTGGATCGAGGAGAAGCGTCTCGCTGTCACCTATACGCCCCGTAACCGCGCCGAGGTCGAGAGTTTCCTTAAGGATGTCGAGTGGGAGAGCTCCCCGCTCGGCGCGTTTGTTAAGTCCCAGCGGAAGCTCCGTGAGGAGAAGGCCGCGCTGCTCGAGCAGGGTAGGCTAGAGGAGGAGAAGCGTCGTAAGGAGGAAAAGGCGGAGGCGGCGCGGGAGGCGATCCGGGATGAGGTGATCAGTGAGGGGGATGAGAGTAGTGAGGATGATGATGAGGAGGCGGAGGAGGAGGAGATTGAGGAAGGGTCTTCGTCGGATGGGGAGGGTAGTGAGGAGGAGGAGGAAGAAGAAGAAGAAGAAGAAGAAGAAGAAGAAGAAGAAGAAGAAGAAGAAGATGAGGATGAGATGGAGTTTGAGGAAGAGGAGGATTAGACTACTCTTCCACATATAGTCGATGTTTCTTTGTGTTCTTATACCTTATACTCTATGTAGCTATTGGGAACCTCACTGCGTCCAAGTCTGTTTTTCGTCATGTCAATACAAAAAGTTCAAGATTCATCTTGCTGCTACCCGTAAGTTGCATAAGTGTGCAGCGTCAGGACCATCTTACGGGGTTTGACTCTCTTTTATATAAATCTACTTTTAAGACTCTCTACTAGTCGGTAACAACAAGAACCCATGAAGCCAATGCAGAATATCAGAGTAAGCAGAACGCAGCCAAAAATATCAAGGAAACTCACCACAACCATTGTTTAGCGAACGGAGCCGCCACACAAGACGACTTTCCTCTAACCACCTCCCAACTCACATACTCACACAGTCACACTCACAGACTGCGACACACATCTACACCGACCCAACAGGCATCTTCTCCGCCCCCCAGGCACGGGACTGCTCCCTCCGCAGCGCAGCATCCTCTTCTTCCGCCCACTCCAGTGACTCAGTCGGCAGCATGACCGCCCGATCAATGGCAACAGGAAGACCCCGGTGCCGGCCGCGCAGGGTCACCGCCGCAAGGATCAGCTTGCTGATGGGGTGCCAGGCGCCGCAAAACGAAGCATTCGAGCCCGGGTAGCCGACACTGACGCCGACGCAGCCGTAGGCGGAGACGATCTCGAAGATAATGTTAAAGGTCGAGAACGCGACGGGTTGCTCCGAGAAGTGGTCGGACTCCGCGACACTGATCAGAAACACAGCGAGCGCGATCCACCACAGATCGTGGCTCAACTGGGAGCGCAGCTGCTGGTGCACAAAATAGCTCCGCGAAGCTTCGGGGCTGGACCCGTCCCGTCGGCCGAGTAAGCGGTGACGGACGAGTTGGATGAGCAGGTTGGATGACGCCCGGGATTCTTGTTCGCCGTCTGTGGGGTCGTGGGCGTAGATGCCCAGGGACCGTTCTTCGTAGACATTTGTGGTCCTGGAAGGTGTTAATACGGATGGTTCAAGGTTGTGGAAAGAGCTGTACGAACCTCATAGTGAGCAGCACGGGGTATGCTGATACATACTATAGGAAACTGGTTAGGTTAAAGTCAGAACTACGAGCTTTTGAAGATACTGACCATCATAAGAACTATGCATCGTTAGCAATGAATTTCGGGAATAGGTCAAGCAAAGGTATTTACCATATAGTACGAGTAATCCTTGGCGAAGGTCGGCTATAGTCACAACATAGAATCCTCCGGCACGCACAGCTGCAGGGAAAACTCATTAGCTCACGCTCCATCAGCGATTGCTTTCGCGTAACGTACCAGAAGCCTGGAATAGACCATCGAGAACCCTGTACTCTGTAGGTAGACTTTCAATATCCTTGTTACCAATGGACAGAACCTCAAAACCAGCCCAGTCTATTGCGTTCAAGATGATGATAGTGGCCATCAAGAACCAGGTATGGCGCCTGGGAAAGAGATTGGTATAGACCTTCACGAGGTTAGTACAGCGGGGCAAAATAAAAATTGCGGAGTGCGCATACTCTTCGAGGATGGTCTAGAATGAATTCGAGAGTAACTCTCCATGGCGCCCATGAGGGCGACTTTGGCAGCAAGCATTTCATGCTCCATATGATGAAACGCAAGAAACACGGATAAAGAGTGTTTCCAGCCAAAATGAGGAAGCTCATAGTAAGCAATGGATACGCACTGATGGAGAAGTCAGTTAACCTGTCAGCACATCATGGCAAGCAAAATACCTTCTCTGAAATGCCACCATGTTGGCATCCAACAGCGACATGCCACTGTTGACAAAGGCAGAAACTGCGAAGAACGCGCCGGTCCAGAAAGGCGACAGTCCGTTCTCTCGGGCTTTTTCTGGGTGATTGACCGCGACCCAGGTGCCCATGCCGACTATACCACAGATGATAAACACCACCCAGTACAAAGTCACGATGACTAGTAAGAAGGACACCGCTCGATACTCGACACCTCCAAGCCTCTCCCGCTCTTCAGGCGTCAGCCCATGAAACTGCGAATTGCGCGAAATGAGACCCTTGGACGCGAAATATTTCTGGGTTCCTTTCAAAATGCCTTTGAGCGCCGGCAAATCTTCTTCTTCTTCTTCTTGTCTCTGGGGCAAGCGTGGGACGGCATCACGCGGGTGGTTGTTAAGATCAAACCGAGCTCCAACCCCTACCATAGGGAAAACGCGATGATGATGGTGTTGCTGGTGATGCTTCATATGGCCGAGAGTGACCTGGTCATCGTCAACCCATTGTATTTGATCCTCCTCTGACGACGAAGCGTTCGTGTCTGTCGGGACGGCACGAGCCGCGACTGTCTTCCTGGCATCTGCAGAAACCAAATCGCCTGATGTAGGCGACAGCTCATGCTTCTCGGCGCCGTTCTCGTTTATGGGATCCAGACGAGCTCTCTGGCTCGCCTTATCAATTGAGTAAGCGCTTTTCCTTTTGCGCTCGTTCACGATATGTTGGAACTTGGACTGGAACGCATTCCTCCGAACAAAGAGCACCGTGATGGAGATCATGATTGCATGTCCCAGGAGCAGCAGCACAAAGAGAATGGACTGCTGGAATGAGTTCAACTTCGACAAATCCACCTGATCGTAGTTAGAAAGTGTCTTCAACAAGACCGAAACTCCTAAGAACCTACAGTGTTCAGACCGGCGCCAGTCATAGCACTGACGCACAAAAACAAAGCGTCGACATAGGCAACACTGTGCGCCGGAGTGGCAGAGCCCCAGAGAATGGCACTGCAGATCAAGGGCACCGCGATAAAGTAGGCATAATGAAGCGTGAGGAAGTTGAACGGCGGTAGGACCGCCATGATGCTTCGTCCTAGGAACCGTCGCGAATGCCAGTCTGTGATGATGGTATATTAGCAACTGTACATCAAGTCACAAGACCTGATTATCAGGAACGTCATGTTCTAGGCTGTTCAGCCCTTCAAACCCTGCTTGCGATCATTTTCCACGCAAGGGAGCGTGAGACAAAACATGGGAGAACCATATTTATAAGCTATGCAAGGCCGCAACTTACTTGTCATCTTGATGGATAAGTTCACCAAGTATTGCAATTTATAGTGAAGGGATGATGTAGGCCTCCTAGGTGACGAAGCGGAGAGCTCGCGGCCTAGAGCTGTCGGCTTCGTTTAAGGCGATTGAAACCAGTCGAGGTTTTTTGGTTGAAGAATTCTTATTTGATATTTGGAGGGGGCGGGGGGGCGCACACCGCTACCCACAAGGACTTTGCAAAATCTGTATCAATCTTAATCTAATGCGAAATTTCATTGTTTGAATCCTTGTGCGACGCGTTGTGAAGCGGTGGAACGAAGTCACCAACGATGAAATGACTTGCGAAGTAGTAGAAAAGTGGTTATAGTTGGTGTGGCTGTTGGTAGTTGAAAGAGTAAAAGGCGGAAGTGCGGCGCTTGGTGGTGGTGGGTGGTGGTGGTGTAGATATTTGATGTTGCTGTATAGGATCGGAAATGCTAGTCAATTGGCTTAGTTATCGATCGATAGTCAAATAGCGCAGAGTCTGAAGGTAGCGTCTTGGAAGGTGGTAGTTGTAGGCTAGGTCTTATGCGATTCACTTTATGTATGGGCAAAGCTTGAGTCACAGTTATATCGGGGGCAAAGCGTATGTTATTCCATTTTGAAGACCTTCCAGGTAGACAATAGTGAGTTGGTAAGAAAGAGGAGGATGAGTTAAAGGGAAGTAAGTAAGTTTAGAGAAAGAGGAAATGGGCAAAAAGTGAAGTGTGGGTTGAATTGATTACTTTTGATTTGAGGGTACGGCGGCGGCGGCGGGCCGAGAGAATCTTTTTCTTCACCAACCGTTGGGCTGCCGCTTGGAAGCTCCTCATAAGGCTGGCCGCCCATCTTTAACACCCACCACACCACGTCACTCTCGGCACGCGATTATCTCTGCTTCTCCAAGTTCATATGAGGCTATAACTACCTGCTGAATTGCTTTAATGACCTTGCATTTAGCTAACTAGCTTCCTCACTCTCTTTGACCACTTCGTGCCGGATCCAATGCCCACTTTTGCCCCCCTTCTTCTCCAGCAATTTCACGCCACCAATCACCATCCCCTTATCCACTGCTTTCAACATATCGTACACCGTCAGGGCAGCCCCCATAGTAGCCGTCATCGCCTCCATCTCCACCCCCGTACGTCCCAGGCAGCTGACAGTAGCCGTGACATGCATTGCCCCATGCCTCATTGACCCGTCCGCACGCGCTTCCGATGCTCCAGGGTCCAGCAACCTCACATCGACCTCGACGCCCGTGATGCCAATTCCCGGGTGACACAGCGGCACAAGATCCGGGGTTCTCTTCGCAGCCATGATGCCAGCAATGCGGGCTACACTGAAGACGTCTCCCTTTTTCGTGCCGCGACCCTCCCGTAGGATCTCCCATGGCCGCGCGTTGGAGAATTGAACCAGACATGTAGCCGTAGCCTGTCGCTTCGTCACCGGCTTCTCAGCAATCTTGGTCATGTGCACATGTTGCGAGCTGTTGAGATGCGGCAGGTCGGGGTCTGAGGTGGTAGGAAGGGAGATCTGGATGGAATCTTCTTTTCCCATCTCTGAATTTGTCTTTGTGGAGTCTGCAACAGACGGGCTGTCTTCACGTTTGCGGGAATAATATCGGATCCGTGGGGCAAATTGTGAACCGGCGGAGAGCAAGTGTACAGGGACCCTTCTCCCCCAGGCAGCTGATGCCAGTCCGGTTCGTGGAGTGCAAAAAGGTGTGGCATTTATCCAATTGCTCGTATTTCCATTATCTATCGCCCATCCATCAGCACGCATCACAGGTACTCAATCAACATACTGTTATAGGCCCGACTCAACCGCCGCTAGCGACAAACATCACAAAGATATACTAAGCCACCTTCCAAAGCATTGATCGTAATTCATGACAGTCATTTCGCCCAAAGATGCAAATATCCCAAGAAGAAGAAAAAAAAAAAAAAAAAAAAAAAAAAAACAAGGTCGCGCCTACCCACCAATAAGAATCATAGGGCGGTTCTTCATATTCTCCAATTCGCCCATGCCGGCATGTTTCGCCTTCTTGCGTTTGACCGCCATGCCGATGATATTGAGCAGCTCCTGTTCTCTCTGCGAAGCTTCTGTTGCATCTGCGACGGATTCCAAACTTCTCATGGCATCTTCATCAAGAGGCTCTCCGTTGTTTGCTTTCCGAATAATGTCGCGGAGTGACACCTCTGCATTCCCGAACAGGCACACCTTGAGATTACCATCACAGGTAATTCGCAAACGATTGCAGGTCCCGCAGAAGTTGTGGGTCATGCTGGTGATAAACCCAATCCGACCCATAAAGCCTGGCACCTGATAAGTTTTACTCGTGTCGTTCTTATGATCGGGAACCTTCTCCAAAGCGGGATACTTCTCTCGGATGATAGCCAGCATCTCCTGATAGGAGACCATTTTGCCCTGGCTCCATTTGTTACCGTCAAACGGCATGTACTCGATGAAACGGACTTCGATGGGATTGTCACGCCCCATTTCAATGAAAGGGATTATTTCCCGGTCGTTGAGCCCTCGCATCACGACGCAGTTGATTTTCAACTTGATTCCCGCACCCATCTGGTTCATCTCGAGGATGCGGTCGATGCTCTTCATCACAGCATCAAACCCTTTTCTCCTCGTCATGATCTGAAACTGAAATGGGTCCAATGTATCCAAACTGAGATTCACTCCTGTGAGTCCTGCCTCGGCCATGGCGTCCAATTTGCGGTGCAGAGAGATTCCATTCGTCGTTAGGCACAATTCACGCAGACCATTCCGCCGCAACTCGCCGATAGACTGCATTAACGGCACAATATCCTTCCGCACGGTAGGTTCGCCACCAGTCAGGCGGATTTTTGTAACACCTTGCGCGACGAATAGCGACGATAGGTAAACGATCTCGGGCGTGGTGAGGAGGCGGCTCGGTGGCGACAGCTGGATGCCTTCTTCGGGCATGCAGTAGAGGCAGCGAAGATTACAGCGCTCGGTCACACTTATTCGGAGATAATCATGTTGACGGTTGAAGCGATCGGTGAGAAATTCCGAAAATGGCTTCGCGGATCTAAGGGCGGACCATCGTGACGCGGAAGACTTCGAGGACGGCGAGATTTCAGCATCGGGGAAGGATGGCGTAAGAGAATTTGATACCATAGGTCGCTCTGCTGAGACTGGACTCGAGTTCGTGGTGTGTTTCCGAAAGTGTGACTGACCAAGCGTGCTCTTTCGTGTCCGACAACTGCGGGGAAGTGAAAGTAGGGGCGCCACTCCCCGCCTGCGCAACAAGAGCTCGTTCATCCTAGACAATGATCTTGTTTCAGCGAAGATCAATTCCTGGCATTTTGTTGCATCTGCGAGGCGCCATAGACACTCGAATGCATGTAGGAGGGAGTGAGTATAGAGAATCAAAGGGGGTTTTCTGAACTGAAGGATTGAGAGGGTAATGGTCTTATCGTCGCGGGCGATGGGATTCGCCGCCATCTCCGCGGATCTCGGGGTTTGCCGCTAGTCGGTGGGTCACGTGTTATCAGTACGAGATTCTTGACATCGATCTTTTGACAATGACAGAGTGGGGTCTACTGCAGGGTGCCACTACTACTAATCTCATTCGGTAGAGCAGCAGAGATCTAGTACAAATATGTAAACACCCTAGCCCGTTGTCGGCAGCATATTTCGAACCCTCTTCGCCAGACTGCGTTCATACTGCTCCACGCCTTCTGCTTGTTCCTTGAGCTTGCCCGATTTCAACACATGCACCACTCGACGTTGGCTGGATAATGTGTCTGAAGCCTTGTTCTCCTCCAACTCTTCGTCTCTTCTCTCCTCCAAATCTCGCTTGTTTTCAATCACCAAACGAACCATATATCGATCGTGGGATACGAGCAAGATAGCCCCATCAAAGTTCGAAAGCGCACCGGAAAGCGCAGTCACAGTATCGAAATCTAAATGTGTAGTGACTTCATCCAGAATGAGTAGCTGTGGCCGGGTCCATACCACTCTGGCCAAAGCTAGACGGACCTAAGTCGTGAATATCGGTTAGTCACAAGTGGCAAAAGAACGGGTAGACTTTACTGTCACTCACTAGTTGGCCCCCTGAAAGTCGACATACTGGTACATCAGACACAACCTTACCCTGAAGACCCAATGCTGAGAGAAGGCCCCTAAGCTCGCCTTCATTGAGCGCGCCATTGACTTCCGCCGTCATTAGTGTCAGAGCCGTCATATCAAGCTTTGATCGGCCTTGCTCCCGAAGCTCTTCTATAGAATGCTGTGCATAGTATCCAAGTTTTAGTCTTGGATGGCGCGAGATTTTACCATGTGCCGGTATCGCGCTGCCAGTCAAGAGGCGCACCAGCGTCGACTTTCCGCAGCCGTTCAGTCCCATGATGCCCACACGATCCCCCATGTGGATCCCCAATTCAATTCCATCAAGGATAGGAGCCTGCTGCTTGCTGTACCTGAAGAGAACCCCTTCCATCGAGATCAAAGGACCGGGAAATCGTAACTCTGTTGCCGAAGGTAGACTGATCGATGGTTTCCTCTCGTCTACCGGTACCTCGATCGCGGCCCGCGCAGCAAATTGATAGCCAGCTAGGTCTCGGCTCCGTTTGAATCGGCCACCTTTGGCGCTGACCTCTATTCCCATGCGGTCGTCAACCTTTTTTTGTCGCGATTTGGCTTGACGCAACTTGTTGTCATCGCCTGTCTTCTTGCCCAGCTTGATGTTCTCGCGGATGGTGGCCTCCATATGGGCAATTTGGCGATCCTGTGCTTCCTTCATGCGTCCCCAGCGTAGCTTCTGTTCCTCGACGTCCCTCTCATAGGCGGACAGATTTCCTCTGAAGTAGGTAAGCTTTTGATCTCTCAGGATGATGATCTCTTCGCAGACGGCGTTTACGAAATCCCGGTCATGGGAGACCATTAGAATTGTTTGCGAACTCTCACGCAGCCCTTGGAGATAGTTCTCAAGCCAGATGATCCCTAGAAGATCGAGATAATTGGTCGGTTCATCGAGAATCATGATATCCGGAGATTGAATCAACACACTAGCCAGCATACATCGCATACGCCAGCCACCAGACAATTGGGAAACGGGCTTGCCGAGTATCGCTTCCTGGAATCCTAAGCCTTGGAGGATCTGACGTGCTTGCTGTTCAGTATCGATGAGCATCATCTGGGGAGTTTAATTGTTAGTGTTGTCGATGAAAGCAATAAGGTGGACTCACAGCCTCAATTTTGGACTGCAGTTCATGCAAAACCTCCATCGCTATCTGCGTATCTTTCTGTATCGTATCGGCCTCAATAGACTCCTTCGTCTGGTTCAACCTAGAGCAACCAAGTTTTCTCAGCTCAATCCAATCGATAAGCGGTCACCGAGGCTTACAGCTCTGCCGAAGCTTTCAGTCTCTCTTCGGCCGTTCGCAGCTCTTTTCGTGCTTGTAACCCTCGTGCGCCACTCCTCAGATTTGCCATTTTCTGAGCCAGAAAGAGCTCTTCCTCCGCTTCACTATGGCGGATAGCCCGAATAGCTTTCACAGGTTGTAGCGGATCGTCGGACTCGAAACTCTTTGAAAGGACTTGAGAATCGTATATGTTAGACAAGCCGCATAGAGGTATATTGCGAGAGTATGTGACTTACTACTCATCTTCTTCACAACCTCATTTTTGTATTCGTCGCCAGCCAGCACAAAATCCAAGACAGGCTGTTCCAGTCTTTTGTCGGCTTCAGCTTCTTGGATTCCGTCGTCGCTGCCTCCCTCCGTCTGCTGCAGGATAGCAATCCGCGTAGCATGTGGAATTCCAGGTACCAGCTTGTCGGCGATGGCTCGTAATAGTGCTTTTGAAGGTGAAAGCAGCATTTAGCTTTAGTCTTCCTGCCGCAAAGGGTTCGGAAATTGGTAGACTACTTACTAGACTTGCCAGTCCCATTGCGTCCTATTAGACCATAGTGTACACCCGCTTTGAGTTGCAGATGCGCGTCCGAAATCAGTTCTTTCGCTTCAGCCTTGGCCCTGCGTTTCGATTTGGCATCTGTTGTTGCTGATTCAGCGTGGGTCGGCGGGGATGTCACCGCGATGGTAATCCCTTCGACATCAACCTATCGTTTTCAAGGTGCTAGAGTCAGCTACTTGTGGTTGGCGGGGTCCAAGAGCTCCTACCTCTTTTGAAGCCTGGTCAAGAATGTGAAAGCGGGTCTGCTTGCAGGATGCTATTATCGTGGGAGCCATGGTATTCTCGAAGTTGATTGAAATATGACACTTTCGCAAAGCGGCGAGTTTGTCATTGAGAAGCTAAAGAAAGCTTCGAAAGCAGCAGAACGAGTGCCTGGAGTGAGGATTTCAACGGTCTGGAGGATACTATGGACTATACCAGTTCCTTATATACTTCGGTAGTCGTTTAGTAGTGCATTGAACCGGACAATGCACGTTGCACAATGAGGAAGAGTCATCGCCAAGATTGTAAACCACCATGTTGTCTGGGAGAATTAGCCAGGGCCTGTCTCTAGAAGAACATGGACTATCCACAGACCTAGTCTTCTGAGTCATTTTCGTGCGAAGATCATTCTCCGGTGACTGATGTTCCTCAAAACTGTGGATGGAGAGAGTCGTCGGGGTCCGAAAGAGGAATAGCCGCTACAGATTCGCTTTCATGCATAGTTACTATAGGTACGGTAGACAGCCGAGGCTGCGGTTTTGGTCTCGCAAATGCTATCCTTGACAATGAGAATGTTCTTCTCTCTCATTGCCCCTTGATACGGATTGCACAATATCGTGACTAAGGGGAGCGAACTCATGTACTGCTCTGTACAAAACGAGTTCTGAGCTGCCAACGAACTGACTCAAAGAAGCAGATGTTAGACCAAGGCTTGACGGGAGCAAGAACATGATATCGTCTACAGACATGAGGATAAAAAGCCACGATGGCCTTGTCAACTGCTTCGTTTGACAGATAGTCACCACTCGGGTTGATTACCTCTTGAGAAGACATACTTCTCGATCATGCACTGTAGCGCAGCGCCTTCATTTTTACTACCAGACCGAATGAATAGAAACGAGACTGCACTATTTTCGAGCAGTCGCTCGGTCCTCAATAGTGACTTCAAGGATGATTAGGCCACTCTGACATAGCTCCTAGTCTTGAAGAAGAGCTTGAGGGTGTGCGTAGGTGTTTGAGTCCTGTCTGATGTGGATAGGCATGGTCCTGTCGAGGTGAAAATGATCTTCTCACTCAGCTGTTTGAGAGCATAGGGCCAGACTCATATATATCTGCGTTTACTTAGGATGCGCCAATTAGATACAAGCTAGTCCCTGGAAGAACGCGCATCGCCCATGAATTCCTCGCTTTTGACGAGTCGACTGACACGCTCCGGTGAAAAAGTCAATGCTGCTCTTAACTAGGTAGATCAAGAAGCCTCGGTTCTGTACACTCAATTCTTGACATGGCTAGAAGAATAGTCGAATAGAACATGACAACTGATGTCTAAATCAGGATCGGCGTCTTTAATGGTCTCTTCTCCCTCGGAAAGCTGTATCATGCACTATGTTCTGGCAAACTAGTTGCAGCAGTATCATAGAACACGAACAGGACGGGCCTCAAGCTGGATTGATCACAACTTACCTTTTGCATGCATTGAATGGCTATGTCTATCTCGACTCCATAATACCTCAACGCATTTCTCTCGCCACGAATGACGAGATAGTACTGCATCCAGTTGCATATCGCGCATGCTTCAGTGCATCACTTGTCTAACCTACGAGTCTCCTGAACCGACAAATACCGATTCATCCCCAGATCGATCGACTCCATCCAAAGATGACATCGTCCGACGTGATGATGATGCTCCGACCCAAACATGCCCCAACAAGGTGCTGCGCTGTACCTAAACCTCCACCCTGCGCGACCACGGAAAGCAATTCTCACTCCCCCGCGTGGCAACCAAACAACAAGAATGGAATCGATCGATCAGCAATTCGAGAGCCAAGAGTGACTCGATTCTTGCATCACCAAAACTCCTATCTTTGTATTTTGTGATGAGTCTCGGGTCTGATGTCAAGCGGACAGCATGATGACCTCATCCTCAGCACCTGTAGAACTTATAAAACAGCATCTCAATCAACCACCGAAATACCCCATTCAAAGCTTGCACAAACAAGAACTCAGATTTTATTATCAAACCTCATCCCAAAACACACAAAACCAGCACAATGGCCTCCAACACCAACCCCGGAAACTTCTCCAACCGTCCTCACGAGGAGGTGCAGAACATCGCTCGCAAGGGCGGCCAGTCCAGTCACTCTGGCGGCTTTGCCAGCATGGACCCTGAGAAGCAGGTTTGTTTTGCTCTCCTATTATTTCCTTGCTAAGCACAATATATCGGCGTTAAACTAACGGGCATTGTAGCGCAACATCGCTTCCCAGGGTGGCCATGCTTCCAGCGGAAGCTTCAAGCCCGGCGACCCTCGGGCTCGCGAGGCTGGTCAGAAGGGTGGGTCTAAGACCCAGTATGACCAGGAGACGCCTGAAGAATAAGCTTGGGATATTTCATTATAACGGGATGTTACGATGATTATGCTATGATGTTGTGATTGACGATGTAACTATTATGTATGTACTGTACGATATTGAGGTTTTCAACCACAGACGGAATTCTACTTTCGTGAGAGTTTGCATTTGCATCCAGAGAATTATCTTAATTGACCTATGTCAATGTGCATTGGAGAAGATAGAAGGATACCTACTTACTACCTTCCCAGCTCGGCCGAAGCAAGTATGTGTATGTGTGTGTGTGCGTGTGATTGTTGGGTCCGCACTACGTCGAGAAGACATCACTCAGTGACCCCTCATCGCCGTTTTCGGACACCATCTACTACGTACTCTTTCCATCCCAACAATCCTACCAAACTACAGAACCTATGAAGCAAGATCCCCATTGCCTTTTTGTCTTTCGGCGAAACAATTATAGCACTCAATCCATCAGAACCTCTGCTAAGTATCTGGTGGCAACCTTCCTTCCGACTGAATTGAGCACGTAACTACTACATTCTGCTCAGCCACGAGACAGCCAAGTTCGAGGAGTTTTTTTTTTTTTTTTTTTTTTTTTTTTTGCTAGCTCGTTCACTAGCTATACATAGTACCTCCTAGTATGTAGCAATTGAGAGCTATGAGTGTCTGAAGGTCAAACATCGTCAAACCACGATCGCACAGGACCTTTACATGTACCTTTTTTGAGTAGTTAGATGCGTGGGAGTCTAGAGGCCGGGTGATCTGCCAATAGCTTGTTTCTTTCTATGGCTATTCCTCGTTCGGGCCATTGCACTGAAGGTTAATGAAAGGGGTCATGTGCTGAAGCTGGGATAGTAACTACTAGTATACTTGAGCGCTCCTTGGTATCTCGCCCGGCAATCAGTAGCCGATGGGTTCATCCATCATAAACCTAAATAGGTAAACGATCGCATGAGACGAGGATTTGGGGCGTGCGAGTTACCCTACAGGGTCCGAGTGCAAGGGGAAAATCCCTGGCTGGGAATGGAAATGGAGGCTTGAACAAGGCAACCTAGACTGGAAGCGTGTGTTGCAGGGTTAGGACCTTTATCTCAAGTTGGAAAATTTCAACGTCCATGCTCTTTGCTATTGACCGATAATCGTTCTAGCCACGCCGCCACGTTGAAAATCTCTGCTCGTGCCAAAAAAGGTACCGTAGATGAGAAGAAGCGACTCGGCTGCAGATCGTCCTACGTCGGCAAACTAGAGCGTGCACGCGGAAAATTTGAGGCTAGAACTACTGGAGGTCTTCCGTTGTGATTGTGATGCTGGTTCTTCACCATGGTCCTGACTAAGCGGCAGAGGCATTCGTCTCGACTTCCTAATAAGGTTATCGTGATGCTGCGGCCAAGGGTCGGTCGGCATGAGGCTTTAAGGGGTACACTAGGGGTCAACATGGGCGAATCCGGGCCCCTCTGCCTGCTTCACGCCCGTCAAGTGCCTTCTAGTGCGCCCTTCTAGAAGGTTGTCTCTGTCCTCTTGGAGGGTCTGGACTCTGGCAGGGCGGGTGTTGAGTCTGACTTTTCGAGATGGTGTAGTCCTTCGTCCAGAGGCTACTCCCCATAAAACGAGAAAATGGAATTTCATGTTGCAGATGAGACGTCTCCCACTGCGCCCGTCTCTGTGCCTCATAGGATTTGCTAGCGCATGTTACAGATTTGCACGTTCTAGATTAATGGGCAATGGCCGGCCGAGAGCCCTCCTGGATCATTCTATCTTGCAAAATGCACGGGAAGGTCGAGTCGAAGGGGGCCATTAGTTATCAGATCTCTCGCCAGATGGAGCAACGACCTGCTGATGCGCCTACTGTCACAATCACTATGTCGATAGGGTTGAATGACCTCGGCTAGGATCTGAAACGGGCCCTAGAACAAGGGGCAAGGCGGGATCGTCTGGGTTCTGCAATCCTGCTAGTCGAGCAGTGGGGCCTGGGAGTGACGGGAGGATACCAGTTACAAGCAATAGCGCCGAGATTGACGCCCATGCTCTGAAAAATTGAGCAAATTCGAGACGTGAGGGCGAACGGAGTAAGAATTAGCCCCCTAATCCGAAACGGGCTTCCAGGGCCGAACACTGCATCTGGGATGGTGTAGGAGTGGCTAAGCCGCTAAGGCCGCTAAGCCCGCCTTCTCCCGCACTTTTGGATTATCCTCGCAACGCCAAGCTTTTTGCCGGTGGGCACCTGTAGGAGAGACTTGGTCCGGTTGGGTAAGGTCCAGCAAGGCCGTTTAATCCACCTACGACCCATTGTCTAGAGCATCATAGAGGAATCTGTGACTGAACACGGAGTCGAGATTCCCAAGTCCCTTGGATCGTATGCTTAGAGGAGATGTGGAGTGGGTGCACTGTCGCAACAGACAGGTCGCATACTTGGTTGAGATGTGTATCGACCTCTATCACATTGTTCGAGACCGGGTCTCAACCCATCGATCCCAGGTTGAATTATGTAGGTGAATTTGATAACTATCCACTGTGTTCACGCACAACAGGTTCAACGGTGGAGTAAGATATCGATCTATCTAATGCAATTTTTATTAGGTACACTGCAGCTGTGTACTGTAAATGTGAAAGAGTTCTAATGTGTCCTCGACCGATGATCGCTATTGGTTCTATTGAGCCACCAACGTCATTGTTCAGACTTCATCTGGTCCCGACTATGAACGATGTGGCCGGAGCATCTCCCATCTTCTCTCATTGGTGCCACATGATGTCTGGCGTCAAGATTGTACTCCTGAGCCGCTGTTTCAGTTCAATCGGAGAATTCGTCTGGATACGGCGTAGTGGCACAGGAGGAGAAGGTTAATGTGAAGCCGACAAGCCGTGGCCCGTCAGTCGCAGTACAGTGAGAGTTAGGGGGAGAGCAGCAGTCGTTCAGGGGGAGAAGGGGGGGGGTTGAGAGGTTTGCTGAGAGCGCGCATACCTCCCATGCTTGAGGCCCCCTCATTCCTTGTTTAGAGCAGTACGGAGTATTCGCCCTCCCTTTTAAGGTGATTCAGCTCCAAGTGGGAGGACACAACAAAGGGGCTACTGATGGCAAGGATGGGTGATTGAGTCCTGGACTTCTGGTATAAGTTATTGTACTCCATCTCTAATATAACAAACAAACATGCGATCTTATCGAGAGATCTCCTGATTGTTGTACAGTATACACTTGTAAGCAGTGGGCTACCTGGTGTACAGTACCTTTTTTTCTTGCGAGATTTTCCTCCCTTTGTGGTGTTAAACCGGCTCATCCACACTAAATTGTTCTCGGTGGAGCCTAGCGCCCAGGATGGGACCACTAGCCCTGGCTTGACTCTTTACAGCCAATAGAAACCTCATTTCAGGCGGGGCCCCCACCAACTGCCCCGCTGAGTCAGCAAAGGACGCGCAAGCCTTTCACACCTGATTTCTATTCCTGGTGGGCTTCGCTTCCCCTGGCTGCCGTTCGTTCCCTCACAGTCTGTCTCCAGCTCCATCCATCCCCAAACCGGGTCAACCTCTACGCCTGTATCCCTCATTAACTCCTTCACCCCATCTTCCCCATCCACTACCGCCTTCGTTTGGCTTGGATTCATTACTGATCTTATATCCTTCCATCAAATCTGCTCTTCACTTTTGTACCATACCTTCCCCTTCCCCTTCCCCCTCCATATACATCACCTTCTACGCTATCCACATCGCAAATTTCAATCAATCCTCTCTCGACCCATCCACAACCTCATCGCCTTCCCGAGCCGCTCATCGTCCCTCGTTATCCCTATCATCCATCGGTTCGGTGACTTTCGTTCGTACACAATACCACCAATTCAGCGGTCAATTCCTTTCGCTATTAGAGTCTTCTCGATCACAATTTCGCTTCCTCAAACGGTAGCCTTATTCAACCTCTTCCACTCACAGTTTCGTCATCATGGCTACCTTGGCGGAACATCCGGCCGTGCCCTCGACCTACGAACAAGACATTGAAACATTCCTGGATCTCGACCAACTCGCATACACCACTGCGGAAAATGCTCGATCAAAGACCGCATTGATTACTCAACCCACTCTTCCCAGCACCGAGTTCAACGCAGGCGATGTACGAAGTGCTGGTTTCGCTTCGACAAATCCCACGCCAGTCGCATATCAAGCGCCGAGTCACCAATACGATGAACATAAGCAGCAGACCGGTCTGCCGCCAGGCGCTCTTGCTCATGCCATGACCTTCAACCACATGAACGGAATGGGGTTCGGTGGCGCCAGCCCAAACTATCCCATGAATGGTGACATGTATGCCGGCGCTCAGCTCAAGCGCGAAGATGCCCCCATGGACTTCAACAGCCCTCCGACACGCAACCCTTCCGAGATGGACCTGGAGTCCGACGGCATGGGGACCGCTTCTGCTTACTTCCTCTCGCCAAATCCCAGCAACCGGAATCAGTTTGTGGATCCTAACGCCTTGAGTGGCCATGAGGTTGTGCCCGCGGGCCCCTCAACTCAAGTCGGTCGCATGTATCCCGGTATGCACCAGCAACAAGCGGCCATGGCCAAGGCAGCACAACAACAGAGGCATCACGAATTCCTCCGCCAGCAGCAATTCCAACAGCAACAGCGTCGCTTGGAGGAGCATATGCATGGCCATGGAGCTCCCCATAGCCAGACTCCTCGCCCACCTAATCCGCTGGTGGAAGAGCGGATCTCGCGGCTTTTGCAACAAATGCGCCAGAATGCTATGGGTTCGCCCGATGATTCGCCCTCGCCTTCTTCGTCTCTACCTCAAATGGCCAAGGCTAAGAAGGACGAGCAGGATATGGATGAGGATGAGCGTCTGCTGGCCAGTGAAGAGGGCAAGAAGCTCAGCAGCAAGGAACGTCGTCAGCTCCGTAACAAGGTTTCTGCTCGCGCCTTCCGTTCTCGCCGCAAGGGTATGTTTCAGCGACTTGAAATACGATAGAGGCTAGTGACTAATGCAGTTTGCAGAGTACATCGGTCAGCTCGAGAGTGAAGTGGCCGCCAAAACCACTGAAGCCCATGAGCTTCGTCTCCAAAACCGTGCTTTGTTCGAGGAGAATGGTCGTCTGACAGACCTCGTTCGCACTCTTCTATCCTCCCCTCATTTTGGCCAGGTTTTGGACGAACTCAGTGTCGGCGGTGTTCCGATTTCCAGCCAAGCGCAACAGCAGCAACACTCCCAACATCAGCATCAACCCCAGCCCCAGCCTCAACCCCAACAGCAGCTCGCACACCCTCAGCCTCAGCAGCAGCAGCAGCAACCGCCCATCATGTCTCAGCCACCCATGCAGCAGCCTCCCCAGGCTAGCATGGTAATGGTTCCCAATCAGGGACTCGATGGATCTGCTATGGCGTTGAACAATGGAGGCTGGAACTCGGGAATTGACATGAACTTCGGAAATGCCTCAGTCTTCGCCGTTCTGGAGGTTCCTGAGCCCACGATCGATTCGGAAGCTCTTTCTGGCAAGTCTTCTACTCTTGTGGAGTCTTACTTTCCCAACTTCTCTGGGGCCAAGAGCGAGGCGTCTATTCTCAAGTCTTTGCCCTTGACGGCTAAGGAGCCTACCGTTGTTGGCATCGAGAACCCCGATGTCGAGATTGATGAGTCCGATCCTGCTTTTGCCCTATTCCTCGACCAGCCTAGCGCTTCTGCCACATCGAAATCGCCTGCGACTTCAGTGGAAGATCTCTCCGAAAAGACCACGTTCGAGCTTGTGCTAGAGAACCAGCCTCAGGAATGTCATGCTCGGTTTGCTCAACTGTGTCACAGTATGGAGGCCGCCTTCGAACGCGTTTCCTTGATGACTTCTCACCTCTCATGATTCCCCCTTGTTGCAATGTTAAGCTTCTTTCGCGTTATGTAAACCTGCTAGGGTGCTGGTTCCCTGATCATCTGGGTGTACACATCGACGTCTCTCTTTTTTCCATGATCTCCTTTCTCTTCTGGGCTATATATTTCTTTTTTAAAAACGCAGGCCCTTGCACTGGATCTGATCATTCTCATCTTTCATTCTGAAATCTCTTTTTTTCCGTCATTAACTTGCCTCTATGGTAGAGGAACTGGACGCGCTTTGTGGGGTTATATGGACTGGTTTGTTTGGGTGTGATTTCTCTCTCAAGGGACGGATGGGTTTACAGCATGGAAGGTACTGGATACTGGTGGATAGGACACAAGACAAACCAAATCAGAGCATATTTAAAAGTCAATCAATATAACTGTAAATAGGCTCGGGATTGAGCCATATTGCTTATCTCATGAAAAAGATTGAGTCTCTACTCCGTAAAGCCAGCCGTAACCCAGCAGAGAGGTTGGTGACTTCGGGTGGAGCTTTCCCCGAGTCCTGCTTTCTTGGCTGCAAATCCACCCGCCGCGGCAACTTTTTTGATTTCTGCTTGCGCCTCCCTCCTCCTTCAAGTCACAACAGCCGAACTTGCATCTGTCGCCCAATTTCTTTTACGGCTCTATGCTCATCGGGCCTATGACTATAGAAAGCCTAGCGCTCATCTCATAATACGCTCTCGTCACTCTTTTCTCATCTTTACCACGTTGGCTTCCCTCCGATTTCTTTGGGGGCCGACTGCCAGCGCCTCCCGCCGAGTTGCCTTCACATCCATACATCCATCCACTCTCGTTCCTTCGATCGCGCGCATCCAGATCATTCGTCAGTATTACACCAAGCGAATAGAGCCGGTTCCTTCCTCCTCTTTAAAGTACAGATCAAGGATTCGCCGACACAAGCTCCTTGAGGTTCCTCCCATTGTCGGGTCAAAAAACGCTTACATTTACTACGTCCCCCGAGACAATCGAACCACTGGTTTCGAATCAAGACCAGTGGTGGAACCAGTCAATCCGATGAAGTACTACTATCAAGTCGTGACTACGCCGACGGCCGATACCCCGGGCAGCTGCGTCGTTCTTCACTTCCCTGACAAACGCTACCTCTTTGGCCAAGTCGCAGAAGGCACTCAGCGAGCATGTGGCGGACGGTCGGTCAAGTTCGGTCTCATGACCGACATCTTCCTCACAGGTCGATTGGAGATGAAAAATGTTGGAGGTCTTTTTGGCGTCATCCTCACACTGGCCGATTCTCTGGCCAGCTCAGCCTCTACAATAGCAGAGACCCATGCTGAGAAGAAGAAGAAGCGCGCGGCTGCAGGATTGGACATCGATCGACAGAATGCTCCGTTACACGGCGTGCCCTATGGGACTCAGGGAGGCGAACACGTCCCGCAGAGAGGAACTTTGACAATCCATGGCGGTAGAAACTTAACGCACATGATGGCTACGGCGCGCAAATTCATCTTTCGCCAGGGTTTGCCCATGTTCATGAAAGAACATGATGAGGGTAGCCTAGCCACACATCGTCAGCCTCGCTCAGCAGACCCATATGAGCAGCCGACCTGGTCGGATCAAAATATCAAGGTCTGGGTCATGGCCGTCAGCCCGAAATCCCAATCCCAGTCGCAGGACACCACCTCTGACCGACTTGTCCGATCCAAGAGCCCGCGGAAACGAAGTCACGACGAGTTCCAAGAAAAGGAGGCTGCTGCAGGGCTGGCCGATCAGGTCATCAGGCAGAATGTGGTTTCGAATATGTTCAACTCGACGTGGTCACTGGACGCTTTGGAGGAGACTAAGTTGGCAGACGTGCAGATGCCCGCGGTCATGTTCGTCCGGGATCCAGCCACCAAGGACCTGAAACGGTACAAGGGGCCGGCTCCTGGAAGTGGCCAGCCGCTTCCTGACATGACCGTTCTGGTGCGCAAACCCTGGCCTGGTGCCAATGTGGAGAAAATCCCTCCCACGACCTGGAACGAGGACGCTATCTCCTATATCGTCCGGAATCACGACCTTAGGGGAAAGTTCGACACTAAGAAGGCTCAGGCTCTGAAAGTTCGCAAGGGCCCTGATTATGCCAAGCTGACAAGAGGTGAGTCCGTTCTTTCTGAGGATGGCCAGGTCGTCACGCCTGATATGGTCTTGGGTGAGCCAAGGCTCGGCAAAAGTGTGGCAATCATCGATTTGCCTACGCCAGCCTACGTAGAGAATCTGGTCAACCGTCCAGAATGGGACTCACCTGCGGCAGCCTTCGGGTTGGAAGCATTCATCTGGATCTTGGGACCAGGTGTGGGAGATCATCCGAAACTCCATGAATTTGTCGCCAAAATGTCGCATTGCAAGCATACAGTCTCCAGCCCCGACTATTGCCCCAATTATCTGGCTATGAAGGAGATTGCCGAATCGACGATGCAGATGGCCCAGCTCAGGCCCGATAACTATAAAATGCCTGTCTACGATAACGTGACTGTTCCACAACCCGTAGCATCGAATGAGTTAGTGGTTGATGCGAGCAATCGTGCGCCTTTGCAACCATTGGACTCCGGGTTGATCATCGATATGGAACCTACCTTCGGAATTAACACATCTGAAGTAATTCCTCGTTATGATCCGAGAAGCACCAATTATGAAATGCCGAAAGCTGTTGCGACCCGAATCAAGGCGATTTCTAGACGGACAGAATATCCGGAGTTTCAGGAGAAACTTGCGGCGTTCCGAAACGACCTCCCTGGCGCCGACGTCGAAATCATTACCCTGGGCACGGGGTCATCCATACCATCCAAGTTTCGGAACGTTTCCAGTACCCTTGTTCACGCGCCTGGTTATGGATATTACTTACTCGACTGCGGTGAGGGCACTCTCGGACAACTCAAGCGTCTCTTTGAACCTGAAGAATTGCTTGAAGTTTTCAAAAATATGAAAATGATCTGGATTAGCCATCTCCATGCTGACCACCACTTGGGTATTGCGAATGTAATCAAAGCCTGGTACCAGGCAAACTACCCCCATGGTGTGCCACGGACCGACTCGATCGAGGAAGATATGTCGCAGATTCTGCGGGATAAGCGCCTGTTCGTTGTTTGCGAAGAAATGATGACCGCTTGGCTGGAGGAATATGCCAGTGCTGAAGACTACGGTTTCGGAAAGGTGACGGCCCTGAGTGCTTATCCCTCACTCACCAAAGGAGGTGTTTTCGAGACCTATTTTGTCCATCGTCACTGCCGCGCCGATGGTACTTACCCTGGACAAAGGGAAGGGGTAGCCCAGCCCCAGACAACTACGCTCAGGTTCCAGGACGATTCAAGCCCCCTGTCGGCCCTCCTTCGCGCAGCCACCGGCCTCTCCGACCTCTTGCCGTCCCGTGTTCAGCACTGCCGTGGAGCTATGGCTGTGACCCTCGCATACTCCGATGGTTTCAAGCTCTCCTTCTCTGGCGACTGCCGTCCATCGGATTCCTTCGCAGCCACAGGCCGCGGATCAACGGTCCTTATCCACGAGGCCACTTTCCAGAACGACATGGCTGGGAGTGCCATTGCCAAGAAACACTCCACCTTCGCGGAAGCCATGGCGGTCGCGCGCCAGATGGAAGCCAAGGCCCTCCTGCTCACCCATTTCAGCCAACGGTACCAGAGAACTGACTCCATTGAGAACGACAATCAAGGCAAATCGAAACCAGACAACGGCTCCGGGCGCATGCAAACCAAAGACGTTCCTGACGACGATGAGCCCGAGGACGGCAGCCCTCAGCTCGCCGCTTCGAACGATAACACCGGCGGCGTAATCCGTGCCACCCCAAGTGCCAAGTACAACGGGCCCTACGTCAACGCCTTTGACTACATGCGCGTCCGTGTTGGCGAATTTCCCATAGTGCAGGCCTATGTTCCAGCCATGGAGAAGCTGTTCTTGACCCTGGAACAGGCTTCCCAAGCAGCCACTGCGGAGCGAGCTCGACTACAGAATGAGTTTACCAAGCAGAGGAAGCAGGCTAAGCAGACGTCTCAAAACGTCGCGAAGGTTGCCAAATTCGCCGCCAAAAATCAGAGTAAAGGCAAAGCTGCTGCTGCCTCGGGCGAGGACAAGATGGATGTGGACGCCAAGTCGCCCACAACTCGATCGTTGTGGAGCGCGAGTGAGAGTGAGAGTGGCTGGAGCACGAGCGAGGATGAGGGCAAGGCCAACCGTAAATGAGGTCTAAAATATTCTTGAGGGGAGGCCACCTTGAAGGGTGGTTCGTGTTGCAAGGGACGCCTACAGGTTGTTCTTATAGAGATCATATCCTGTCGGGATGTACATAGTCTGCATGTATGTATGTATGTAGTTGGCTGACTAGAGAGAAAGACGCCGGGATTGGTCCTGGTGAGTTAGATATGAACGACTTTTCTCCTCAGTTCAGTGGCCTGGCATGTTCTACACGATGCCCCTATCTCGCAATTCCCAGCATTCTCTGTGCGGATAAGCCAACTGGGTTGGTAGGAGACAAGGACGTCTAAAAGCTATCATGTGCGACTAGCAGGAATTCTTTTTCTCTATAAACACAAAGTAAATCTCCAATCATAGTCCATTATAAACAAAACCCACCATCCGCCCCCCATGATGCATTCCCCAATTTGCAGATCACACAGCCTAGCCAACCCGAAATCCAACTTGACGAAGGTTTCATTCAGACCCCAGCAGGCACCTTCTCACGATCATCTTTCCCGAACAACCCCTCGCCCAGATTCTGCATGCACTCCTCACTCCAGTTACGCGGCGTAAATTTATCGACGATCTCCTTGAAGGCGTCCAGCGTGCAAAAGGTCTCGTCGCCGGGGAGGTGGTTCTCGGGCTTCGCGGCGCAGCCGGGGACGCGCACAACGCGGTCGTTGTAGCGGATGCGGACGTAGTGGGTGCGGAGGGCTTGGCGGGCGGGGTCCGGGAGGGCAGACAAGGGGACGCGGGCGGTCTCCTCCTCTTTTGACTGTGCGGAAGACGGAAGGAAGGAGATGAGGGAAGAGGAGCTGCTTCCTCCTACTTCATTTAGGCTAGGGGTGTTATCGGGTGCGGCCTTGGAGAAGAGTTCGATGGCGACGGAGGAGGTGAAGGGGGGCCATTTGCTGTTCCCAAAAGCGCCGAGACTGGACAGGATGGCGGCCAGGGTAGTATCGTGGCAGCCGCTCATGGCGAATTTGATAGCTTTGCTGTTTTGGGTCTGGAGGGTAGCGGCCTCGCTGCGCCAGCCCCGGGGGGAGACGGCTGTGCTGACCATGCGGTCGACGACGTCCCCCAAAAGGGCGCCGATGCCGAGCTTGCGGTACTCCACGCTGTCGGTGTAGCCGGAGTACCATTCGTCGACGGCGATGCGGTCCATGTATTCGCGGGCTTTGGGATCGTAGAATTCCTTGGGGAGGCGCGTGGCCGGGCCGTGGGCGTCGGTTGCGTTGACGGTGTCCATGATACCTGAAAGGCGCGGGTGCGAGTCCACGGCGACGCGCGGGGAAGTGTCAGGCATCCATTTGGACCATAGCTTGTTAAGGTACTCCATTTCGTCAGTGTCGTTCCCTGTTTGTGGTTGTACGAGTAAGTGAGTTGGGCACATGAGACTTGTGTAAGGGGGAGCGGCGGTAACGTACATCGCGCTGCGGCCCTGTCTGCGAATAGCCGCGAAAGCTGGCGGAAGCGACGGCAGTTGCCTTCGTTGGGGAATAGCGTCTCTTCCGATACGGATCGTCCTACAATCACCGGGGGTGGGAAGTCCTGGGTGCGGGCATTGGGAGGGTACAGGCCCCAGAAGGCTTGTTGAAGGGATTCGAGAGCTCGCGGAATGGGAGTCGCACGGAGGTACATGTCTTCTGTATCGGATTTGATCTTGGGCAAGAAGCCGAGCTGATCGACGTAGAGATGGCGCAGCCGCTGACCGAGTGCATAGGTTGTCTCCCGTCCCTTGTCGGTCAACTCGCCGTGTAGACTGTTTCCAGATGGTCAGCAAGTCTTTCTTATCCGCGAGTTCGTGACCACTTGCCATATTCCTTCAATGTCACCTGTCGCGCCGACCGCAGCGACAGACTCATCCTTGCTGCCGAACGACTCGTGCTTCCGACGCCATTGGAATCCGTTCCAGGCTGTCAGATCCTTGTTGCTGGCAGCCATCTGAAGCATCTGCCGCGCGACGGTGCAGTATGACCAGTCTATATCATCAGGGAGTAATCGTCAGAAGAGCTCTAGGCGGGAGGAGCGGGTGTAGAGGGTTGGGCGTACAAGGAGCGAGTCCCGCCTTGAGGGTGTTAGCTTGAGTACATCCTTTGATGGTTTGAGATCGTTGCATACATTCTGAAACCGCGAAGACACGGGCGTTCGTTCACCTGTGCACCAATTGATCAGCTACCATCAAACATATATCAAGATTGATCTTCCATTACCATGACGAAGGAACTGTAGCCCATGGTTAGCCTTCCAATGCAGTCCGAGGCGGTTCCGGTATACCGGCACTCACCACTTGGACCAGTTGAAGCTTCAAATCGCTGGGGTAGAGGCGTTCCAACTCCTCTGGAGAGTAAGGCTCGCGAGGTTTGAGGGTAGTCATGACGAGATCCTGTGCAGCACGAATGTGCCTGACTTGACTTCCAAAGTCAATGGGTTGATGTGCAATGCAAGAAGGAGGAGATGAGGGTAATCGCAGACAACCAAAACACTCCGGGCCGGCGACTTGGCCGAAGCGGTGATGACGCACGAAAGCGGTCGGGTCCGGCCCGGCCAATCATCGGCTGGTGAAGGCGGGAGGAACTGGCAATACAGAGCGGAGAGATTCCCTGCCGAGCTTATCGATGCAACTTGAACCCACCGCCGCATCTCTCGCTGTCAATTGCTCTCTCTTCTATCTTGCCCTGCCTTGACCGTTTGGCTTCATCTGCGTGGTATTCACTCTACCTGTCTGAGCATTCATATCATTGACTATATACGTCTTCTCTAAGCGAAGACGAACTCACACTCTACAATTGTCCAAAATCGCCCACGCGACACTCGTTGCTCCCCAGTCACAGCCCACTTATACTTTCCGCCGCCGGATAACTTAGTGGATTCATTGATTGCTTTGTCCTGACTACCTTGGTTTTTACTGTTGGTCTCGAATGATTACGCCGACCATGGACATTGTCAACTGTTGAAATATTTTACTCTTCTTTGTGCATCTACTTTGTCCGACACAGCTCCGTAACTTATTCATTGTCGTCACCTCATCAATCGCGCGGCCTGAGTCTGGTTCCATTAGTGGTATAGGCGTGCATGAAAGCTCGGTAGATGAATCAAGTGACCCGCCACTACGCTGAGCTGTGAATATACTAAGAAGCAATTGGCTTTTCGTTTGCCTTATTCGGGTCTAGGCTGTGAACAAGCTCGTGGTAAGCTCAAATCGACGTTCCCTCGCTCCGTCAGCATGCAACCGTCGACCCAACGTCTTATAAGTCTGTCTGACCACCTGTACAGTTGCAAGTATCGAACTCTCCGATAGCAAGTCAATCGCTGCAGTATGGAGGTATGGAATTGCTCTCGTCTATTCTTTCTCAGGCCTGTCTTGAAGACTTGTTGCCGCACTAGACGCAGTGCTCCTGTTGCCAATTTATCTCTTGTCCACGATGCCATATCTGAAACTTTGTACATGTGTTGCTCAGCGCAAGGATGGGATTCTCATGGTGAAAGTCTTACTCAATCGCCTGTTTGCCTTCCTACGTCTGCGTAACATGAAAGCACTTGTACTTGTGCGGTTTACCTGACAGCTGTGTCTGGCCGCGGATAGGCGTCTTTACGGTCAAGGAGATGGCCATATCTGCCCCCACCCCCCACCCCTCACTTCTGAGTTGTGGTCTTTGTGGCTTCGAGGAGCTCTGAGACAGGCCTTTGCATAATCACTTCACTCCAGGGTATAAGTATCAAGCTAACGCCATCTATTGCAGGGCACTAGTCAATTACTGCCTGAACAGGCCAAGGCTGGTCAGCTTGCAACAAACAAACCACAAGATGCTAAGCCCCGTCTAATGTTGATGGGTCTTCGTCGGTGAGTGTCTAAGTGGCTGTAGAATTCTTCCCCTCTAAACCTCTACAGGAGCGGCAAATCTTCCATTGCGAGCGTTGTCTTTCATAAAATGCCACCAAATGAGACGCTCTTTCTCGAGTCGACCACTCGGATCCAGAAAGACTCGATCCAGTAAGCCATTCTTGTCCGCGTGATCTAACTTGGCTGACACAATGCCAGCTCCTTCATGGATTTTCAGGTTTGGGACTTTCCCGGTCAGCTCGAGTACCTCGAGCCATCATTCGATCTCGAAAACATCTTCGGCAGTCTCGGGGCACTCGTCTGGGTCATCGATGCTCAAGATGACTACCTGGATTCTGTTGCACGTCTCAATCGTACCATATTGACCGTACAACAGTACTATCCGAACATTAATATCGAAGTCTTCATCCACAAAGTAGATGGGCTTTCCGACGAGTACCGCACAGACACCTTCCAGGATATCGTACAGCTGATCTCAGATGAGCTCAGCGATGCCGGATACGAAAATGCCCCAGTCCACTATTACCTAACCTCTATCTACGACTACTCGGTCTTTGAGGCTTTCAGCAAAGTCATTCAGAAGCTCATTCCGAACCTCTCGACCCTGGAAAACCTCATCAACACGCTCGCCAACAACTGTGGCTTTGAGAAGACTTATCTGTTCGATGTCTTAAGTAAAATCTATATTGCGTCTGACACCCGTCCCGTGGACATGTCATGTTACGAGATGTGCTCGGACTACATAGATGTGATTGTCGATATTTCCGAACTGTACTCCTGGGACCATCCAGATCGCAAGCCCAAGGGTGACCAAAATCAGGAGGCGGAGAGCCATGTGGTACTGCATGATGAAACGATGATACACCTGATGGAGATGAACAAGTATGCTACCGGACTCATTGTCAAGCCTGTCGTCACTAACAGTCGCTAGGTACCTGTGTCTGGTTTCTGTGATCCGTAACCCAGAATCCAAGAGCAAAAAGGGTTTGATCGACATGAATTGCCGTACTTTCCAGGAGGCGCTAAATGATGTGTTCTCTCGCAGCTGGGAGCAGGAGCAGGAGCAAGAGCAGATATAAAGAAATCTCCAGATGGAGCTCATATGTTTGAAGATGTAGTACCGTGATCATGGCTGTTTTGTATGTAGTTCTGTACTGTTGACAATACCTCACCTCTCTTGAGGCACTTGGGGATGGTCAATCAGCAGCTGGCGGCCGGTCATAAGAGGTTTTGTGAAGATATCCTGACATAATGACTTCTTTATGTTCACTTTTAGAGGTCCCCGGCATAATCACTGCCAGTTACTATTTTACCATGGAATGGAGAATAGCAGATTGACATCGCGACTCAACTTGGAGAGTTGATCGATGCCAAGCACCTGCCGTTGATACACGTAGCGACGGCTTTGAATATATATTTCGAATACGACCGGTTAGTAATTTTTTTATACACGAATACGAAACCTGAGACAAATGAGCCCTTGCAGTTCTGTCTTTGTCTATGTCCAGCCTTTCAGAATGTATTATTGTTTATTAATGGGAATAGAAGCAGTGGATGGAAAGGTCCTGACAATTTCCCCAGTCACACCATTGGCGGGTGGGAACAAAACTCCAAACCGCGAGTGCGGAAAGCAGTCCGCCAACACCACCTGTCATAAAGGATCAACTAAATCTCCCATCCCACTATCGCCGTGTTTTCCAGTGTGAAATACTCTTTTCTCCGGAAGAGCTTTTTGATGGCATCAACCCCATAATTCACTCTATCTCCTCCAACTCTAAACCAGCAAACCTCCACCGCCACGAAAGACCACCATGTCAGAAGTCCGGCAACGTCAGAAACCCAGCAAATCCAGCCCCAGCAAAGCTGGAAGCAGCAGCAAGACCACCAAGAAGTCCTCCAGCAGCAATGCCCGCGGAATCAGCATCCTCGACATTATCCGCGTGCTGGCCACGCTGGTGATCGCCTCCTGCGGCCTCTCCTACTATATGACCTCCTCAGAGTCCCTACTCTGGGGCTACCGACCATGGTTTACACGACTCCCTGTGCTTATGCGCTTTCTGGTGCGTTAGCCCTTTTCAATACGCCGTTTCTCTCCAGTCAAGAGCGACTCCCCCCCACAAAGCAACAATCCGTCTCACTAACGTATCGAAACAAAAACAGCAAGGTCCCCTAACCCTCACCCCCGCTGAACTCTCCCTCTACAACGGCACGGACCCCACCCTCCCCCTCTATCTCAGCATCAACGGCACGATCTTCGACGTCAGCGCGAATCCGCTCGTCTACGGCCCCGGCGGCCACTACAACTTCTTCTGCGGACGGGACGCCACCCGCGCCTTCGTCACGGGGTGCTTCCAGGATGACCTCACCTCGGACATGACGGGGGTGGAGGAGATGTTCATGCCGATCGACGAGCCCGAGGAAGTGGAGGCACTGTCGTCGGGGGAGCGCAAGAAGCGGCACGAGCAGGACTTGCGGTACGCGCGGAGCCGCATTGAGCGCGCCGTCGCGCACTGGCAGAATTTCTTCGCGTCGCATAAGAAGTACTTTGCGGTGGGAAAGGTGGTGGGGTTGGACACCCAGGAAGGAGGGGAGAAGAGGGAGTTGTGTAAGGCTGCGCGGCAGCAGCGGCCGACCAGGAAGCAAGTGCTTGAGGCTAGGGCTAAGGAGGCGGGAAAGAAGTAGTAGTTCTTTTGGCGGTTCTATATGGTGTTTAGATATCTATGTAGTGGGTTATGTCTTTCTCGAAAGAGATCTGATATGGTACTGCGTCATTTACGTTATGCTGCAGACAATGTCGAGCAGCGATTGATAAGAGCGAACATATCCTACGAATCAATCCAGAATCATACGAAGCACAACATGAGTGTCAGATCTTTTTTATTTTTATTCGAACTTGATTGCAAGTAGCCAATGTTACTTGACAACTCTACATCATAATTCGTCCGAGCCACATATTCCGACTCCTCAGAAGAAGGGTCCGAAAACTTTGCAATTTCCGCTTTGAGTTGATATCATTTCGTAGTACACACACTTTGAAAGTAAAAACAGGACGCGCGAGGTATTCATTTCATAGCGTCAAGACATTTACTCGGCGGTGACGGCGCGGGCTATGCCAACGTCAGCATGCTTTCTCACAGATTGGCAACAGGAAAAAAAAGGTAGACATACTGTAGACGGTCATCTTGGAGTGGCTGACAACCTTCTTGATCTGGCCCTTCTCCTCGAGGTCAGCAAGGCACTGGCGGGCCAAGCTGCCGTTGATCTTGAGACGGTCGACCAGGGTGGCAACAGTGATCAGACGGTAGGACTGGACATCCTTGTTGAGGCGCTCGGCGACCTGCTTCTCAAGGACGACGGCGTGCTGGGCCTTGTCCTTAACTGTAAACCGGATAAAAGTCAGTCTTTCTGTTTCCCAGCGGTCAAGCGATCGTATGTGTAGGTGTAGGGAAATTTCGCAACGTCGTCTTCGCCCGATTTCATTCTTTGACTGTCGGAAACCGGGATAAATCCTTCTTTGGCGATTCAACGGAAGCCGACTGTCGTGTATTCTTTTCCATCATGTCGGGGGAGGTGATGAGGGGAGAAAATGAATGAGTGTGATAGCGTACCCTTGCCCTTGGACCACTTCTTTCTGGTAGGAGCCTGAATGGAAAATAGTTAGTATCTCATCTCTCTGTAGTATAGCATAATAGGAGTCGCAGCGACTGGCGACGTCCTACCACCAAGTCGCCGTCATTCCACAGGGTAACTCACCATTTTGACGATCTGATGTAGCTGTTCGACGGAGGAGAGCTGCACAACAGAGCGAACGGCCGGAAACTTGAGTGCCCAAGTGCGAAATTCGAGTGGGGAATGACTCAGCATCACGTGGAATCTAACCCTAAACCCTGGGCTGGGTGCCGCCGCCCTCGGTTAGCAGGAGTCGCGCGGAGCGGGTGTGATTGGCTGCGGCTGCCTGACTATGGCCTCATATACCTCCGTACTAGGTGTGTGTATCACTGTATACAACTGGTCCTTGCGCTGGCAAATGTTCGTGATTATCTTCATCTCAGATTCATCGATGCTTGCTATGTATCATCATTCTCATCTGCAAAGCGGACGCAATTCTACTATTTGCCAGATGCCACCCGTGACTAGAAAATCGGTTGGATTACATTATACTATACAATAACTATACTGGAACACATTAGGTTGATCACTTTCCAAAAGTCGCTCAGAATACCGAATTCACTTTCGTAAAGCATAGATCGTCACGCCGTAGCTTCGATACTCCCTTCGAATCATCGAGTCGCAGCAAAAGCGGAGGCACTCGCCGCGAGCTTGCTGCGGATTGTATTAAGCACATGGAATTGTGGCTTATCGTCCATCCCTTCGATGTAGCCAAGCACGTAGTCCTCTGGGGTACCGAACCAGAACCTCGAGTCATCGTCATCATCTGTCGAAAGCCATTTCGTATCGTATTTTCCGGTTTCGGTTCGAGGGATAGGAATGCGAACTGCCAGAGGCTGACTGTAGGGTGACCAGTAGCGAACGGCAGAGTATGCAGTATTGGCAGTGGTGATGAGTAGCTGCGCCTTCGTAGGGTGCCATACTACTTGTCTGACTGTGTGTTCGTGGACAAGAGCAGACAGGAGGGCCGGAGTGGACTCCAACTCCCAGATCCAGACGATGTTTGGCCGTGTTTGGTCGACAGTGCTGAGAAGGGTGCCGCCAGCGCTGAAAGACATGATTGCCACACCACGAGGCGGTCCAGATAAGTCCGCATTGGCATCAAATGCCGAGAAACCCGATGCTTCGGCATATTCGAGCGTTCCATCTTCACTCACTCGCTCTCTCCAGATGCTGGCGGAATTCTGATCAACCTGGAATACATGTGAGAGGGTCGCGGAGCGGGAGAACTGGCTTGGTCAGCATAGGAGCCAAGAATCGTGTCACATGCAAGCCTTACAGTTCTGGTGTTAAGAATGTCTACCGTTCCATCCACCTTTCCAACGGCCAGAAGCTCCGAGGCACCGCGTGCCTTGGAAACAGTACTCCACTCGACACTTCGAACACCCAGATCGAAAGATGTGTCGGAGTTTGGTAGCCCAGTATACGTTCGGAAATGCTGACCATCGGCCGTGAAGATGAGTACTTTGGTGCCCGCACTCGCAGTATCCCACACGGTGATCCACCTTCCATCCGGACTCCACTTTAAGCCCTGAGCATCCACCGTCGGCAGGATCGCCCGCCCGATCAGCTCGTAAGAGCCGAACTCATGGATTGTTAGGAGATCAGCGGCATCCGGCTTGAGAAGAATCGCCAGCTGCCGAGTCTTCGGTCGATAGGCGAACCCATTAGTATTTGAGAATTTGGGCGCTCGGATGACCTGACTGCGGCCAGTATCTAGCCCAAAGACGGTGACCTTGGTATTCCACGCGTGGAAATAAATGATTTCGTTCTCATCACCACCGAAGTCGACATAGGTGGCTTTCGGCTCGATGCTCTCGATTTCCGCGAGCAGCTGCAGCGAATTCAACTGCCAGACGGAGACTCGGGCATCGCTCGCGCACAACAGGCGTCTCTCCGGTAAGCTCACACCCCCGTAGGAGTGTGTGCTCGACGGCAAGACCGGTTTGGAGCGGGAGAACTTGAGAAACTTGGAGGAATTCTCCTTGAGTTTGACAACCTGGACTTCCTTGAAGTCTGTAGAGGTAGGAGTCAAGTGAACGGCCAATTCTTTGCCACTGATTTGAGCAACGTAGTCGCCGTCCTCAGAGAACGAGATTGAAGGGGATACTAGAGAATCAGTATGAGACAGTTGCCAGATGATATGCTTGAACTCACCACCTGCCCCTGCGGCGTCCATTGTTGATTATAGGTGAATAGTAATTGTCGATTATGAGAGCTCGCAGAGCACAATTTAGTGTTTTGAGGAAGTTACCTGACTTCCTAATACCCTGGACATACTATTCCCTGCATACCCCCGGATTCTGCATGCAAAACTACCGAAGTTTCCTTTGATAAACATACCGAAGGTTTCTCAAAACATGAACCCACTTGCAAAAAAAGCGCTAAGGCCTTATTATTGGATTATGTAAGCTCTAGCATGATCGCCTCGTTTTAGGCACAGCAGGCACACTTCACAATGGAACAAGAAGTGCTAGAACATCAGCTGCTAGGTCTAAAAGGCTCTCCTTACTCCACAGAGACCGAGCAGAAAGAATGCATATTCTGGCGATGTAATCATGCAGCTGGCCTAAGAAGTGATACGTCAATCTCACTGCAGTCGCTGGATAAGATAAGAGGAACAACCTTGTTCCGAGCAAAGATAAATAAAATTATTATCAGTGGAAAAACGATGCCCGCCATCCGCTGCTGAACTGGACCGTACCCCAGATCTATGTCGCTATCTCCATTATATACGTCTTTATCCGCTACTGAAGTACGGCTGCTCCGATCGTCAGACACCTTCACTGTCTCCTTATCAAAATAAAGTTCTTACGACTTCTCCCCCCTTGGCTGGGGCGAATCATTCCCACGACACTACGTCCCACCCCGTTGACAATGGCAACTCCCGAGACGGCGCCCGCGCCGCAGAACGGCGTCGCCCACCAAGATGCGCCGGTCACCGTCGCATCCGAACCAAAGAAGAAGCTCCTTGGAAGAGAATTCTACAGGAGCCTGGGCAGTCCGAAGTACATCATCGCGCCCATGGTAGATCGATCAGAATTTGTGAGGCTCTGGTTGCACCCTTTCCGGCTCTTTCGCAAACTCAGAAACTAATCAAAGTCGATTGCGAAAGGCATGGCGCATGCTCACCAGGTCCTTCTTGCCCCCAGAGGAGCAGAAGCAGATTCTCGCCTACTCCCCCATGTACCACGCCCGTCTCTTCCGCGAACAGGCCAACGTGCGCGCGCAACACTTCCACCCGACCCGCGCCGCCGCCGGCAAAGAGGGCGACGAGTCACTCTTCCTCGATGGCAACCCGGCTATCGACCGACCGCTCTTCGTGCAGTTCTGCGCCAACGACCCGGATGACTTCCTCGAAGCGGCCCGCTATGTGGCGCCGTACTGTGATGCGGTGGATCTGAACCTCGGATGTCCCCAGGGGATCGCGAAGCGCGGGCACTACGGCGCATTTCTCCAGGAGGACTGGGATCTGATCTACAAGCTGATTAACCGTCTGCATAACGAGCTCCCCATACCTGTCACCGCCAAGTTCCGGATCCAGGAGACGAAGGAGAAGACGCTGGAGTATGCGAAGATGATCCTGTCCGCCGGAGCGAGCATCATCGCGGTGCACGGACGACGGAGAGAACAGAAGGGTCACAACACCGGTGTGGCGGATTGGAGCTACATCCGCTACCTGCGCGACAATCTTCCTCCGGAGACGGTCATCTTCGCCAACGGCAACAACCTCAACTACGAGGATCTGGATCGCTGTCTGGAAGCCACCGGTGCGGATGCCGTGATGAGCGCCGAGGGAAACCTGTCCGACCCCTCCATCTTCAGCAAGCCCCCTCCCGTCGGCAGTGAAGGCAGGGATTACTGGCGCGGACGGGATGGCAAGGGCGGATACCGCATCGATGCCATGCTGCGCCGGTACCTGGATGTGCTCTACAAATACGTCCTGGAGCAGCCGGTCCCCGAGCGGAAGCCCTTGTATCTACCCTCCGACCCTGTTGAGGAACCGACACAGTCACTGGAGGCTGCGGAGGACGAGGAGGATGGGCCGCCTAAGAAGAAGCAGAAGCGCGCGAAGCACAAGCGGGCCACTTCTCCCAGTCTGGGAGTGATGCAGGGCCACCTCTTCCAGCTTCTCCGTCCCATGGTCTCCGTGCATACCGACGTCCGTGATGCGCTCGCAAGATCCCACCCTGGTGACATGCCGGCATTCGAGCATGTCTTGACACTCGTCGAGAAGGCTGTTAAGAAGGGCCTCCAGGAATATGAGCAGTTCCCCGAGCGCTTCGAGCCTAATCCCGAGGAGAAGCTGACAGGCTCCAAGGCGACGATCGCGGAATACGGCCGTCCCTTCTGGGTATGCCAGCCGCATATCCGGCCCTTACCGGAGGAGGCTGTTGAGATAGGAGCTCTTACCGCTAAGGGGGCTGTCACCAAGAAGAAGGCCAATGGCAAGACGGAGGATGCCGACACGACAGGCAGCACCCCGGCTGCCGAGGCGTCTGCCACCCCTGGCGTCACTCCCGGCGCTACTTCTTCTGGGGAATCGAAGACGGTGTCAGCCTTGACCACGCCCGATCCCCTGGTGAGCGGTTGAAAATGAGTTGATGTTGGATTTAGTCATGATTTCTTTGTCTTCTCTTTGTTTGCGGAGTACGTGGGGCACAAGTCATAGCATTTATACCCATTCCGGGCATAGCTTACTGTATTATCTTCTGTTTTGTTTAGATCATTTAGACCCGTTGATAGACCACGAGTATATACACGATGGATTTTTGCTAGCCTGGTCTTTTAAATCCCTGGTGTGACTTCAGGATATCAGCAAGGTAAAGCACCATTTACACAGTTAGGTATCTGCATCGGCAAAACCTACAGGAAAAAAACAAGATCATCATCAAAGCCCTTCACCCTTAAACCCCGTTTCCTTGAACTCCAAGTACCCAGCAAAAGCATACCAAACCCACCGACCTAGAAATCCATAACAAGCTGCGGCGCCAACTTCTCGAGATCCTCAACCTAATCAAGTCAAACAATCCATTAGCATCACTCCTCCCAAACAACCAACCTAACCACCGATCCCCCTGGCCCCCCAAAGAAGAAAAAAGAAAAAGAAAAGCATACCTCTAAAAACCCATCCCCAACCGCCGCCCCCTCCCCCACCGCCTCCCTCCGCTCAAACGCCGCCCTCGCCAGCGCCTCCCTCACAAACACATCCACATACTTCGCGACGACCGTGTTCGCGTCCTTTGCGATCTTGGTCTTGGGGTGCTGGAAGTGGTGGTGCAGGAGCCGCGTCAGCAGCTTGGGTGGAATGACAGGCTCGCGCGTGGTGATGTCCTCGGCCTCTTCGGGGTGGTGCGTGATTTCGGCGAGGATGTAGTCTGGTTCGGGTTCGGGCTCTGCATCGGGGGTTCGGTTGGAGGGATGGGAGGTGCGGGAGGAGGTGGAGCTGGCGGAGGTGATGGAGTTGGAGCGAGAGCGGGAGGATGGTCTTTGTCTTCGTTTGCTTGAGTTTGCGTTTGCAGAGGTTGAGGATGAGCGGATTGAGGCTTCGTCATCGTCGTCGTCGTCGGAGGCGGCGGGGGGCGGGGGCAGGAGAGATTTTGTGCTGGTGCTGGTGTTGGATCTGGCTTTGGAGGTAGTGGTGGTCTGGCGAGGTTTGGATGGGGCTTTTCGTTTCGATGTCGTGGTTGTTGTGGTGGTGGTGGTGGTGGAAGAGGAGGCTTTTGATCTGGTGGCTGTAGGCTTGGAGGATGATGCGGTTGCTGTTGCTGGTGCTGCAGATGAGGATGCCCGGCTTGGAGGTTTGAAGGGCAGTCTGCGCCGTTTCTGGGTTGGTTGGCGCTCGGGAGGCATTTTGTCGATCAGCTCCACCAGATTTTGGTGTACAGTACGCCTTCAGGTGTTTCTTGGTATAAATTGTTGTGATGGTCGTGGTAGAGGGTAGAGACTCGGAGATAACGCTTCACGGGTGCGGCGACGCGGAGCGAAACGCGAGATCATGTGATACTATCATCACTCACTTTGAATATCGATGAGAACCTTTTATGGCTACGAATTTGCTCTAATTGAGATTATAATTTTCTTTACATATAGGGGTCTTGCAGCGCTCCGGAATTTATGTTTTGAAGCCCATCTAGCTTCAGCGCGAACTCACAACTGCACCTAGAAACATATTACTTAGTGGTTTGATAGCCTTGGTTGCGAGAGGTTGCGATTAGTTGCGAAATAGTTACTACCAGTTAACTAGTTATTTATACATAGGTAGATGACTAATAAATATTAGTTAGCTAGTCCTAAATAGTTATACAAAGCTTAATTTAGATATAAAACTATAGTAAAGTAAATATCTATTATTCCTAATATCATTAGCGCTACTACAGTAACAGGGCCCTTGGACCGATTGACTATCTCGTGGATAGGTTTCGATCCACCCGCCAACTTCCCGATGATATCTACTACGGTACTATGGGCTTTAGTGTTAGTACTAGTCGCTCAATGGAGCACTTTGTAATTTCCGCATGATTCGCACTTCAGCTCCGCCGACACTAGGCTTCGCGGCTACGTTTTCGTGCGAGTGCGCCGCTAGGTCCGCCACAGTAGCAGGTAGCAGGTCATAATATTTCCGGTCAACGTGGAGAGAGTCGCCACTCCAGTAGGACGTATGATCCAATTCTTAGCTCAGTGACTAAGAACCCGACTAACATGTGGGAAAGCAACTACTAATAGACTACCGGTAAGATTGTATGATGTTTCTGTTCTTTCCCCTCAAAGTGTCTTCTTGGCATTGAGATCTAGAATCCAATCCTAGTTCGCGGTGGTAGTATTCAAGCTAGTTTCTGTGTTAGGTCACCGTCTCGTTTTAGATGGTCTACTATTAGGTCGGAAATGCCTCAACATAGACAATGAACGATTGGCGGCCCGACATCCAACTTACACAGGAGGCACATATTAATGCTTTCGCCTTAAATATTGCTAATGGGTGGTATGCCGACAAAGACACGCTTGCTGTAGCGTTCGAAGCCGCGGCTAGTAATGGCTTTAAGCTCTTCTTTTCTTTTGACTACGCAGGAAATAGCTTATGGGCGGAGGCTGATGTTATTTCCCTTTTAAAAAAGTATGAATATGGAGGGTATTATACCGTAGAGAAGAACAGAGCCCCCCTCGTATCCACTTTCCAGGGGCCCGACAGTACCGCGGACTGGACCAATATCAGGGATGAGACTGGTTACTTTTTCATCCCAGACTAGTCCCCAGTGGGTGCTATTCCGGCATCAGAGGAGGCCGATGGTGTTATGGACGGACTTTTCAGTATATAGAGCTTCCAGCCTCTTTTGCTAAAATACACCGACAGGATTCTGGTAGACTGGGCATCATGGCCCTGGGCCAATCTCAACATAAGACATTCGTAGATGCATCTTATATAGAGACATTGAACAGCAGCTCGAAGCCCTATATGATGCCTGTCTCTCCGTGGTCCTATACTAACATGATGAGGTACGACAAAAATTGGATGTGGCGGGGAGATGATACCTGGTATCAACGTTGGGTCCAAATCTGGTATCTACAGGCCTGAGTCTGTCGAATTAATCAGCTGGAATGATTTTGGAGAGTCGCATTATATTGGGCCCCTGGATAATCGGTCGTGTAGCCCTTATACCACACGTAGGGCTCCTTTCAATCACGTTAAGCATATGCCCTATGATGGATGGTGTGAGTTATTGCCTTTTTATGATTGATATTTATAAGAATAGTTGCGTGCTTGTGACTGAAGAGAAAATCGTAATGTGGTACCGCACGTTCTTGGTGGATAACTGTGATTGGGATGATACAACTGCGAACACAGCCTCGCAGTTACAGGCCGAGTTTTTATCTAATGAGTTAGCCAGGACCGCCTCTTTCTTAATGCTTTGCTAGCGAGTAATGTAGATGTTGTTGTGAAATATAACATTATTATACTCTAACATTACTATTATAATACTATATCTAAAAAACTTACTATTATCTACTATTATCTTACTAAAACTCTAGAGAACTATAGTCAGACTAATACAATATATAATAAAATCTTAATAAATAATTCATATAACTATTACTAACCATTCAAAACGAATACCTTCTGCTTTTTCTCCAAAAAACCCCCTTAGGCTACTATGTACCTGTTTGAGTCGGAGCCAAGCGCCTTTTCTATTTGGACTTCAGGTAAGACGTATTCCTATACGCAAGGTCCTGTTGAATAAGTTGTCACGGCCTTGTTAGCATGTAGGGCAGGCTTAGATGACTCAACAGGCGATTGACCTGGATTTGCCATTTTGTTCAGTGGTTTCCTTGTGACTGAAGCACTGAACCCGGTAGTGACATAACCACTACTGACAATAACAGCATCAAGAAGAAACAATCATTCAAGCAACCCAACTATTTCATAGCTGCACAACAAGTAGAGCTCCGTTGGTATCTTCGGAGAGCTTCAAGCAGGAGACTCGAGCCGTTAGCTTCATCCTCTTGTCAGGCAAAGCCCATCTCTGGGAACCAGTATTAAGTCACTATCGAGATATGCTCACGCATCAGGCGGCCTCACAACAGTGACCTCCAGCCCAGATCTGACAAGGAGATCTCTCGACCGAGCCCAGTCCACCCCGAACAACCCGGAGTTAAATCGACATGACCAGAGTCTTCCTAAATTAATGCCCTCTCCGCGTAGTTTATCGATTTTATCCTTCAAGTCCGCGATCGCAAGCTCAGTGTTTTCAAGCAAGATAGGTGATGGAGCCACCGCTCTTCCGTATTTACACGACGTAAACAGGCAGACAATCCAATGCTGACGCCCACCGCTTGGCTCGTAGTCTTCTGGCTGAGGTGGGATGATGAGGGCTGTTCCCTCGGGCAGCTGGATTTTGCGCGGACCTGTATCGCTTCTGACAACCACTTCTTGCTTAGACGACATGTACTTTTGACAGTGGGAGCGGTAGGCCAAGAATGCATTAGGGTACTGTAAATGAGGAACAGATGTTATGTCAGTGAGTTAACCGCAATTGAGAAGGGAAGCTCTGAGGGCCTACTTTGTCATGAAAGTGTTTGGCGATTCCTTTACCCCAGACCCCTTGACAATTGCAAGAATCTTAAGATTCATGAGTATCACTACTAGTAGAGAAGTCATTGGAAGGGGGAAGACCCACGAATCAGTGCTGCTCCATCAGGGGCATCGAAAAGGTCGCCTTCTATCTCCAAGATTTTTCCTTGACCATATTCCGGCTCCATCGTAGATTGCTGAATACTTGAAGGATACGAATGGGAGTGATTAGAAAGTGTCACGAGGATCGAGCGACGAGGTTGGGACTTAGAAAGTCTGTAAGAGTCAAGTGAAGTGTGAGCTAGAGCAGAGGAAGACTAAATCGTGATATTGGGCCCCGCTCAGCTACGCAGCATCACAACAAACGAAAAGCAAAAAGGGCAAACCAAAACAGACCAACACCAGGAAACAAGCAAGCATCAGAGAACGAGCACATTAGAAGTGACACGCAGACTCATTACGCATTATCACTGTTCTCCACCGGCCCAGTTTGACCTTTGTCCTCGCGAGCTGCAGAAGGGAGAGAACTTCTTGCTTTGGTGGTCGACCTGGATCTGGGCTTGAACCCGAACCTCCTCCCCTCTTTCGATGCCCCACTATCGTGAGACAGGGTCTCTCCTCTCGACACTGGTGAAAGCTTATCACTGAAGGTCCACGAAGATGTCGTTGCAACCGAGATGGGGGCGCTCTGTGCGCTGCCAGACTTGAGCTTTCGCGAGATGGTCTTGAACACCCCTGTACTACGTTCCATATTCACCAACTGGCCCATGACGGTTGCTCCGTTGGTTGCAAGGTTCTCTTCGGGGATAGGGATGTACAAGATGATTCCACGGCTCGGTTCTATATTCAGAATCTTTTGAAGGGCGATCTGAATGAGAATGGTGCTGCGAAGATTCGTTATTGGAGCTATGAGATACGGCAACGCAAATACTTTCATCAAGTAAGCTGGAGAGTTCGAGTTTCCGAAATAAAGGCAAGCGTCTTGCTGGACGGTGGTCATGATGAAGATGCCAGACTTTTCAAAGATCCTTGCCATCTGCGTTGTGATTATTGAAGCAAGCGAATCATCATCCTTAACCTGGGGTTGATGTGAGCGTCAATATTGGAACAGTTTGCTAGACTTTGGAAGTAAGTGAAGCCAGCCCAATGCTTACCTGGGTACTGATCTTGATTTCAATGACAATCACGGAATCCTGAGTGATCCGAGTCTTTGCTGAGGTTACAAGACCCCGGACATTGAAGATATCCTCAAAGTATTGGCTTTTGGGGCGGAGGACAGACTCCCCTTCAATAATTTTGCGTTCGAAATGGGTCGACTTCACATCGGCAGGTGCGCCAGGCTTGATGGGGTACATAGGATTGTCATCGTCATCCTTCTCCTCGAGAAACATGGATGGTCTCACAGGCGCCCTGTCCAGCTTATTCTTCTGCTTTAAGGTCGCCTCAGAGATGGTTCTCGGGCCTAGTGCTTGAAAAGCCAGAGGCGATTGGAGGACAGGGACGGTTGGAGAGATACTGGAAGAGGACGTCGAGGGACTGCCGTGTCTCTTACGAAAGGAGAACTCGAATCGGCGACGCCTGGGAGTCATTATGCTTCAGGACAAGGTGGACAGCCGACAAACTGTCCTTAATCTTGTGGATTGGTTGTTATAGCGGCTCGAGCGTGCACAAGCAAAGGTGATTGTTATTGACAGAATGCCTGCCATGAGAGACAGTGCGATATCTGAGGAAACTCATCCTCGCTAGGAAGGAACTACGAAACACACACAAGACGGAAGGTGGTTCCCACCTGGCACTGTACTTGAGGTAGTACTAGGTATTGCCCGCCTTCAAGTTACGATCTATAAGTTGTCTACCAATCACCAACAGTATGTCCCCTCGGAGATGGCTCCATTCAACTAGTAAGAAAGCCCAGATAGTCAAAGGCCGAATTCCCGCTCAAGAAGACCTTATCAATCCTCCTTCTTCGATCCCATACCACCTCCCCGTCTGACCGGCGCTTGATATGAAGGATTCGGTGTTGCGGGATGAACTCCTCGTGCGTCGTATCTCGCTTCCACGTATTGAAACTGGCTTCTAGGCGTCCCTCGAATCGGTCCTCATATACGATCACAAAGTCTTCCCTATCGAAATCCGGATCCCAGATGATGCGGCTAATAACATCTTCAGTGAAGCATCAGTAAGAAGCTTATTCATCTGATGATTAGGTTGAAGTAAATAGGATTTACCTGCAGCGGATCGTAATCGGTTCTCCACCGAAGCGGGTTTCTCATATGTTGGCTGAGAATGAATTCGTTCCTCTGATAGGATAAGAGTGGCCGTTCTTTCTGGTGAGCTTGGCGGGGACAAGAGGCTCCCTTCCTTTGGTAACGAGGGTAGTGATGGCAATGAGTGTCCAGTGTCCATAGTAGGGGTGGCCTGTGGTAGTTGTTCGAGAGTCCGGAGAGACATGATTGAAAGTCTTCCTGGTACGACTTGTAGAAGATAAGAGTTTAGATTTGAGTGATGCTTTTATCAAACAATCTACAGCAGCGGCTTATTTAACTCTTAATATTGTAGTAGCAGTGCTTATGACGCCGGGATAGATCTAAATCCTGCTTAGGCAGCCTCTAGGCTACATACCAATCTCACCTTAGCTGAGTAGAATGAGCCTTCAGTCAAGGACTGAGTCGACCGTAGGCCATGAATTAGTACCGCACGCGCCTGAACGATCCTTGGTCTCACTATGAACCAATAGTTGCCTCGGTTCTTCGTTCTGGTGACTCAAATAGCTGGTGGCGGAGCAGCTGATGGCGTGAGTAAGGGCAAAATGACTCACCACATCGAGGTGAGAAGTAGAGAATTCTAGGAGGCAAAGGCAAGGTCATCTTGGGCCTGAGTAGCGGATTCCCACTGTATGCATATTGCTTAGTAGGTTCAAGCCTGTTGAAAGTGGTGGTGGTCCGTAAGCGACGGAGATCCTCCCGCTCCTCCATATCTGACGCGCCTGACGCGTCCGCCCGCCCGGAGACCGAGACCACCAACCATCATCCTTTTCCTTCTTTCCTCAATCTTGACAGCAGAGAGAGCGTCTCCCAACCAGCGCCCAGCTCAACATGACGGATGCCACCACTTCCCTGCTCACAGAGCACTTCAGCTACACCCCTTTGGTCAGTTAAACTTCTGATCGCAACCCTCGGCCTCCCCCACCATTTTGCGTTGCGATATTCGCGCGCCGCGTGCGGCGTTTCGAGCTATACCCCTCAGGCACCATCAACCTCAAACCCCGCTGACCGTCATATCTCTCGACTAGTCCCTCATTGATGATATTATCAACTCTATTAACAATCTCATCTACCAAGCAATCTCAAGTCTCGAGACCGGACTCCTCAACACCCCGCCCGAACGCCTCGGCTTTGCGCACGCCGCCAACGGCTCCACGATCCCCGACACCGACGAAGATGGCAACGTGATCTACCCGGAAGCGCAACTGGAGATTGAGAACGGGCTGCACCAGCTCGAGACCCTCCTAGAGGCGACCGTTGACAAGACCTTCGATAAGTTCGAGCTGTTTGTTCTGCGAAACACGTTCAAGATCCCTGAGGACCTTATGGGTTGGATCCGGCTCAAGCATTATGAGGTACGAATCACGTCTGGCTTACCCCGCTTCTGACTACTGCTTGATCTTCATAGTTGCTAATTTGTTTCGCCAAACAGAACCTCGATCTGAATCCACCGGAAGATGCGCCCACGGCCGAGACGATTGCCGCTCAGCGGAAGAAGCTTCAAGAGACCAAGAAGTTGAACCGGGCTTTGAAACGGGAGTACGCCCAGAATGAGGCGGTCATCGCGCAGTTGCGACAGATACTGTCGAATAATGCGTCGGAACCCGACACCACAAAAGCGAACGAGGAAGCCCCTACCACTGAAACGACCCAGGATCTGGACTTGTCGTTCTTGACTTCGAGCGCGGCGGCGCGGCAGTTGCGCGTCGGAGCGGTGGCTGGACCCGGCACGCAGCATACGCCCATTACCACGAACACTACGTTTATTCTGTCGCAGCTGCCCGCTCTGCAGGCGTGCATCAAGGAGCTCCGGCCGAAGCTGGCTACGTTGCAACAGCAGTCTGAAGACAAGATGGAGGCGGACTCCAAGGCCGATGCGAGACGTGAGTACATTGAGAGCAGAGTCCGCTTGCATCTTGAACGCGCCGGGCAGCTGGCCGCAGGCAACGAAGCCAACCCCGTGATTACGGGTCGCAAAATCGACATTGCAGAAGCGCAGGCGCTTGAGTCTGTCATGGGCCTACTTGCGGAGGGCGGAAGCAAATCAGAATAGCGGGGTACAAATACAAAAGAAGCCGCAAATCTTCCCGAAATCTACACGTTTATTTGAGAGGGGAATCACTTTTGAGCTTTGCGCTGGCGAATGGGGAGAAGAAGCTATGATAACCAGGTGACGCTCCACGTCTGCTGGTCCCTCCGGAAAGGCACAACGTCCACCGTGTCCGACTGCAGGATGTTCGGGATCTTCTCATCCTTCTTCTCGATGACAATGAACTCCTTCTGCTCTTCGCCAATGCCATAAAATTGGCGGCCGAACTTGCTCATAAAACCCTCGAGAAGCTCAGGAGTGATGTCTTCCTCCTTCAAGACGCCGTTCTCGCAGGCCTGCTCAAACGCGTCGATCACGAGCTGGGTAGTATAGGGCTGGGTGAACACGCCGGCCGCGATCTTGTCGCCGCCCCGCTTGGACACGGCGGGGTGGGGGGCGCTGTCCGAGCCGAAGAAGAACTTGGGGTTGCCGGATGCTGCAGCTCTGAGCAGGGCGTCGCGATCCGCGGGCGTCTTGGCAACGGGCTTGCAGAAGCAGAACGGATCTCCAGCCCAGGAGTCAATGATGATGGACAGATGGTGAGCGGTGACTATTTTGCACAACAAATCATTAGTCTTACTTTCTTATCGTGTCTTCACCCCCAAGAGGATGGGGATGCGGGGTCGGCCGGGTATCTCACTTGTGCCCGCAACAGTCGGTCCACACTTCTTGACCGCCTCCACCGCTGCAGCGGTGGTGCAGTGCTCCAGGATGATCCGCAGCTTGGGGAACCGCTCGTGCAGCTGCAGCAGGGTCGGGAGGAAGCGCTCCTCGGCCGTGAGCACCGTCACGTCGCCCTTGGACGGCACTTCGCCGTGCAGGTTAAGCACCATATCCTGGCGCTCCATCTCCTCGAACACCGGGTAGAATTGGGTGTAGTCAATCACGCCGGAGGAGGAGTTGGTCGTCACGCCGGCCGGGTAGCTCTTGACGCCCGTAATGCCGCGCTTCTTAGCCTCGACGATCGTCTCGGGCGTCACCGTCTCGTGCAGATACAGACTCATCAGGTAGTTGACGCGGGGCTCGATCGCCTCCAGACTCTTCTTGTATTCGAGGGCGCGGTCGACGGTCGTGACGGGGGGAACCAGGTTCGGCTTTTTGGTGGACAGTCAGCAAGAAGCAGCTCCCGGGTGAAAGTGATCCACATGTTCGCCAGTTCGACTTATTTTCCTTGTGTTCGCCCTTTATACAGACTCCCACCCACTTGGATTTCGAGGAGGAAAGGAGAAAGGGAGACTAGGAGAATTTACCATAACGAAAACAGTATTGACACCTCCCTGTCTAATCGTCGGCGTCACGAGCTTCATCATCTCTCCATCGCGAAGATGCACTGTATATTTTCCGACCCAATAGCATTAGCCTTGATCCCATACACTACAAATGACACATCCCCTCCCCCTTCCCTCACAGTATGCATTGTCCGCAAAAGGATCGTCTGAACGATGGAAGACGCACCATGAAAGTCCGCCGAAGCGGGGAGCTTAACGCCCTGCAACTTGGAGAGGGGCATAGCGGATTGATATCGTCTGAGAGCGGGAGAAGAAGATACAATCAACCGGGGACTGAAGAGGTGAGACCGAAGTGAACGCAGCATGAACCTTTCCGGGGGCAGTTGGGTTCCAATGCAGTGGGAATAAATGCAACCTGGGGGCAGAGCACAAAGCGAGGTCACAAACGGAGATTCCAATCCCGCGGTTTCTTTTTTCCCCGCCAAAATTTACAGTCGGCGTGTGGGGGAGGAAGGAAGATGACCGCCTTGATTGTGATTGGTTTAGGGGTGGGGAGCTTGGTGATGTCAGCGGGAGGGAGCTCCGGTTTTCGGGGCTGACTGAAGCTATTCATTTACTAACAGCAAGTCTACTGTATCCTACATACGAGGTTTACGAGATATTATTCGATATTTACCACTCACTTCCAGAATGCTCAGTCTGGACTGAAGGACAAATCTCAAAGACCAGTTCTGGATTGTTTTCTCAAACGATTGACATGTCAACATGACAACTAATTAGCACACACTGACAGATACAAAACAAGTAACTGAACGACAACAATTCGTGTTTCAATAAAAGTCATGCTTGCCACAGCGTAGTAACAGATAAACAGCAAGTGTGTCTGGTCTTCTCTTTCTCGGCAGCAGGAAAGAAGCACGGCCACGGTTTCAGAGGTCATGGCCTAGAAACCACCAGGCTGGCCACCGCTGGACTGCCCGCTACCACCCGGTCCACCAGAGCCACTGGAGCCGCTACCGCCGGGCGCGCTTCCACCGGTGGAGGACGAGCTATCGTCGACGGCTTCACCACCGCTTGAAGTGTAGATAAAGCTGTAGTTGGGGTCATAGGTGGCCGAGACATTGACGGCAATGGTGATCCATCCGAAAAGCCCATCGCTCAAATCGTCGCCGATGTATACATAGTTCAAGACGGGGTCTGAGGTAGAGTTCTCCGTCTCGTCAGAAAAGACCCGGTCCTCCGCGTTGGTGGTGAGGGTGACCGTGTTCTCGTTGTACGGGGACGTGGCCTCGACCGCATTGATCAGGTCCTGATCCCAGAAGATCTGGCCGATGTGAGCAACCGTGCCACCGGTGATCGTGTTGTTCTCCTGGACAGTGACATCCAGGTGGGCGACCATGTGGTGGTGGGTGGTGCGGCCGGAGTAGTGACCCGGGAAGAGGGTGTTGAAGGTGACCACACCATCCGAATCAGTCTTTTGAATACCCCGCAGGAAAGTCGCGTTGAGGTTAGAGGTATCGGCTGTGTTGCCGTTACCGGTGGCGACGAGACCGGAGTACACGCCAGTGGCGTTGCAGTTCCAGATGTCCCAGTACAGATCAGTGATGGGCTCGCAGGTCTCGACGTCGACGAATTGGCCCTCGATGGTCACAGGCACGCCGGGCTGGCTCTCGCGCAGATCCGAGCGGACGTACTCGCCTGGGACGTAGTACGGACCAGTCTCGCCCTCTGGGTTGAGGACGCAGCTGCTGCTGGTGCCGAAGATCTCGCTCTCAGATGAGTCGGCGGTGATGCCATTGCCAGTCTCATTGTGGTTAGTGCTAAGGACCGACGAGGTATCTCGCGCCGCGAGCCGCTTGCGGTGTGAGTCCACAAGGGCTCGACGACGAGCCTCTGCACGGGCATTCAACCCGCTGCTCTCGAATCGAGCGGCGCACTTCTCGAGCCCGCGACGCATATTAGCCTTGAAGGCCAGGAGGTCAGAAGCTGCACGTTTCTCCTCATGACCGGGATGGGCGGTAGCGAGGACCGCCCCTCCAACAATAACCAGGTTGGCAACGTTCTTGAGATGCATTTCAAGGTGCTGAAAAAGTGAAGAGAACAGACAGTGAGGGATTGATGAGATAGAGGATGCTGTCGCTGAGAGGCTGTGAGTCGTTGTGTCTATCCATCCTTTGCACCGGATTGTGCAGTCCTTAAATAGGTCTCCTCTCCTTAGTGAACCTGAGATGAAGAGCTTGCTGGACTCTAGCACCTTCGACCCCGTCTAACTGCATCGCTATTGCTGTGCGGACCCAGTTCCTTGATCAAAACGACATCGCTTCAGACGTCGCGTTGGTCTCTAGCAAGAGATGTTTCCGAAACGAAGAGAGGTTGACCCCTGCTGCTTTTTCGCAGCATGATTGGTAAAAGGCCCGAGGAGAAGGCGAGAATTGTTGCATACAAGTCGACGCAATGACTGATGACGAGTCCCTTTCACATACCAAGACAGGCCCTGCAATGAAGCTCACCTGCCAAGAACCACCAAGACCCATCCTAGCAATATCACTTGCTCGGAGGACGCGTGTTATTAGTATTTATCCGGACGTGATTGGCTGTCCGTGGTCAGACGAGAGCGAAGATCTGCACTCTAGATGCAGTTCCGGCTCCATTTCATTATCCGCCGCTCTATCAAACATAACCACGACCCTTATATAACCTCAACCTGGGTCACCTACGACAGTGGCTCAGGTCTAGGCGAACGCACGAAGGGTAAGTCTGCCGTCTTGGCAGGCAGCAAAGAACCCACTTACTTTCGAGGTCCGGTCTATTGTGCTGCTGAAGTTGTGTTGCTTGACTAGATCTAGGGTCTCTGGACGGTCATCAGTCTTTCAAACTAGGCTGTCAACCCCATGACAAATTGCATGGTTTCCATAGGTTGAGTTTCCGCCGGTATAGATAAACACAGCAGAAGCTCGGAACAGATACTCGGAATTTCATGAGTTTCACACCTCTGAAATGAGGGACATGGAATTCCCAATGGGGAGAAATCCCGCTCCAAGCCAGTGAGGGATCTCGGCCTTTCAGGTCGACGGAGTGCGACGCCGATCATAAGTGGCGCCAAGAATAATAAATAAACATTCCCCACGAATGTTTTCAAACGGACTCCGGTGGCGGGCGTGAGGGAGGCACGGGATCGGATGGGGCCAGTTGATTGCATTGGAAGAATGCCCTGCTCGGCTCCAACCCTATGATTTTCCCGTGTACTCGATGCGGGGGGGCGTATGCAAGTGCGGAGTATTTTGCAGGACGTGGCACTTAGCTCTGCGCTTGTTCAATCGCTTACGTGCGAGCGATAGTTGATTTCACGAGGCGGGACAAAGGACGCGTTGCGGCCAAGACTTAGGGCAGGGGTCAGGTCCGACTCATATGGAGAATGCTCCGAAGCGACGGATAAATAGAGGCTGGCCGAACAGATGAAGGGACAAAACAACGATTAGTCTCTTACAATGATGGTGAAGCTAATGGCGATATACTGCTCTGATGGCTGAGGCGGGTCAGTAAACGCTCAAATTTTCCAGCAAGAGTAACAATGTTAGCAAATTGGAGTCTGCGATGTTGGCTTTCTCTTTGGGTGGTGGACGAAAACGGTTTGCCAGGATAAGAGAAGGACCATCAAGCAGGACAGTTCAGTGTCGTGCTCGAGGCGAACCAGTTGCTGTATCTTGAGACCGAAAGGACCTGGATCCAGGAAGGTAAGTTGGAGAGCAATAAATTGATTCCGAGAGAGAGCCAGAAAGATGAAGAGAGCTGGAATCATCTTTTGACCCATGAACGACCCTTGAGCATTTCGCTGTAGCCTCATCAGCGCGCCATGGGTTGATTTGCTAGCTGGAAGTGAAAGAGCAAGTGAAGCCCTGGTCTGTCTAGTGAGTTCAATGCAAATTTTGAAGCATCCAACGTGACGACCGTGTCGGGGTCAACACTATAGTAGCGCAAGGCGACGAGAGATGATCTCGATCACATGAGGTCAAAATCCCACTCAGAGATGATGGCACTGAACTTGGTGTGCTGTAGTAAACAAGGGCTCTTGCCTCATTGGCACATCACGTGTCTGACAGGTACAGTGTGGCTCTGGACCCCGACTGCTCCATAGCCTCAACAACATCTCCCAAGTTCACTCACCTCTCCCATTCAACCATTTACTATACCCTCTGCCATCATCACAACTGCAGGCGCTTAGTCTGGTGGCCGTTGCTGCTGCTGCTGAGATTGTGATTAGACAACAGCTTCTTTGAAACTTCAGACAGCGACCTACCAACCTACTCCGCAAATGTTATCAATCAGCGATGGACGATCTCAACTTCGGATCCTTCACTAACACAGTCCCCGCGACTGAAACAAATCACTTTCCTCACCCCGCCACCAGCAAGAGATAGAAGATTGGTAATGCACATCAAGCACGCCTTTTACGGATCTTGCACAGCTTATTCGTGGTTGTGGTGTTGCACCGACCGCTCTTAAGCGCCCGGAAAGACATGACTGCATGCTGCCTGTTTGAAGAATGATTCTTCAGGGCATGGAGAATCGCGCGCGACAAATGAGCGCCTCAGATTTTGGACGGGCGGCTAACAACCTTTCAGGCCCGCTCCTGCAGCACGCAAAAGGGGCATTCAGGGTCTCCCATCTTCCGCTGCAGCATTATTTTTGGCAGCTGACGATAAACACTGGTGCTTATGGCGAATAAATACCCACTGCCCTCAAGAGTCCCTCAGGCATCCTCTGACACTCTTCTCAGCTCTCATCTCTTTCTTTTTTTGTGCTTTGATGAGCTTGACCGGCTTGCTGGCAAGACCGACTTTTGTCCAATTTCTTGATATTCAGTTGCAAAACACCTTTCTTTATAGCTTCTAACCCGGCAATTATTCACAAGAGCTGCCTACTGCCTACTGTCCACTCTTTGTTTCGCCCTTGTTTCTGTCCTCACAAGTCATCTACACACAATGGACTCATCCTCGTCCACCATCGCCGCATCCTTCACCTCGACCTCGCATGCATCCCTCGCAGAAGCCGAGTCCAAATTCCTCACCCGTACCCGCCTCCTCCACTTCCTCCGGCTAGGGCTTGCAACCCTTCTTTTCTGCCTCGCAATACCCGCCATCGCCTGCGAGGCCGTCGCCCTGCACCACTACCGCCAAACCGCACGCTACAGCCAGATCTGGCTCTACCTGTGGCCCCTCAACCTCGATCTTCGGCCAGCCAAGGCCCTCCTGGCCTGCGGCAGTGTCATTGCATTCCAGAACCTGGTCTACATCATCACCGCTCTTCTTCCATCTGTCAGTTCCTTACCCCTGCCTTAGCCTTTTCAAGCATGCCCTACAACCTTTACTACACACTTACCATCGATCCCAACCTCACTAAACACCCGTGCTAACAAGAAACAAACCAAAGCCCCACTCCCACATCCGCCGGCTGAATCTCCTCGCCGCGACAACGGCACTGACGGGGTTTATCACAGCGCTCGTGGGTTTCGTGTTTGTGATTTACCGTCCCGGCGCGAACGCGGGCGGGGATGAGTTCCACGATACGGAGACGCTGCACTCTTGGACGTGTAAGTGGAAGGCGACTTCCAGCTCTAACACCGCCCCTGCACACTTTGCGCGAGACTGCACGGTGACCCACGTATCGTTTGTGTTGCTGGGGTTGCTGCTGGGGCTGGAGGTCGTGATGGGGCTCGTCGCGACGGCGGGGATGTGGTTGGAGCGGAGTGTGGCGCGGCAGAGGGGGGTAGAGGAGAAGCACCAGCAGCAGTCTTCGTTGGAGATGGTGGGGATGGTGGATACGAAGGTTGATCGGTATCCGGGGACTTAGTTGGGCCCTGGGTGAGGGGATTCTTCCTTGGGGTTGAGCGAGGAGTGATGATGACGATGGTGCTTTGGTGAGAGATGGCTTCTGATGGATGTAGAGCTCAGGATGTGGTTTGTATGAAAGGGTCAAGTGATGAATCTAGGTAGTAGTGATAAGTATACATCCTCTCGTAATCACTATAGTAAACTTGACACAGTGATTCCCTTATCTGTATGCCCCTAGTCTGGAGTATATATGATAAACTACAGATAAACAAACCCAGGCACTCCAACCTATGACTCACCCCCTTACTACTAAGTACTCACATCCCAGCCAGAGAGAAGAGACAACAAACAACCACCTAACAACCGGCATACCCTAACCTCTCAAAAACTCTCAAACTCCAAAACGACCTCAAAACATCAAATCCACACCCTCTACCCCCAAACCAAGCCCACACCAACAATGCAAATAACCCCCGATCCCCTAACCAAACCCCAAACCCTCGCCCTCTTAGCCTCCCACACCGCCGACCTCCGCCGGAATAACCCCTCCGCTCGCGCCTGCTACGTCCTCGACACCGCCCGCCTGCAAACCGACCCGGCCATCACCGTCTTCTCCGCATGGAGCGATCACCAACAGGCAAAAGAGCTGCTGGGCATCGCCGCCCTGAAGGAACTGTCGCCCGTCGCCGGGGAGGTCAAGTCCATGCGGACGGCCACAAGTCATCAGAGGAAGGGGGTGGGGCGGGCATTGCTACGGTTCTTGGTCGAGGAGGGGCGGCGAAGGGGGTATGAGTGCCTGTACTTGGAGACGGGGACGCGGAGGGAGTTTGCGGGGGCGAGGGCGCTGTATCACGGGGAGGGGTTCGAGGATTGTGGGGCTTTTGGGGGGTATGTTGATGTTGATGGGGAGAATTGTTTTATGAGGTTGAGGTTGTGAGTTTCAAGTGTTGTCTGTTGTTGTTTGAACTGGGACTGGGTGTATGGATAAATAGCGGGTTTGATGTTATTATTACTAGAAAGAAGGAGGAGGATGATTGTAGGCTAGATGCGTGGGTTTTATCTTTGGGATTTGATAGGGAGCTGTGACAGACCGGGTGGTACTATACTAACGTTATAGACACCATGATCTCATAGTTTCGACCCTGTCCCCCGCGCGGCAGCACTATCCATCCTCGTCCCCTCGTCATCCTGCTCCTCCACCTCCAGCACAGGCAGCTTCTTCGGCATCATTCGTCGCGGATGCGTGCCCGGCACGAGCGAATATTTGGTAAAATCCGTCACTCCGCAGTAATCGCGCAGAAAGTCTTCGTCCAGCGCCAGCATACCGTTGACGATATGAGCCGCTGTGTTCAGGATGCCTAGAACTGCGTCGGAGAAGATAGCCTTGATCATTCTTGTTAGCATGTCACATTACATGACCCAAGACATGTCGTGACCAGGGGGGCTAAAAGGGTATATCTCACCGGCTTCCTCAGATCTGCTTTCCGTGATTCATCAGCCCCAGCGGGATTCATCTCTGTAGCAGCTGATTGAATAGCCTGATTGTCCAGCAACATCAACATCAGCAAGCCGGTCATCAGCCCACTTTCCCTCTCTCCTCCAAGAAAAGGCATACCGCAGCAGGCCAGATACTCGTAATAGCCATCTCCGTCTTCCCCTCTCTCACAAAATCCATCGCCAACCCGCGCGTCAGCACACTCATCCCCACCTTCCCTGCCCATAGATAAGGCCATGGTCAGCACATTCCACACCACATCCAAGTCACCTGCCTCAGATCACCACCCCTCCGTGAATGAGAGAAAAAAGGACAACATACCAATGGCATACCCAGTCTTCCCTCGAAAGAACCTCGAATACACCGGCGGCGAAACCACCACAATCCGGCCGCGATTCCCATTCCGTTCGAAAACGGGCAGCACCGCCTGCACCGTCGCGTACAGCCCCTCTGGGTTGACTTGCTGCATCAGCCGGAACCGCTTGAATGGGGTGTTCTTAACCGAGGACCACCAGATAGCGCCCGAGTTGTAGACCACCACGTCCAGCCTGCCGCTGGTCAGACGGAGGGTCTGGGCAACCAGGTTGTCGATCTGGGCCGGAGAGCGAACGTCGACGGGGATGGGGTAGGCGGTGTTTGGCGAGAGGAGGTTGATCTCTTGAGCAACGGTTGTGATGGTGGAGGCTGGGGAGTTGGGGTCCGGGGGGAAGGGCGTGTCTTTGCTTGGAGTGGAGGTGGATTTGGCGGCGATGATTACTGATTGTATACTTGGTTAGCTTGAGGTCTAGGACCAGGAAGTAGGAGGGCCCTGTACCGGTGTAGTTGTGCTTGGCGAGGTCGATGGCGATCTGGCGGCCGATGCCACGCGAAGCACCTATGACCAGCGCGACAGGTTTGTTTGGCGAGGCCATTGTTCCAATTTGCAGTGATACTGGAGTATAGACGAAGGCAGCCTTGTGCCTTCCAGATGGTGAGATACCGTTACGTCAATCAAGGGTCCTTATATGCGAACTTCGTGTTGGTCCATGTCATCCTCGGCTGAAGGATATTGATTAGTCGTTATTCGTCATGGCCGAGCTGGAAATCTGTAGCATGCGGGGGAATCGGCAAAAACGGACGAGGGGTCTGAGCAAGTCACCCCAGCATTCTTGACCAGCCTGGACCTCAAGCCGAATTCAATCTGAGACAAGCATCACCTTACCGGCGATGTCGTGCACTCTCCAAGAACGAGACTCCAACGATAGCTTATCACGATAAGGAAGGCCCCGCAGCCCATTTGGCTCCCGCCCTTTTAGTACAATACCGTCAAGTCAAGTGCCAGATCTCACCGCCCGGCAGAATAGCGGATCCAATCACCTTTTGCTGCGGCTTTCCCTTCTCCAAATGAAGCCTCCAGATTTCATCCTCCTCACCTTCACCATCATCTGAACCCTTTCCAACATACCATCATCATGGCCCCGGATCCCGACTCCATGGCCGTCACCACCGACGCAGTTTTCAACGAAGACGAATACAACTCCGACTCCGATTCAGACTTCCAACTCGACGACGCCCAGAACGACGACGACGATGCCGGCTTAACCTCATCCGATGAAGAAGAAGCCGCAGAGACAGCGCAAGCGGACCAACCAAAGGCCAAACGGCGGAAAACAACCCCTGACGATGGTGCAGCAGCCGACGGGCTGGATTCCGGCGACGAAGCCACCATCCAAAAAGAAAAGGCGAAGCGGAAGACCGCCGAGGACGAAGAGGATGAGGGAGGCACGGGGGGTTTTGTCCGTACGCGGGCTATGAAGATGCGCGCGTATGCTTTTTCTTCCTTACTTTTTGCATATCAGGGGTTGAGTTGCTAATCTTTTACTCTTCGGGGGTAATACAGGCAAGATGAACGCAAACCGCTTGCAAAGATCGACGGTGCAACTGTCGATGTCGATGCGCTGTGGGCGATGATGAACGCGCCGGAGAACAACAACGGGCTGCACACGCCGGAGCAAGCCGCAAAGGAAGACAGTGGCCGGGCGGCGACGGATGGCGAGACGACGGGTGATGTCGAAATGCAAGGACCCTCCACCGATCCAAACCACAAATCATCCGTGTCGAAATACGCAGAGGAGATGGTGCGGATCAAGCGCACCTACAAATTCGCAGGGGAGACGATCACGGAGGAGAAGCTCGTCCCCAAGGACTCCGCCGAGGCAAAGCTGTACCTGGCCAACAACAATGAGGAGAACGTCGAGACGGTCACGGCCGCCGCCGCCGAGGACGATGCCACCGCCGGAAGCGCAAATTCGGCGGTGAAGCTACGGCGCCCGCTGCGCAGGGTATCGCGGTTCGATCCCAACCCAACCGGGACGATCAAGAAGAGCTGGGCGAAGCAGCCTGGTCCGGAAATCACCGGACACCCGGCGGACGAGAACGCGCGGGGTCCCAAGATCAACACCGTGGAGAAGTCGCGGCTGGATTGGGCGGCGTACGTGGATCAGGCCGGTCTCAAGGATGAGCTCAAGGTGCATAGCAAGGCCAAGGAGGGCTTCCATGGCCGCATGGAGTTCTTGGATCGCGTGGGGGCGAATATCGAGGAGGAGAGACGGAATGCGCGTCTGAAGGGACTGTGAAGCGGTGCTGGCGATTACTTCGAACTTTTCTTATGCCGTCAGTCTCGGCATGAGCTGTACCTTCGCCAATGAGAGTTGGCACGTCCGACACACGCCTTTCCATCTCCATGTTTGAAGGCCGCTGTCCCGGGTTCAATCTAGGTATCATGCCTATGGCACTGGCCGGTGGTCTTTACATGCAAGGATGGTCTTTACCTGATCAAACTGATCAACGGCTGGCGAGTGATACCTCTGGCACGCGCATATACTATATCCGTGGTGAATAATCCCAAGACCCACCGTGGCGTGTCAATAGATTGACCTACCGTCTGAGGAAAGCTCCATACGCTTCGCTTACCAAGGAAGCCAACATTGAGTGGGCCGATAATATGCATTGTTGCATATGAGGCTTGCTAGATTGCCAGCGTCCCGCAGCGCGCCGGCGTTCGGCTTGACGTGAGCGAGGAGAATTCCGCCCACAGCGGCGGACTAATTGACACTTGTCATCCAATGAGAATATACGAAGCGTACATGTGTTGGGTCTAGGGGGAAACAGGAAGGCAACGCCTTTGCCTTTGGTGGGACCTATAGGTGATGCAGATTTTCATGTTCGACAAACCAGATTGCAGGACACACAATACTAGCATGTACAATATCACGAACCTCACACGGACTTTTGCAACTCCCTCCTTCTACCCCATTTGCCTTCCTCGGTAGACTGCTCTACTGCTTCCTCAGTATTTTCAAAATCCCATCCTCTGTAAAATCTAGCTCGACTTGGGAAGGTATTTGATCCCCGAGCTAGGGCAGTTGGTGGTCTCCACTACAGATCGAGTAAACAAACACGTTAGCAATTTCGTCCTGAAATAGAGAATTATCATCAACTCACATCGCTCAGCCGCAACATAGGTTCCATCGACCGCATTGCCCTTGACATTGAAGTAGTAGTAAAGCTGGGATAGCTTCTTGTCACTGCAGTAGACGTAGGGCGCGTAACCGTCGTGGATGGCAGCGAGGGCGTCCTCAATGTCACTGAGCTTGTAGGTCTTGCTTGAGCTGGGGGTGATGCCTGCGTCGGCGAGGGCCTGGTTGTCTATTAGCTTTGCCCACCTTGCAGAAAGATAGAGAGGGGGAGGGCTAGCGGGTCGCTAGAGCTCACAGTGTAAGAGTCCAGGGTCTTGAACAATGAGACAGTCGTGGCAAAGAAGTCTCCGACCTCTTCCCCGGCGGTGTAGTCGGTGTAGCAGCTGGGGTCGATGGTGTTGATGCAGGTTCCTGCGATGGGGTTTTAGTGGTCTGAGGCACAAATATGAGGGCCAACCGTCAAAAGACATATACCGTGCTTGCTCCACTCGTGCTCCCAGAAGGTCTCGTCGCTTCCGTCGTCGCTCACCCAGTAGGTGTTCATGTAGTCGAGTAGCTCGGTACGGCCCTGGGCCTCAAGGATCTCCGTGATGTTGGTGTAGTCACGCGAGTCGTCGCAGTACTCCTGGTAGGTGCCGTCGCAGTTATCGGGCCTGCAGGTCGGGTGCCGCATCAGCTGAGCTGTAAAGCATTATTCGGTCCGAAGGAGACGTACCAGAGACCGTGAATGGTCCAGGAATCACTGGGTCCGGTGGAAGGGTCGGTGTCCCAGAATTGGGTTTGGAGGAGGGAGCCGCCGGGGTATTCGAAGCAGCAGGAGGCCTCGTTGTCAGTCTGACAGCTGAGAGGGCTATCGGAAGGGCAGGTATCAATGGTACCCAGGACACCGGAGCTGAGCGCACCCAAGGCGACTACGCCCATAACGGGGAGGGACATTTGAGGCATCTTGCTGAATCGAGAGTGGGCTATATGATTGAACGTGGATAGATGGTAGAGCAAGTAGCTACAAGAGACAGAGAGATGGAGGGGAGCTGATGCTGCCTTTATGCCAGTGACGGACAATTGCCCGGTGCTCTCTCGCTCATCACCATCACCCCTCCTCGGCTAATGGTGGAGAGAGCTCTCTGCATCTTGCACAGGCGGATAGCAGCATGTGCTGATAAGAACTCGCTGATTCGCCCGGGCCGACCGATAGTCGAGTCGGGAGTCGGAGGACGCTGTAAGGACCCGCAGGGCGACAGGGGTTTGTGAGAGGTGGATGACCAATTGAGCGTGGCAGCGTCATTCTGCAGCCGGAGACTAGATGAAGCTACGACGGGATTCCTTCGGAGAGCGAGGCAATAAACCGCAGCTCGACTACTGATCAAGTCTTGACCGAAATAGTGTGCATTAGAATGGATGCAGTCCTCCTCCCGTCCGCTCAGCGGGCCGTCTGATTCGTCCTGGTGGAAAAGATCATCAGCTTATAACGACGGAGTAATTCGAGAACTCCATCTGTTCATCCAACGAGCTGGGCAAATGATATCCTGAGTGCGATGTTGGCTGATCTGGGCACGTTACATACCACCAATCACTAGCGAGGCGCGGAAGCTCGCCGGCAGGCAGCGCGGAGTAGATAATTGCAGGCACTGTCTGCGTAGATTAATCGCTGTCTGGACATCCAGGCAGCATGGGTGTAGAGCGCGATAACAGTAATTGACTTGGCATCGGAGCTCCCCGTTTATGCTTGATCAATAGTGCTTTCGTTGTCGGAGTATGCCTTCATGATCGACTGGACCAAAGTGAGAGACTATCGACCGATTTAGGCCGATGATAGAGTCCATTCAGTCAGCGACCGAAGCGCATCGCTACCTTGGCTTCAGGGAGCCATATGACGTAAGGCGCACACTGATAATGAGTGTGACATGATCGCTTACCGGCTTGAGCAATCAACGCCAACCATATGGGGGACTTCGAATCGTGGGGAACGAGATGGGCAAGCATCATAGAGCAGGCGAAGAAAGAGACGCTCGGCCCGCGGAGAAGACGAGCCTTATGCCTGAGGCACCGACAGAACCTCCAATTCTTGACTCACATGCCTTATGAAGAACATACATAGCCTCGAATAGACGAACACATATGAGACCGCTTAATTGAGCCAACCATCACACTGACAGATCCAAGAATACAAGCTGAACCACCAATCTCTCATTAGAAAGCCAATTGTCACCATTACCATAGCCGAAAAGAACAGCAACAGACCCGCGCTCAATGACGACCGCCCAACCACCCCAGTCCTATCGCATCATTCCCGCACAAACCCCCGACCACCTCTCCGCCGTGCACACCCTCTTCCGCGCCTACGTCCAATGGCTCAATATCGACCTCACCTTCCAAGACTTCGAGACCGAGCTCAACTCCCTCCCGGGCAAATACGGTGCGGCGTGCGGAGGGGACCTGCTTCTGGCATACAGCGGCACCAACGAAAACATTCCCCTGGGCTGCGTCGCGCTCCGTCCCCTCACGATACTAAAGACAGTCCATGCCAGCACCAGCAGCCAAGACGCCAGTCCTGAAAATGTACAAATAAGGTACTGTGAAATCAAGCGGTTGTATGTGTCGCCCGAGGCGCGGAGGATGGGATTGGGGAAGGCCTTGGTCGAGGCAGTGGTGCGCCGGGCGAGGGAGCTGGGGTATCAGGCCATCCGACTCGATACGCTGCGGACGATGGAGGGGCCGTTGAGGCTGTATCGCGCGGCCGGGTTTGTCAATGTCGAGGCGTATTATGAGACGCCGTTGGTGGAGGAGACGGTGTTTCTGGGGTTGGATTTGAGGACGGAGTGAACGTATCTTGGTGGTGGTGATGGGTTCTATGGAAAATTGGCACAGACTGCGACCGTCTAAATATCGGTTCTGTTTCGAGGAGGGTACCGGCTTGAGAGATTCTTGTTGCATATATACTACGGAGTACAAACTGAAATAGAGATAGACACCAGGTGTGATTTCAAGACATGGCATTCCTCGAATTTTGCACAATCCACATGACAAAAACCATGGCTGATCCGCTTGTCCTCTCGAGAACTCAGACTGTTGAGCTTGATAATTTTGAAATGGAGCACTCATAGCAGGAATCTTAACCTGCATCATGCCAAAGAAACAAAGTCATCATAGTCCGCGAGACAAATTGAACAACACGACCTTCCTCCGCTTTCATAGATAGACAACCATCACCACTCCTAAGCGAGGCGAGGCGACAGCTAGACCCATTATCCACCTGTGGAGTTGAACCAGACAAACTTCTCGCCACCGCAAGGCCCCCTAATCCCGCTCTACAGACATCACGTAGAGACTTGAAGGGGTAGGTAAAACCAAGAATCCCTACCATTACCCACGCTTGTTTACAAGAGACGGCAACAGTCACATCCAGAGAAAGAGAAGAAGAGGGTAAAAGCACTTGTAAGACGTGGTTTAAATCGTACGATTTTAGGTAAGCAGGTTTTAGTGCGTTGGTCTGTGCTGATGAGGTCAGACCAAGCCCCTCTCTGCCTGAGGCATGAATCACTACCAAACCAGAACCAACATACATGTGACATCTCACATCGAAGTAGCAGCTTTTCCGGCAGAAAAAGAAAATTTTATTTGTCTTTCAAGACCAAAATCACCGCTTTCAGCCTGTACGAGGTGATTCTCACACTGCACGAACTCGCAGACATGAAGCCACAATCCATCTTCGCTCCTCAGGCTCAACAGGAAGCACTGTACAGTCAGATGGGGTCACAGAGCCCGCCACAGTGGAGTTTATGACTAGAGGGGACTCGAAAAGCAGCTAGGAGAGCACAAGCCCAGCGGAAGCCAAGGCATGTAATGCGCTAAAGCACATACTACTTACGTCGAAATTGATAGTACGCGCTACTGGGAGCCACCTGCGATGACCATGCCATGGCAGCCGCGCAGGAGGGGGCGTGAGTGGGGAATCATCTGCATTCCCCCATAGGTATTATTTGCCTGCACTATCTACTGTAGGAAGGTGCCTGTGAACTTTTTTACAGTGGAAGTACTTGCTGGCGATGAACTAGTGGTTTAGTTGTTTTCGATTGTGCAACAGAGGAGTGGAGGGGTTCCTACCGGGAATCCCCGGGAATAAACGGGCAGCAGCAAAGCCCGCACAATAGAGACCGCAAGAGGAGAGAAAGTTTGGAGAATTGGAATGTGCAGCTGTTGGAGTAGTTCCATGGCCTGTCTAGCTATGAGAGAGTTATTGCTTGCGAAAGGAAAGCAGATGACTGTGACAAGCGATGTCATTCACCTGGCGTAGCAGTTGTCCATTGACATATGGAGTTATATCGCCCAGGAATCAAGGCCATTGAGGCCGTTCATCTTTCATGGATTATAAGCCTGGTTGGCGTGCGTATCTTGACAAATTGAGTCATGCACACAACAGTCACGAGACCCTAGTCAGCAAGAGCTCCCAGTTTTGTGAGTTCGGTGGAGTCGGTGATCGCATTGACAACCTAGACTTAGCACCTCTAGAACGAACCATATGTGGACCTGGTGTTGACCAGGTTCACGAGATGCGTGAGGGGAGGAAAAGCAACAGCGAGTGGAGACAGAGAACAGTGAATTTCGCGGTCATGGCGCTACAGGTGCATAAGCACAAACGGTTCGACAGAGACCATCCATGGCGGGTTCGACGAGGCATCTAGAACAAATGAAGTGAGAGGCCCTTTGCTCAGTACTTGACCCGAAGGAGGGAAACTCCGACGTAGTATCTTCAAGTCGTAGGTAGGCGATACTACCATCCATCGAGTACGGAGCACTACCTGGTACTTTGAATCTAATGTAAGTGCTCGACGAGGCTGGACCGACGGGTTTGAAGTTCCCACAGCATTTCCCAGTCTGTCGTTGTGCATGCCTGAGCAGGTACTTGTACCAGGCAGAACCATAACCACTTCTCAGGCACATACTGTACGGAGTATGTACATAGGTTCCACAGAATTACGAAAGCTTCACATCCCCCTCGAATTTGTTCCTACTCAAAGAACTTTCTAGCTGTATGCGAACTACTCCAGAATTGGGTGACCCTGCAGAGCATGCATGTGCCAAGAGAACCCATACAAACAACATACGTCCATGCCAGATGCAACTTCCGATGGCCCGGCAGGACCTCTTGCGGTAAGATTCGCCAACCTGGACCAATTAGTTGTGCTGCCCCGATCTGCACTTGATGACACGATCTCACCTCAACAGGGGCAGGGGTCACATTCCATGCGCAATTTAAGCAGCAGTTACCGACGTCTACCCACCTTTCATTGAGATGTACCCAGGATGGCCTCGACGCAAACCAACCAGAGCCCACGACCATAAACCGGAATATCATATTCTCACGCAAGATTTACAGGCAATCAGCTAGCAAAGATTCCTATACGTACACCATCACGGAAGGCCGGAGCTCAGATGAACGTAGCACAAGTACTGTACCAGCTGCTCCGCACGGACGAGGCGGTCGAGCGCATCGCAAGAGTTTGAGGAGAATAGATGGTTCATCATGGGCCCTGATTGCATGGGTTTCATTCTGAAGCCTGCAGCGCTGCCAAAGCGCATAGTAGCCAAGCCGCTGATACCATACAAGATATTGTCGTCTGGTATAACGTTTCGCCTCTAGCTGGGCTTGGTGGTGAGTTATCGAGAGTCAGTCTCACAACAGCATGTCACCCAGTGACTAGCCAGAAACTGAATGAATCTTTGTAGCTGATGTTGCGTCCGTCACGTGCAGCGCTCAAATGCTGGTTTGCGAAAGTGCTAAGTTGCGAAGCTCTGAGACATGGTGATGGCACAAACAATTGGCGCTAGTCATCTGAGTGGAACTTATCAAACTACCCAACGAAGCATCAACAGCATAAGAAGAGACTATGCCAGGAAACAACGTGCTGGTTCTCCTCAAAGGCAGATACTGAAAGTGGTAGGGGCATTCTCATTCAAGGACAGACGCGACGGCTTTCAATGGTAACACCAGTTGCATGAAGAAGAACGGCATGTCTCAATACATAGAACCCGAGACGAGCCTATCAACTGCCAGCGCGTGTCTCTCCCGATCGAGTGGTAAAGTCGGAGGGCAAAGCACCGATTAGCGGTGTGCCGTGGCCCAGTGGTCTGGGACGCATCGGGGAGAAAGAGTTAAGAAGCCTACCTAGCACTGCAGCATTCCGTGCAACCCCCATGGAGACGGAAATATGCGCTGAAGGTACACCTATCTATGAGATCAGATTGTCTCAGCTTCCTCATACTCTCCTACCACGGGACTTGGCATGTGTGCCACTTGTAGTTTTGACCTTCAGAGGCTTGAGCCTATCCCGGTAGCTGGAACAGAAAGTGGGGAGGGGAAAGTCGATAGAGAATCGAGGCAGTGCAGAGAAAGTGATGCGGGGATGGAAATCATAGGCTGGAAAAGGGGGAGGAAGGTAGATGATACAGACGGAAACACTGTAATTTGGCGTCGAGGACAGGTACACAGGACTTGAAAGATTAACGGGAAGATCTGGCCAGCATTGTTGTTGTCTGTGTCTGCTGTTCTGAGTCTAGAATGCCTGAGGCTGCTGCCACCAGCCATCGGTGGATCTATGGGGAAGCGGCAAACCTTCCACCAATAGGGAATGTGCCATGGTGGGTAGAGAAAGTGGGGTCTATAAGAACCTTGGAGTATGGTACAGTTACCGACTCTATCTACACAGTATTTTTGGAGTATGCGGAGTACCTCGATGTGATACATCCCATCCGTGGGTTTCAATTCCACCCCAACCCATTCCTCTACCTTTTCCCCTGGACCAGACGCGCCTATCATTCTCAGGTGACCTTAACCTCGGCCCGATGCTGCTGGCCCCACGCCATGGCTGATGTGTGATGTGTTCCAGCTGGTCCCAATTGACCTGTTGAAACCACGCTAAGCCACCGAGCATCCACCTGGGAGTATGATCACAATGTATGAAAGAAGGGTTAGTGAAGAGCGAAGTAGATCGATTCTGACCCATCATAATACAAGACAAAGGAAAAACATACTGCATTAGACATGACAGAAAAGAAATTCGTTCTTTGGCGCCTTGGCTTTCTGCCCATTGGCGTTCCATAGTCGTCCCTGGGGCTTCCATCAACAAGAATCCATCGGTAATTTTGGTCCTATCAGGGTGTCACGGGGAGCGGGGGTCAATGAGATCTATCAGATCATAGCAGAGCAGATAAAGTCGATCACTGAAGGATACAAAACTTTGATGGATAACAGTTCGGTTGTTTTTTCCAGCGTTCAATGCATTATTATTTAGGTAGAGGGATAAGCCTTCTCAGCATTCCAAAACACATCTTTTGGGCAATGGGGGAGGTAAGTAAAAGAGAGATAGGAAAGGGACTGAAGGAAATAAAAAAGGAGAAGAATATGCAACATCATCAAACCAACAAAGGAAATAATCCGGTGTATATAACCAGGTATGTTTTACAAATAACGCCGTGAAGCGCCGACCGGGTCCGCCTGGCCCCTGTGAGTCTGTTCCCCATCTAAGACCAAAAAGGAGAAATGGCAACCTGTTCGCCAAGGGTATCATGGTTTGGTCCGCCTGTCCTCATCTCCCGCCCCGTATTCATTCGTCCCACTCGACACTCATATGACGAGCACTGGACATCGAGTCGTCGTGCTTCTGGGCGTAGAGCGGTCGCCCATCAGGGGTTAATTGACCGCGATATTCTGGGTTGTAGTCGGGACTATTTTCATCCAATGTGGCGACATAGCGGTTGCGGCCACCTCGCTTGCTGTGGGTCTTGGTATAATGTGCGTTGAGGTTGTCACTGCGGGAGAAAGCACGATGACACCCGGGAACCCAGCACACATGTGGTTTCTCCTTAGAATGGCTTTTCATATGTCTCTTCAAGTGCTCCTGGCGCTTAAAGCGGCCCTTGCACCCTGGCTCTTTGCACTTGAACTGAACCTGTTTGATAATCGACGGAAGGTTCTCCAGGCTGAGGCTCTGCTTCGAGGCTTGCTTCCGGGCAGTCTTGCGTGAGGGTTGGCGCTGTACGCGGACAAGGCCGTCTCGATAAACGGGGGATTGGCTAAAGTCGTCCATGTATTCCATGCTACCAGAGAGTCTGCTGACCGGGGTATCCGAGCCCGAACCACTGCCCAGCGAGCATGACCGCACAGGAGTAGTCGGGGTGTGAGTCTTGAAGCCGCCGAGCGACGCTGGGAATTCCGAGTATGATGGTGGGGGCGTGACGGGGGCAACCTGAGAGGGCGCAATGGTCTGTGGAGCAATCGACTCGGCAGGCGGAGCCAGCCAGGGAGGGATCATATTACCCATCGACATGGACGTGGGAATTCGCTCATGCTGATGATGGAAGATGGACCTCGATAGGCAGGGGTTGGTTGCGGATTCTGGTAGATAAGGTGCATGGTGCTGGCGATAGTTGGGGCGAGCCATAGTAGCGTAGTGATGCATCTGCGGCGGGTATGGCAAGCCCTGTACTCCATGCTCGTACGTCTTCGGTGCTTCGGAGGGAATCCAAAATTGCTCGACGTTCTCATCGTATCCGGACAAGAAGTCGGTCATCGGCATCCGCTCCTGAGGTTCCATATTGGCATAAGGCATACTCATCACGTCGCCTGAGGTCATGCTGGCCAGGCGAAATGCACGCATGGGCGTCGATCCAGTGTGTCGCTCGTACGCTTGACTGGGGAATGACCCTCCCTCGTGCCAGCCAGGGGACTGTAGCGAACCGTGGCTGTAAACACTGGTTGGAGTGGTCTTGGGCGAATCCAGTGGCGAAAAGCTAGTCATAGAAGGGCACTCGTTTGAGCCGAGGGATGTACAATCGACTTCGACAGTCAGGCGATCAGACATGGTGCCCTGGGGTCGCATTTCTTCGATCTCCTCACGGTCTTTGCGAGGCGGGGCTGAAGAGGCTGGAAGGGCTTCGAGTTTAGCACCTGTCCGACGTACTGTTTAGTCTTGTTGCAAGTCACAAACTGATGCGAGGAGATAATTGCAGACGAGAGTTCCACGCTGTTGGGAGATGACAACAATATAAGGAAACCAAAGAGTGAGGTGTCCTGCGTCAAGTGCGGGTATATGACACAACAAGCGCGGGATGGGTTAAGTTATTATTAGTATATTAGGGAATGTGGCAAGGTCCGCTGATGATGGTATACAAGTAGTGAACGGCAACGGATATCAAGATTGAACAACAAACACTTCTCGGCAATGAGAGAGAGAGAGTGAGTGAGTGTGTGTGTGTGTGAGTGGGAAAGTGAGGATGACTTGCTGAGAGAGCAAAGAACGAAGGATAGTTTGCACAAGCAAATGCAAGAATGAAGGAAGGCCAACCTGAGTTGGGAATAGAAATGAGGAAGAAAGAGAGGGTGCGAGGTTGGGGAATGGAGGAGGAAAGACGAGGTGAAATAAACAAATCTCCCGGTCATATAGTGTGAAGGAAAAGCAACAGCCGATCGCACTTACAGTTAGGAGTCATTGCTTAGCCAGTATCCAAAAGAGTAGCGAGGTAGAGACTAGAGTCAAAATCGAGCGGCGCGTCGCGTGCCTTTGGAAAGCCTACGCAAGGCCAGGAATGTAGACTATAGAGTTTCTCTAGTAACCGCGACAAGTTCTCCAGAAGGGGAGAGCAAAGAAGTCTTTCGATTGGCAGAGATCCGGTCTGGCGCCAAATGGTTTCCTAGGAGGCGCGCTTGTCTCTGGATTAAAAGACAACGGAACCAGGTGGAAGTCGTCGAGAGGAAGGGGGATAGACGAGATCACCGCGATGATTGGGGGAGGAGGGAGGTCGGATGGGGATGGGGATGGAGATCGATAAAGTCGCCCTGTAAACGCGATGTGTTCTCGATCCTGTGTTCCCACGATAAGCGGTACTCGGAGTAGAGGAAGGGACGACGGTTGTAGAAGTTGAAGCCGAACTGGGTTGTTCTGTGTCTCAGTTGCAGCAGAGGGATGTTGTAGTTATAGGAAAGGCAGGACAGTCCAGCAAGGGGATGATGGAGACAAATTGAACAATTGATTTGGAGACGCAGGTTAGAGTGAAGGGATGTCTTAGGATTATCGATTGAAGCGTAAATATGTCTAATATTGCACCTGTGTTCCAGGGTCGAAGGGTTGTACCTGGCGGAGAAGGGCAAGGCTTCCTTCGTTGGCAGGGGAAACTGAGGGTCAGAGGGGTGGGATAATGGGGATGAAAGGACTCAAGTGGGAGGTTAAATCTATTCTATTATATGGCCGAGTTACTGGATTAGGTGAAGGAGCAGAAGAGAACAGCGTGCAAGTGTGAGCTTCTTTTCCTGTCGCCCTATCCCTCACTTGGAAAAGAGGGAGGGGGAAAAGAAGAGTGAGTGGGAAAGGAAAGATGGTTCAGAATGCTTTGGGGGGAGTATTTTTGAGAACTCAAGGATTTTATTTTTATTTTTCTTGCCTGCTAGAGATTATTTTTTATTTTGGAATTTTATTTTACTGTAACTGGGTTGAGATTGTTCACTTAACTCACCTCTCTAAACAGTTCCTACTACTTAAGTTAAAATCTACACCTTTCCTCATCTTGCTGCCTGATACCTTTCAAGTATGTCGGAATCAATCAATCATTCTGAATTATTTTAACTCTGCAGTAGGAGACAAAGAAAACCACCTTTGATCCCCCCCCCCAAAAGATTAAACCCAATAATCCTATTATGTCCTATTGGACCCGTTTCCTTGGTTTACACTTGTAGTGTCATTTGTCCACTTCCACTCCGGACCTCACAATATGATCACAGATCAAAGTGCCTAATTCTGCTCAGTGGAGTGGATCATCCCATGGCTTGACTGGGTCCGCCCTCATGCACCTCGAATCATCACCTCGAGAATGGACAGCAGATCATGATCGTAAGAATCTTACTTTCAAACTGTATCAATGACGATAAATTACTACCTCTGGCGGATGCAATGCACCAGACTCGGGCTTTTCTTCTCCCCTCTTTCCTTATTCCCGATTACTGGTATACAGCACGTCGTGGCCGTTAGACGGTGCCTCGGTCAGTGGTCCATCGGAAGAAAAGAACCAGAAAAGCACCAACCAGCGAGGAAAACCAGAGGGAAAATAAAACAAATCAAAACAAGGCCAGACTAGAGTAGACCATACTGGAAATAAATCAAAAAAGAAAACATCTGGAGGAATGCATTAGACGCAGATGTGGGAGGGGCAGAACCACTGATGGAATGTTCGAACGTCAGAGGATCACGACCGAGCCCTGAGCCCTGACTAAGTGGGCTGGTAATAATTCACCCAAACTAAGACAACCAAAGCTAACTAAACTAAACCTTAACGCGGATCATGGATTTGGATCACCGTCCGTCAATCTTCCAGATGCTCGGCATCTCCCCCGGGTGAACTACTGTATACCTCAGCCCACTCATTTACTACTTACTGTGTACTTCCCACCGCTTCTGATTGTTATTGTACTTGCTATACACCACCCCCCAGCATTTCTTGGTGGGCTATCGAAATATATGAGAACTCTGAATTCTGTCCGAATTTTACCAAGAACGACAACTTTGGTAGATATTCAATTAATTATGTGTTGCTTTGAATCTTACCTAACTTCTGAAACCCTTGTACCACCCGAGTTAACACTCGACTAATGAATGCTGGATACAGAAGTCCTTGGTGACTGGGTCAATCGAGAATTCTGCTGAGTAATGTGGAGTCGTTAGAGATTTTAGTTTCGATGTTTGGCACTGATATCTCTGAGAATGATGAACTGAGAGCAAGCATCGCATAAAATGGATGGGAAGAGCGACAATGGCGGGGGAAATAGTCCTGGTAGGCTGGGGAAGAGTAAATCCCACCACCTCCTCAGTTATCCGATAACTGTAACTTCTAACTTATCATTAAGAGCCACGATACTACCGTTTCTCTCCCCATTCTTACACGCTACCACTACTCGCTTTACCAGCCTTGCTAGGAATAGATGAGGTGCTGGCCAGATACTGCTTTGGCGCCACAGATTTCCGAAACCATTGTCGATCGCCTTCTGGTTTCAACGCCACCGTCTAGACCATTGCCAAGCCCCTCAACACTTGATTAAGACTGAGTAAGTGGTTATCATACTTATTTCGGATGCGAAACTCAGGAACCTCTCAACAATGAAGGCAGAACGCCGTTTTGTCCGGCCATCATTCAGGGATTCGGCTCCACTCGGTCATATGCCTAGTGACATTAGACCGAAGAAGGAAACCCGCATATCCGGAGGCGTGCTGTCACCATTCATCAGGAATTAGCAAACTAATCTGTTGCCTCACTCTCTCTTTGTCAACATCAGGAACCACCTCGAGGAAGAGGAATGGACGACAGCCCATGATTTACAATATTGGGCAGAGAGGGGGGGGATTATGGCGTGAAGAAGAATCAATACCGGACAATTTATTCTCATGCAATCATCCCCCCACACAGTAAGAGAAGCCCGAGGTGACCGAAGCCCATCTCGGGAATACCCACCGTGGAGACCTTACCACTGATGAAACTAACCCATCTGGATCGGTCGAGTCTTTCCTGGGTTCTCTGTAGCAAGATAGACAGTCCCCTCTAAGTTGTTACAGCAAGTCCCAGCCGCCGCCCGGGAGTCTTGCTCACTCACGTTCAGGACCTAGTTCCTGGACGTTTGTTAATATTTGGTCTGTGCAAACCTGACCTGGACTGCAGATGGACCCTAACCCTCCATTGAAGATTTGAAACTGTATCATCGTTTCTTTTTCGCTTTGCTCTACTTCGTTTTGTCTTGTCTTGCAGACAGGCACAAATCTCGCATTCTAGAGTGCCACTGGCGAGGGGGGGCCGCCAGTGTTCGAGGTGCCTATCCTGCCCACTACCCCATTTTATTCTTTCAGCATGTCCAGACCCCTTCTAGTACTATTGCAGAAGACGGCATCAAACAGAGTAAACAGCTGTGCACGGGGTTACCTAAAGTAGAATGACGGATAAGCAATGGCTCAACTGGAACCATGGTTCATCGCGGACATACCCCCAGGCAATCCCCCACCACTAACCAATCTTGAACCATCTTGGAAGTACGTATCTAAGGTACTATCACCTGTCTGTTTATGATAGGAGACAACTGCCTAGATTGGGACAAAAGTACTGTATGGTCCGTATCTTAGAGACATAACATATTGTCGAGTTCTTGCATACCATTCCGAAAGCAAGACCTGGGGAGACAAGAGTCTTCTCAGGAGGTACGCGCATTTCGAATCGATTATTGGCCATAGCAAGAGGGCGGAACGCTTAATAAACCGGAATCGTTTTGGTTGGAAATGAAGGCCGGGCTGAGTGCAGATTTTGTACTTGCGGTCGCGGAATTTGGAGATTGAGACGGAAGCCTCAACCTCTTTCTCAGTCTCTCAGTCTCTGGCTAGTTCTTTTTCTCTGTTACAGAGGACTTACTCGTTGGTACGGAGTACGGAGTACGAAGTACTACTATTGTTAGGGATGGACTACTGTGTAGACAGGGACTACCCTGGCTCAGAGATCGACTCTCCAAGTGCTCAAAGAGGAATGGAGTGAGTGATCAAGAGTCCACTGTGAGTGGAGAAGGGGAGGTGCGGCGAGAAGAGCAGCGACAGGCGCTTTGGCCGGCAATCCCTGATCAGACGCACATCATCCTCCCAAGCCGAACTGATCGTCCAGTCGCTGGACGCGCAGACAAACTGAAGTCTGCAGCTTTGAAATTCAGCCATCTTACACCAGCCGACCAGCCGCACCTATCATAACCAACCAGCCTTGCCAGATGCCAGACAGCCACTCGGGCCCTTCGCTCAGGAACGCCTCGACATAACCTAACCTACCAGCGGCGTTCACTATGGAATGTGGATAGGCTGAGACGATATCCTTTCAGCCTACTAGCGGTCGAGGAAGTGAACAAGAACCATTTACATCTGTTCTCAAACATCCCCAGTGTGGTTGATGGTGTCACGACTTTCGCCTGATACATGATCGTCATACCTTTGG